CTTGCTATCTGAGTTAGAATAGATCTTCCGTATAGCGTAGACATCTACTAAAGGGGCTTTAGGGTAGTTGGGGTCTAAAACCTAGTAGACTAGTAGTATATCGCCTAGTATAGTAGCATTAATAACCTCCCTAACTCGCTATAATGCTTTCGCATTTAGGTTTAGCTAGGCTAGGGATTTAGCTAAGTCTATAACGTCTTAAGAGTGCTTAGTAACAGTAGGAGTTACGGTCTTAGGACTACTTTGCGATTTAGGAAGGAACTTAGGTCCCTTATTTCCTAAGGCTTCTTTCCTAACCTACGCTAGGTTATTCCTATCTTCGCTATAGATAAACTTCCTCGCATCGGCGGTGCTATTAATATCGGCCTTAACATACACTAGGACCTCTTTGTATTTCCTAAAACTCTTAGGATCGGACTCGCTAAGCTTATAGCGACGGAAGATACGCTAAGCTATAGGCTACGGCAATCCCTAGAGGAGTAGCCTCGTTCTCTAAGAGTTTTCGAGGTTACTCTATTCGATGCCGTCCGCTAACTCGACAAACTCGCGGATATACCCCTTTAGGTCGTTATCCTTAGTACGCCTTACTAAGCAGAGGGACTCGAGCTACGTACGACTGCCTTTAATACGACGGCTATCGCGCTCCCGATATTCCCTTATAAAGGCTATCTTAAAGGTCTCCTAGTTAGCATTAGACTTGTCGTCCTTTTCTAGGTAGCTAACTAGGGTTTTAAGGGTTCGGTAAAGCTTAGAGGAGGTAGTCCTCGTAAAGGACCGAATCTTATACTAGTCGGATCCTCTATCGAGCTCGTAATTAACTAAGCCTTCCTTAAAGCGCTTAATATATACTATAGCGTTCTACCCTTCGAATAAGGGGTTTATAGTGCTCCCTAGTTCTAGCGGGCGACGCTTGTTTTAACGGAGAAGTTTAGTTTGCTTCTCTATTATCTTTATAATAACATTATAGAGCGCCTCTAGTATAGAGGGCGTAGGAGGCTTACTTATATTAACTAGTCGCCGCCTGATTTCTTCGTTAATAGGATTAGGGGCGTTTTCGGATTCCGAAGATTCTACTAATTCGTAATGCTCGTTTTCGCTAGAGCTAGAGCTTATTCGATTGTTGTAAAATAGTTAAAATAGCTAAAATAGAATGCTATATAAACGTGTTTTTAGTAACTTTGGTTTGTTTAGTTTGTTGTAATATTGCTACGCGAGAGAATAGTGTATTAGGCTGTTTCTCCTAGTGTTACCCCTAGGGTAGTATTAGGATTTAGCCTCCTAGGGGTCGCCTAACTACCTCTAGGAGCTTAGTTTAGTATTAGACGAAAGCCGCTCGGAGGGAGAGACTGCAATCTCTATTTATACCTAGATCCTAGAAACTAGCTCGTATCTCCTTTAGCTAGGCGGGGGGCGGTAGCCTTCTTTTTCCGGTAGAAGGCTAAGCACTATCTAAGCGAGGCTACGAATCTAGGAACGCCCTATCCGATTAATAGGGGACTCCCCGGCTATCCGACCTACAAGCCGTATTTGCTATTAATTAATAGTCTTAGCAAACTAAGCAAGGCCGATAGGTAATTAGTCTATCTCCTCCTTAGGCGGGGCTTATCTCGAGCAAGCGGTACTAAATAGGTCTTCGACCCGGAGCCGAGTCCTTAGAAGCTAGCTATAGCTATAGACTAGGCCCTAAGCTATAATAGTCCTAAGGGTTTGTAGCTTTTCGGGGTTAAAGCGATGCCCTCGTTAAGAGGTTTCTCTACTTATTGTAATAGCCCCTTAAGATACTTCGGTATCGTCCGTATCGTAGGCTCTTATCGTGCCCTCGCTTCGGTTATAGCTATTCGTGCCTAGAGACTACCTTTAATATACCCGAACCTATTAGATATAAAGAGATAGCCCTACCTTCGGCTCTAATAAAGGACGGAAACTAATACTACTACTACTACTTATAGTAATAGTATAGGCTACCGAGGGTAACATAACCTATAGCAATATAGGCAGCTATATTTAACAAGATAAGATAACGAGACTGTCGCTTAGGCTAATAACTAGAGCCCTATAACATAGGTATTATAGAAGTGTAACATAAACAATATACTATACGAGGTTAATACTCTATCTATAATATAGAAGGAGGCCTCTTATATAGGCTCAAAACTTAGCCTAGGTATATAGGGCCGGTTACTAGCTAATAATATACTCCCCTAGTTCTACCGATACGACTTAGTAACTAGAAAGCTCGATTGCGAAGCTAGAGGTACGTTTTAGGAACTCGCCGCTACCTATAGAGACCTTCTTCCTAGCCCTACCTCGCCCTCTAGTCTTGTAAATAAGTACGGTGCCCCTCCGTACGCGTTCCCGGCTATAGTGCGCCTACGTAATAACAACCTAATCTCGGAAGCCCTCGTCGGTTAATTAAAGTAGGACGATACTATAGTATAGTAATATATTCGAAGACTCTTTCGCAACCTTAACTAAGAAGGCTCCTTATATATGCTCGAGAACTATTTAAAGCAGTATCGCAAGGATATAGCGTCGGTATACTCTAAGATATTAAGTAAGGTTATTCGGCTCGAGTAGGAGCGTTTCGGGGAGAAATCATTCTTTAAGGCTCTTATATAGTCTTTAAAAGACTAGAGTTGCATCCTAAATAATAGCGAAGATCGGTATATACGCCTAAACTAGGATAATTTCTACCGATATTAGCCTGCGCCTAATACTAGGGAGGAGTTTAATTAGGGAGGCTAGGGATTTATATACTAATAGGAACCTAGTAAGGCAGACCTTCCTACTAACTAGCGGCAGTCTAGCGCCCCTTTAGCGAAACCTACTACCTACGCTTCGAAAGTCTCTACTCCTAGTAGAGTACTCCCGAACGTTAACTCCTAGTAGCTTAGTACCTCTAAGAAACAGCCTCCTTAGCTATCTTCTTTAAAGCAGCCTACGAACCCTATAGCTAATCCGAATAAACGACAGACCCGCTAGGACATATAGGCTAAGGCGACGCGGACCTAGGCTCTTATCGACTAATTTAACTAGTAGGGGCGAGGAGGCAATTATAGCGGCTAGGGCCGTAGAGGTAACTATAGTAGACTAGCGACTCGTAGTAGAAAGAAATAAGTAATAGGGTATAGTAGCTAGCTAGCTAGGATACCGTTATAGGATAGTTGGTTTAGTTTTCTTACGTATTTAAGGTTTTTCAGTCTAGGAGGTAAGGAAGCGTTAGTCTAAGGGCAGACTTCTTAGTCCGGGAGGGAAAATATAGTAGGGAAACCCGGCTTAGTATAGGTATATACACTTATACCCTCTCTCCCTTATTTTGTACCCCCGAAGATATACAACTACCTTTATAATTAGAATATATATATATATACAATATAAGGAGACACAGCTACGATAATATATAGTAAGAAGGATATAGGAAGTGTACCTAATCTAGCTATAATATAGCCCTCCCTGCTGCTATTCTCTTCTCTTTAATATTTGCAACGCCTCCCCTTCGAAGTATACAATGCTACGCCGACCCCTCGCAGTTACCTAAGAGACACTAAGTACTAGGCCTACAGCATACAGTTCCCTATATATGTACCTCTACCCACGACCTACTCGTCCCGCCCACAATAGTACGCCTTCCTACCCACTCGCAAACTCCCTCAGACTCCCTTCTAACGTATCCAACACCTTTTCTACCCATTCCCTCGTAACACCCGGCCCAGAAACCTCCAAACTCAGTACATGATTGCCCGTACCGTCAGAGCAAGGCTCACACAACAAAAACACAACCCCTTCCAAAGGTTTCGCTCCAACATCAATCCACTCCATCCCCACACCCTTCTCCTTGCCGTGACCAAAAGAAGCGAATTCCGAACTCTGATACTGAACCACACTCCCAAACCCCCCATTCCTCATCCCCTCATCCCCCCACTCATCGACCCCCAAAACCTCCATCTCCCCCTCCCCCTCCTCACCCAGAATCTGCCTCTTCACCTCCCTCAAAACCCCTCCCCTCCAATCCTCCTTCCCATCATCACAACGAATCCGAATCGGAATCTTCCCAACACAACACCCAAAAACCCTATGAATCCCTTCGAGTCCCGAAGAGTTCCGACCCGCTACGACTTGTCCGAAACCCACGTCCTGGACGCAAAGGAGTTGGGATAATGTGAGAGCCCATGCAGCGGAGAAGACAACCGCCGGAGTGAAACCCCCTCTCTCGGGAATATCGACGAAACGGCGGAGATGAAACGCCTCCGCCTGCGAACATGTTTCTAGACTCGCGGGGAGTAGGTTGCGGCATTCCGCATCGCTTGCTCCTTCCCTTTCCTTTCCCTTCGATGTACGCAAAACATGCCGTGTATACCTCGAAAAGTCCACCGTATCCGGAAACTCGCCAGAACGAAGAGCTTGGACGAGAAGCTGGATCGAAATCCCATCGTATTGAGCGTGAGAGAGACGGATGATGATCGAGCAGGAGCAGGAGTGCTGTGACTGCTGTTGGTGTTGGAGGAGGAAGAACTTCGTCGGGAGAACGCTGGGGTGAAAAGGTTGTTGGGCGTCGGATTGACAGAGTTGCTCGACGTAGTCCGCCGGTGAGATATCGGGTGGGAGGGTGGAGTGTGAGATACATGTGCGAGGGTCGATCCTCTCTTTCTTCAGGATGATTTGGATGACTGCGTTTGAAGGGGTGGTGTGGAAAAGTGTCCGGAGGGTTTCGAATTCTAGGATGGAGGTTTCGCAGCGGAGTTGGAGGTGGAGCGGGGTGAGATTTGTGTGGGCTGGGAAATTTAGCCAGAGGTAGTTGAAAGGTGGCATGACGCCGCTCAGTGCTCCGTGGATGAATTCGTGCTGTGTACGTGTTGCGGGGAGGGCGTCGGTTATGTCTTCTGGGTCGCGATTGATGTGTTGAGCAAGAGCGGTACGGGTTAAGTCTGGATGGAATTCGTGGAGAGTGGCGAAAGGCGGTACGTCTTCTTGCTTGGGTTTTGTTGACGGCACGACAACACCGTTCTCGACGATGGGTGAGAGGAGATGGATGGTTGGGTTGGCGAAAACATCACGCACATCCAGGTACAGCCCTTTCCCGCGTGCGAGGCCCACGAACTTCATGACTGAGATGGAATCGCCACCGCTCTGGAAGAAATCGTCGTGGATGCTGATTTCTGCTTCATCATCGATTTTGAGGACCTGTGCCCAGAGGTCCGCCAGGAGCCTTTCAGTCCTCGTACTGGGTGGCGTTCTATGCGGATGGCTTCGAAGCAGAGAGATTTGCTGAGCCGTCAGATCCGATCCCAATTGTCGTAAGAGGCGACGATCAGCCTTGCCGGAGGTGGTGAGTGGAATCCTCGTCAGAGGGACGTAGAGCTTGGGGAGCATGTAGGTGGGAAGACGATCGCGGAGCTGCACCTCGAGCTCCCCCATCATAGAAGCCATCGTAGGTATCCTGGTCTCGTCCAGAGTAACGACCCCTTCAGCGGCAACGACGGTATGTTGAACGAATGCCACCAACACCGCCGGCGCCTGTCCGCGAAGCTCAACCAGCTCTACGATGACTGCTTCCGCTAAAGCCAAACACTCTGCAAGTTGCAGTTCAATCTCCGCCAACTCGAGCCTCTGCCCGTTGATTTTGACCTGTTCATCGCGACGACCGACAAAATTGAGGCCACCGTCGTTAGTGTAGCGCACAAGATCTCCAGTTCGATAGAGTCTCGCATTAGGCAACCAGTCCGGAGACTCGATGAATGCCGCCTGGGTCTTGTCCTCCGCGCCCAAATATCCTCGCGCTAATGGGGGCCCTTCGATGAGTAACTCGCCAACGGCGCCAATAGGCAGCAATCGGTCGCCCGAATTCACAACCCAGCTGCGCCAGCCCTGCTCAATTGCACGTCCAATGCTAGCTCGATCGTGTTTCCCATCCGCATAGTCCGCTCTCATGCAGATCACACAAGCTTCCGTAGGACCATAGACAACCATGAAGCGTTTCAACTTCCTCCAAATCTGACGATCAGACTCCGTCACCACCTCACCTCCCACAACAAGCACATCCAAACCCGAGAGCTGACCGAACGAGAGGCAACGCGCGACTGATGGCGTCAAGAAAGCCCAATTGACACCCTTTTCCCTCAGAAACGTAGCCAAGCAGTCGTAGTCGCCACGATCCGACTCGGAGGGTATACAAATACATCCTCCGAAGATTAGAGTCGTGAAGATCTCCATGATGCAGCCGTCGAAAACGTAAGAACTGAACTGCAACACCCTTCGTCCTGGAGTCGCGAATCCCAAAGCGTTTCCGTGTGCGAGACAGCTCGTGCTGACGGCGCCATGCTCCATGACCACGCCTTTGGGCTGACCGGTGCTTCCGGACGTGAAGATGATGTAGGCCGGGCTGGAAGACGTCAACGTCGCGGAAACGCCATCGCTCACCGTTTCCTTTTCCTCGCGATCCACCAGGATTGTCGTGATCGAGGTTGGCAGTGACAAGAGCCTCCTCGCACATGTAGACGACGTGAGGATACAAGTCGCCCGGACCTGCTGCAAAATGCTTTCGCAGCGTGCAGGGGGAAGTTTCGGATCCAGAGGTACAAAAGCACGTCCGGATTTGAGAACCGCGAGCATAGCAACTGGCGCCCACAGGGATTTCTCCAAGCAGATAGGGACATAGGTATCAGAAATATCGAGATGCTGGTGGAGACGACTCGCCACGCGGTTGGATAGGGAATCCAGCCGTTCGTAGGTCAGATCTCCATCCCAGCTCGCCACGGCCGGAGCGTTGGGTTGTCGTGAAAGCGTAGCAGCGAACAGGTCGTGTATGCATTCCAAAGATCGCACTGGTTCCACCGCATTCCAGCTCCAGATCTGCTGCGAATCCCGAGGGCCAAGGAGAGCGATTTTCGTGACAGGAGTATGTGGATGTGAAAGCATATCCGAGATTGCCGTACTGAAAGCCGAAGCCACACTGTCCATAACTCCGTGCAACGAAGTCACATACACGAAGGAAATCTGCGTCTCTTCCGGGCCTTGGTGGATTTGAAGGACAATTTCGAACTGGAAATGTTAGCAATGCCCATCAACGAACTCGATCTCGAGCAAACTCACTTCGGAAGGATCATGACCCGTTTGAGAGCGGAAAGTGATCATGTCATCTTCCCTGGAATCCGAAGCACCGACGTCCCCACGCACCGAAACAACCGTATCAAACAACCTCGTCGAACCCAGACCAAGATGATGATGAATCTCCGTCAAAGGAGTCGGCTGATGCTGCAAAGCCTCCGTCGTCTGCGCCTGGAGGATTTGCACGAGCTCTTCCACAGTCCTGCACTCAAGCTCGGGTGGCGCGACAAGCGGCGCCGTAGAAATCAAAGGCCCAACAATCCCTTCAACCCCCGAAATCGGGAGATCTCTCCCGGACGCAATCCAGCCAAAACAGGGCCGAGGGGAGTTTGTGTAGGCTTGTAAGACCAGCGTCCAAGCCGCGTAGAAGAGGCTCGAAGGAGTCGTATTCGTGACTTGACAGAAGTTTCGGAGGTGAGACGTTTGGATTGCGGGAGCAGCTAATTCCATTCGCTGCGAATCGCGGGAGGAGGGTTCGCCGCTCATAGGGAAATAGCAGGGTTCGATGTCGGAGAGGAGGGTTTTCCAGAAGGTGAGTGCTTCGTTGCTTTTGTCGTGATGGTGGACGTAGGTGATGTAGGCTTTATAAGGTGTCGTGGCGGGAAAGGGACGGGCGTGATATGCGAGGCGGAGATCGCGGGCGAGGAGGTCGATGGTATGTGCGTCGATCAAGGCGTGGTTGATGATCAGGGTGAAGTGTATGGTGCCCGTTTCTTCGGAGGGTGAGATGGTGACCCAGTGTTGGGGAGCGTTGATTCTTTGCTCTCGTTGACCACGCTGCGATGCTGGCACAATATGCACACTTGGATCGACTCTGCGGAGAACAATCTGTGCCAAGCCAGTCTCGGGCATATCTCCAACGAAAACGGTTCGCAGAATCGGGTGGCGCTGGACGACAGCACCCCAAGCATGCGAGACCCGCACGGCATCCACCGGTGGTCCGCCGTGCTCCGATGGGGCGATTTCCATCTCATACCGCACGAGGTAAGAAGTTGGATTGGCCATCTGGCTCGCCAAAATACCCGCTTGCACCGGAGCGCAGGCGTACACGTCTTCGACATCAGATATGTGCAGGCCCAGGCGTGGGAGCACTTCGGTCTGGAACTTGGTCAAACTTTCGGATGCGGTGAAAGCAAGAGGGAACTCGCTCAGCGTTGGCTCGGGCGATTGCTGTGGTGGAGTGATGGCCGATTCCGAGCGCGTGTCTACCATCGCCGCCATCCTCTCACACGTCTTCTCCCTAAAAACATCACTGACCCTCACCTCCAACCCCTCATCCCGACACGCAGCAGCGAGTTGCATAGCCGTGATCGAATCCCCACTCAGGCCGAAAAACGAAGCATCAACCGGAATGGCTGCTTCGTCGAGATGTAAAACTCTTGCCATGAGATGACGGAAGAGTCGTTCGGTGGAATTGGCCGGAATTTTTCGTCCTGGTGTCTTTGCGTTTCCGGGGCAGAAATGAAGCATGTGGCCCGTCCTCGCAATCTCTCGTAAACGTTTGTGATCCGTAGTCCCGGTTGCTGTCAAAGGAATTCTGGCCAAACAAATGCAGCCGGCCGGGACGATGTACGATGGGAGGGAGGTGGTGAGGTGGTGGTATATATCGCCCTTCTTCTGAATTAAGTTTTGGCGGAGATGTTCGGTGAGTGAGTCGGTCGGGTGGGAGGGAGAGATGAATGCCATGAGCGAACCTTTGCTAGGATTTTCCGGGAGAGTGACGAGCTCAACGGCAACGCAGATCTCGCTCGTGCACAACCTCCGTACTGCAACGGCAATGTGGTCTTCGACTTCCCTGCGCTCAACCCTCTGCCCGCGGATTTGAATCTGTCCGTCCTTGGGTCCGAGACATTTCAAGCTGCCATCGAAATTATATCGAACCAGGTCACCCGTCTTGTACAGTCTGCCCGATCGGCCTGGAAAGCTCGGACGGCCGCGAAGCAGCCATGATGGGGAAGCGACAAATGCAGCCTCGCTTTGGTCTGCGTTCTTGAGATATCCGTGTCCCACGACCGGCCCTTCGAGAACCAGTTCCCCAACGCCGCCGATAGGACAGAGTCGATTGGGATTCTCGGAATCGACAATCCAGGTGCACGAGCCGGTTCCATACCCAATATTCGTCGACGGTGCTGTAGTGTCTGCGATGGATGCGATCGCCGAGCACTCTGCTGATCCGTAGAGGAAAAATACCGGAACGTGTTCGCGGAGACGATCGACCAGGTAAGCACTCGCAATCTCTCCTGTGAGGCCGAGTTTGGAAAGCGATTGCTTGGCGGAGTCTTCGAGTAAAGCCGCCACTTGGGGTGTGAGCGTTGAGTAAGTCACCCTATATCGAAGGATACTGCCGGAGAGATTCTTCTGCAGCTCCTCGCTGGAAGGAACGCAGAGACAACCTCCGGCGTAGAGAGTGTGTAACAGGCTATGCCAGCTCATGTCGGAAGCGTAGGATGAAAAATCTAGTACGCGAGATTCTTTGCTCAGGCCGAGTTTCTCCTTTTGATGGACCAATGCACTCGCGAAGTTGGAGTGGGAGATGACGACGCCTTTGCTGTCAGAGGTGAAGATGACATACAAGGGGCTGTCAGGCCGAGCCGATGGGAGGATCTTCGAGGAAGAGGGCTCCAATTCGACCAAAGGGACGTCGTCGACCGGGTGTAGCACTGCACCAGACGATGGGTCTTGATGCATGACTTGTGTCGCCAAGGTCTGTGTCCGCCTCGAGCAAAGGAACCAGCGAGCTTGTGCCTGCTCAGCGATGACACCAAGACGTGCTACCGGCTGGCCGATATCGAGCGCCACCGATGCGCCACCAGCCTTCATGACCGCCAGCATTGACACTGGCATCCAAGCCGACTTATCCAAACACAACACTACAGTCGAGCCCCCGCCAACACCGAGAGTTTGGAGTCGGCTAGCAAGTCGACTCGACACATCATCGAGCTGTGCGTAACTCAACTGGCCATCCCAGGCGTCGATGGCGGGTGCAGTGTCCCCTCGTGACAGCACCAAATCGTGCACGCATTGCTCACAGCTCGTCGGAACCGGGGCGTTCCAGGACCAGATTCGGTCGAGTTGCCCAGGAGTCACTACTTCGATGTCGTCAATCGTCGACAGCGATCCTTCGACTAGCTGCGTCAAGACATGTGCGAGTGAGTCCAGTAGACCATCCGTATCACTGCTGCTAAGGACTCGTCGATCATACGCCGCCGACAATCGAACTCCATCAGCTGTCGGCTCGCACTGCAGCATGAGTGGGTATGTAAGAATCTGCGCTTGTCCCTGATACTGCCAGTTTCCGAAGGGACTATCATCATCATCAGAGTGTGCGTCGTGAGAAATCCTCTCGGCTTTGGGTTGAATGACCAATAATGTCTGAAACTGACACGCATGTTCGGCGTCTGCTCCGAGACTTCTGACTTTCCTCAGCCCGACTTGTTCATACTGGATCATGGCCGTCGTCTGGTTTTGGATTTGGCGCAGGAATTCGGAAATTGAAGCGTTGTCGTTCACTTGTACTCGTACCGGTACCGTGGCGATTGTTGGCCCTAAAATATGATTGATGTCCGCAACAGGCGCGCTGCGGCCGTATACGGTACAGCCAAAGACTATATCACGAGAGGCTGTATATCTGGCGACCACGAGAGCCCATGCCGCCCTGAGCACGGAGGAGATGGTGAAGTCTGACTTCGCTATGGATCCCAGGGAACAGAAGCGCTCCGCGTTGCCCCGTCCACCGTCGTCGTTTGTGGTAAGCATGTTCGGAACCTGCGACGGGAAATGCGAAGAGTCAAAGCCAGCGAGAAGCGAGCGCCAAAACTCTGCCGCGGCATCCTCGTCCTGCACACGGCACAGATGCGCAATGAAAGCATTGAAAGCAGCCATCGGTCGCAAGTTGCGTCCATTGCCATAGTGATCTTCCACGACGTCCAGAATCAGCGGCAGAGACCATCCATCGAACAACGCATGATGGATCGTCCAGACAAAGAAGCGTCTCTTCTCCTCCACAACTATAGCGACGTCGAGAAGACGCTGACCCAAGCCCGGTGGTGTGGCCTTCTTGTGGCGGACGTATTCTTGCAGCGATGTCGATTCGGTCCAATTGAGTTCCATCCGATCTTGTACGATCTGGAAGAGGCCGAGATGTCCTAGCTGGGCGATTCGGGTGCGAAGAATGGGGATGGAGTGGATAGTAGCGTGCCATGCCATCTTGAAGCGCTCCAGGTCAATGGTATCCCTAAGCGCGAGGACGTAGCATGCGAGATAGTCACCCTGCGAGCTCGTCGAGAGCGCGAGCATTCCCTCCTGGAGTGGAGTGCATGGATAGACGTCTTCAATGCTCTCCGAAGAAAGCTCGCAGGCAATGGAGGCCAGACGTTGCATTTGCGCTTTGCTGGCGCCGGCGGGTAAGAGAGCGAAGGGTGAGATGTAGGATGGTTCTGCATGCTCCTCCGTCACGGATCCTGCTGCGTGCGCCATATCGGAGAGGATGGGGTGGCGGAGAATGTCGGAAACCTGCAAGCACATTAATTGCATTCTTGATATATTCCCGAAATGGGAAGGAAGTGACTTCTCACCGCGAGAGAAAGATGATGTTTTCGCGCCTCCGATGACAGCTTGAGCGCCGTCAAGGAGTCACCACCGAGTTGTAAGAAGTGGTCGTGACGTGAGAGAAGGCGCTCTTCGCAGCCTAGCACTTTTGCCCACAAGTTGGACAGCAGTTGCTCCGTCGCACCACTGGGTCGTTGATGAAGTGCATGATCACGGTCGATGCCGTGGAGGTCTGCCAAGTCCTCTTCTGCCAGAGCAGACAGCAGGTGGCGTAAGGAGCGGCGATCGACCTTCCCATTCACGGTCAGCGGCACCTTGGTCACCGGGATGTAGAGCTTCGGGACCATGGCGATGGGAAGTCGTGCACGGAGCTGCTGGGGCAATTCTCGCGCAAACGACGTGATTTGGTCACGACGTATAGCAACGAGCTCGGTGTCTGCCTCGCCGACCTGGATGAAGGCGGCCAGCAGGGCCGAGGAGCGTCCCCTGACGTGCACATGTTCGACGACGACAGCCGCGTTGGGAAGACACTGCCGGACGTGCTGTTCAATCTCGCCGACTTCAATCCTCTGGCCATTGACCTTGACCTGTCCATCCATGCGGCCGACGAATGTGACCGTGCCGTCCCGTTCGTACTTGACGAGATCGCCCGTACGATACAGCCGCGTCTCGGCACCGAGTGTGTTCTGAAGAGCGTGAACGAAGGATGCATTCGTCGCCGCCTCATCACCCAGGTAGGCACGGGCGAGCACAGGTCCCTCGATGAGAAGTTCGCCTGTCGCGCCGATCGGGCAGAGCCTGGTAAAGTTGGTGGCGTCGACGATCCAGCTGCGACTACTCGGAAGGATGGCACGACCGATCGTGCCTTGCACGGCTTTCTTCCCTTTCTCCCGCTCGGATGGCGATGGATAGTGCGCCACGAAGCAAATGATGCACGCCTCAGTAGGCCCGTAGACGATCAACAGCCGATTCACCTCACGAGACCAGACGTCGCAGTCAGCATTGGCTACAGGCTCTCCACCGACGAGCAGCGTTTCGAGTGGGCTTTGGAGACGCGAGAAATTCAATAGGCGCGTGCGAGATGGTGTTAAGAAGGCGTAGTTGACGCGGCGGCGATTCATGAAAGCTTCCAGGTCGTTGGCTCTCTCGGCGTCGGAGGGCACACAGACGCAGCCGCCGTAGAGCAAGGTGGTGAAAATTTCCATGAGACAGCCGTCAAAGACGAAAGCGCTGTGGCATGTCAGTGTCAGGAGCGATCAATGAATGGCACTACAAGGGAACAGGGGACGTACCTGAATTGCAGCACACGCGATTCGCGATTGAAGCACAACGCCGGCCCAAGGGCAAGGCAACTCGTACATACGGCACTGTGCTCGACCACGACGCCTTTCGGGGCGCCAGTACTGCCTGAGGTGAAGAGAACATATGCGGCGGCGTTGGGGTCGCATTGGGGCAATGGCAGCCGCGGAGAATGGGGGCTTTCATCTAGAAGCACAGTGGGCGCGCCGTTCGCCACCAAATGATGCTGGCACTGGCGAGACGTCAGCACAAATGGAGCGTCGGTACGAGCCAGAATGTCCTTGTAGCGCGCTGCAGGCCACTGGGGGTCTAGAGGGACGAAAGTGGCGCCGGCCTTGAGAATGGCAAGAATAGCAACGACTGCGGCGGCCGACTTCTCGATGCAGAAGGGAAGGCGAACGTCTGCTCCCACGCCACGATGTACCAAAGAATGAGCCAGGCGGGTGGAACGCTGGTCCAGCTCATGATAGGTGAGCTCGGCATCCCAGGAACAGACGGCGAGCGCCTCAGGCCATTTGGCGGCACATTCGGACACGCGCTCGTGGAGGCATTGAGGTGGATGCGCTGGCTGTGGCGTTATGGCATTCCACTGCCGGATCATGTCGACATCGTGGGCGCTGACAAGGTTGACATTCCCTATCAATGCAGAGTGAGCGTCGAGGGTGATGGCGGTGAGACTCGATATGGCCTCGCTGAAGGCGGCAGCGATGCTCAACGCCAAGTCGTCGGGTATAGTGGAGGCATAATTCAACGACGCTCTCGTCGACTCATGTCCAGCCACGACATGAGCTGCGATTGCAAACTGGGCCTCGTGGTTAGTATACATAAATCATCGAGGGGAATCGATACCCACCTCGGAGACATCGTGTCCTCCGACGCTGCGAAACACCACATCGGCATCATCGGCATCATCGGCATCGGCATCGACATCGGTATCGTGGGCATGCTCAGTCGTCACAGACAAAGCGCTATCGAACAACGCACCGGTATTGGTATGCTGCATCTCCATAAGGGGAAGCAGCTGATGACGAACAGCGTGGAGCGTATCATCGAAACTACGTCGTACCGTCTCCAGCACCAAAGAATCGTCGTCCAACGGCACAACGAACGGCACCGTCGTAACCAGGGGGCCTACGATCGACTGCACGCCATCAATGGGCAGTTCCCGGCCAGAGATGACGACGCCGAAACATGGCGTACGCGAAGCCGTAAAGGCGCGCAGAACGAGCGCCCAGGCAACTTGACAAATACTTGACACGCTGACGCCAAACGTGGCGCAGAAGAGCTTCAATGGGGCGTGAGCAATGGGCGGTATAGCCACTGTCGACGACGACGACGACGACGACGCCGAAGCCGTGGAAGCGATACAGCATGCTTCCACGCCCTGGAGACGTGACGCCCAGTAGCTTCGAGCTTCTGCCAACGACTGGTGCGCGAGGAATTCAATGAACTTCGCATACGGCACCACGACGTCGTGGTCCAGGGGGAGAGCGCTGTAGATGGCCGTGAGCTCACGGACAAGGAGTCCGATGGAGTGTGCGTCCATCAGGGCGTGGTTGATGCTCAAGATGAATTTCACAGGCGTCGAGGCATCGGCGGACTGGCGGATTTCCACGCGGTGTTGCGGTTGTGCCGGTGCGTGTGTTGGTGGTGATGCATTGGATGGTGGTGGTGGTGGAGATGCCCTAACGCACACGACGTCGGGCGAGCAGTTGCGCAGTACGACCTGCACAAAACCGCGCTCGCTCTCCACGAACACAGTCCTCAAAATGGCATGTCTCTTCACCACCGTACGCCACGCTCGCTGCAGACGCACGACATTCACCGCTGGCAGCTCCGCCGACGAAGGAAGCACATCGAACTCCAGTCGCAGTCGATACATGTCCGGCGCCACGGCCTGCTGGAGGAGCATCGCCTCTTGCGTTGGTGCACAGGCATACACTTCCTCCACCTGCGAAACGTCCAGGCCCATATGCCCCAGCTTCTTCTTCAACTCGACGCTGGCATCGTCGTCAAGCGAGAGACGAAATCGTCGTCGGTCATCGTTCACGTCGTGTCCTCTTCCACGCCCAGGCATCTCCTCCACAACACGAGCATCATCCTGCGTCGCCTTGCATCGTTCCTCCAACAACACTGCCAACTCCGCAATATTCCGCCGCTGGAAAACATCTTGCACCGACACGCCTTCGCCAAAGCCCCGTGCACGGCAAGCGGCGACGACCTGGATGGCCGTAATCGAGTCTCCTCCCATCTGGAAGAAATCGCTGCGCACACCAATACTCTCCGCCGAACGCTTCAGAGTGCGTGCAAAGATGGCCTGAAGCTCTCGTTCCAGAGCCGTAGAAGGTTGTGCTGCTTCCTCTGGCGCCTTTTCATCAGCTGTGTCTTCGCAGACCGAAACTTGGGATCCAATTTCCTTTAGTCGTCGCCTGCTGACTTTACCCGTAGCTTCGAGAGGGATTGACTCCACCCGAATATACGCCACGGGGATCATGCTGGATGGGACTTGCTGCGCCAGATGATCATTCACCGCTTGCGTCGCCTCAGCCTTCAAAACCTGATTCGACGATGACAAGCCCTCTCCTTCAGCGCCAGACCAGACCAGAAAAGCAGCGAGCACAGATCTCTCCACCATATCCCGCGGCGTGATCAACGCAGCAGCCACTCGAACATCTTGAAACGCAAGCGTCTTCCGCACCGCCATCTCGACATGATGTTCCACCTCACCGAGCTCTACACGCTGACCGCGAATCTTAACCTGCCCATCCTTCCGCCCGACAAATGTCAAAATCCTTGGATCTTCGGGAGAGGACCGCACGAGATCGCCCGTGCGATAGAGTCTGCTCGATCGTCCCAGCCATTCAGGATATTCCAAGAATACGGCCCTTGTTTTGTCCGCGTCGTGGAGATATCCGGCGCCGACGAGTGGACCTTCGAGAACTAGCTCGCCAATGGCGCCAATGGGGACGAGGTACTGGCCATGCGTCGGTTCTACAATCCAGGCATTGAGACCTACAGCAGAACCGATTGAAGGATCGTCTTCCATGTCCGTGGGCAGAGGGTCAGTGATAGTGCTCACGACTGTACATTCCGCAGGTCCATAGGTATTGAGCAGCGTGACGCCTGTACCCTTCCAACGCGCAAGATCCGCAGCGTTCAGAGGCTCGCCGATGAAGCTGAGAACCCGAAGACTCGGGACTCGACGCGGATCGAGCATGCGAGCAAGCGAAGGGGTCAGATGGGCATACGTGACGGAAAGTCGAGTGATCGCGGAGACCATGTCGTTGCCGAGTTCGTCGGTGTTTGGGATGCAGAGACATGCGCCGGCGAGCCAGCAGTGCAGCATATTGGACCACGCCACGTCAAATGCGTAGGAAACCCCGTCGAGGACGCGGCTGGTCGTGTCCAAGTGTAGCTTTCGATGCTGCAGTGCGGCGGCAGTGGCGAAGTTGGAGTGGGTAATGATGACTCCCTTGGGCACGCCTGTGCTGCCGGAGGTGAAGACGACGTAGAGTGGATCGGCGGGAGATGGCGTGGGGAGCGGTGGTGGAAGGGGTTCCTGGTCGTTGCCATCGCGGTCGATTCTCACAATCGCATAACCACCACCTACCATCCGTGCCAAGGGTTCAGTCGCCTCCGAGCAGAGGATATACGGTGGACGAACTTGGTCCACGATCGTGCGTAGCCTGCCCGCGGGCAATGCAGTGTCAAGCGCGACTGATGCACCGCCTGCTTTCATGACGGCCAGCGCAGCAATCGACGTCCACTTGGACTTCTGGAAGCACAAAGCCACCACAGCCTTGCTGCAAGGCGACAGACGGCAGAGACGACGAGCGAAACGTTCCGAGGCAGCGTGGAGCTGTCCATACGTAAGTGTACCGTCCCACGAGCACACCGCCACGGCATTCGGACGCGCGCGAGCCTACAGAAAGAGTCAGCATCGAAGCCCGCGCGATCTGGATCATATGTAGCGCTTACCTGGTCCGCAATGAGATGATGAACACACGCATCCACAGAAGCCGGAGCCTGAGCATTGCATTCCCGAATCCTCCTCTCGTCTTCCAGCGGCGTACTGACGATCCTCTGAAACGTAGTCTCCGGACCCGCATTCCGGAGCTGCGAGAGCACAAGCACCAACTGTCGTAACAAACGTCTCGCATCCTCCTCTCGCATCGCCCGTGGATCAAACGTCGCCAAAATCTTCACTCGATCCTCTGCCAGCTGGATTTTGAGAACGAGGGGATACGTACGAGAACTCGCAGCCCCGTGGTCAGGCACCCAACGCCCAAACGGACGCATTTGCATTTTCTCCTGCGCATCGTCGGGCTGTATGATCAGCAGTGTCTGGAATGTGCACGCCGTCTGCGCCTCGGCACTGTACGTAGCAATCTTCACGAGACCCGTCTGCTCGTAGGGCATCATCGTCGCGCCGTCGCGCTGGAGCGTCGAGAGGAAATCTTCGATCCGCATAGCGTCGTCGGGAAGGCGTACACGGAGAGGAACCGTCGCCACCGTAGGACCGGCAACGCGCTCGATGCCCGGCAAAGGCACATTGCGGCCGGAAACCGTGCATCCGAAGACAATGTCGTGAGAAGCAGTATTACGCCCCACGACGAGAGCCCACGCAGCTTTCACCAACGTAGCCACCGTAATCGACGACAGCGACCCCGTACCCTCAAACACACAGAAATCCTGCACTTCGCCCGGCTGCACGCTGCCTTGCGGATCCTTCGAGATCGTCGGAAAGGTCGAAAAATCCAATCCCTCAAAATAGCCCCTCCAAAACTCCCGCGCCTCACTTTCGGGAGTGTGTGCCAGAAACTGCACGAAAGAATCATGTCCTACGGTCCGCGGCAGGACGGAAGAGCCTCGATAGCACGAAGCCACAACCTCTAAAATCAGAGGCAACGACCAACCATCGAAAACCCCATGATGAATCGTCAAAACAAAAACCCTCCTCTCCTCCAACTCCTCCGGCGTCTGCGTCTTCAGAAGCGCAAATCGAGCCAACGGTGCACCTAGCCCCATCCCCCTCCCTTTCTCCCTCGAAATATACCCCTCTAGCGAAGAAGAATCAATCTCTTCCCACGACAAAGCGGCATCGACAACGATTTGAAAAAGCCCCCCCTCCCCAATCTGCGCGATCCTCGTCCTCAAACTCGGGATCGCCCGCACGCTCTCCTCCCAAGCACGTCTCCATCTCCCCTCAGAAATCTCCGCGTTGAGCTCGAGCGCATAGCAAACCACATATTCCCCGGGGAATCTGAGGGAGAGAGCGACCATACCCGCCTGCAACGGAGTACAGGGGAAAACATTCTGGATTGTTTCCACCGGCACACCGCATGCGGATGCGGCGAGGGATTTTGTGGTCTCCGGCGTTAGGGTTGGGGGACGGAGGGTGAAGGGGGATAGAGAATTTTCCGGAGAGGGAGAGGGGTGGACGGGCAGGACGTTTGTTGCGAGGGCTGAGAGGATGGGATGGAGGAATACGTCTCGGACGGAAAGGATAAGGCCAGAGTCCCGGCTCGTTGACGCTAATTTGATGGCTGAGAGGGAATCGCCTCCCAGGCGAAAGAATGCGTCGTCGGTGCTGATTTTCTCCGCAGGTATCGCGAGCACACGCGCCCATAAGTCACGTAAGATGCGTTCGGAGTCGGTTTGTGGAGGGATGATGCGTTTTTTCTCGTCGCTACCCGTTCCGCGGAAGAGGTGTGTGAGTTGGTCCTGGGAGAGGGTGGAAGCCATGTGGCGTAGGAGGCGACGATTGATTTTTCCGGAAATTGTTAGGGGGATGTGGGTGATGGGGAGGTAGAGTTTTGGACACATGTATGCTGGGAGGTGGCGGTGGAGGTGTTCGTCTGCTCGTTGTGAAAATTCCTTCAGAGAATCCTGATGTGCCGTGTCCAGCAGCAAGTCGCATACCCCATCACCATCACCATCACCCTCCCTTCCTCCTCCTCCTCCTCCTCCTCCTATCTCAACAAACGCCACCAGTGTTGACGAGTCGCGTCCAGCAAGTTGCGCAGCCTCAACAACAACATCCCTCCCCCTCCCCCTCCCCTTCCCATCCGCCAAAAAACCTTGAAGCTGAACCTCAACATCCCCTAACTCAACCCTCTGCCCATGAACTTTTACTTGTTCATCCCGTCTTCCTAAAAACTCCAACCGCCCATCAAACCCCCACCTCACCAGATCCCCAGTCCTATAAACCCTTCCTTTCCTCCTCTTCTCCAACCACCCCAAATCCTCAAAAAATGAAGTTCTGGTCTTGTCCGTATCATTCAAGTATCCCCTCGCCAATCCCTCCCCTTCAACCACCAACTCACCCACCGCACCGATAGGAACTAATTTTGAAAGATTGTCGGGATGGACGATCCATGTATGACACCCCACAGCTTTCCCAATCAGACTTTTCCGTTCGAGATCTTCAATCGTGCCGCGTCCTGTAACGCATACGATACTGCATTCTGTAGGTCCGTAGCCGACCATGACATTCTCCAACCCCGTCCAATCTTGTAATGCGTTTTTCGTGACTTTTTCTCCACAAAGCACCAGCGTCTTCAGTCCGCCCACAGTCTCTGGTTTCAAAGTTTTTGAAAGGGAAGGCGCAAGAACCGCCCAGGTGATTTGGTACTCTTGGATCACGGTATCCAGATCAGAGTTTGAGGCAGGAATGCAGATACATCCTCCAAACACGAGTGTTGTGAAGATTTCTTGGATTGAGGCGTCGAATGTATAGGAGGCGAATTGTAGGACTCGGGAGGTTGGGGTGAAAGACATAACCGGACCGTGTGAGAGGATGCTTGTACAAATTGCCGAGTGAGGGATTATGACGCCTTTGGGGGAGCCGGTGGAGCCGGATGTGAAGATGGTGTAGGCTGCGTTTTCGGGAGATGAGGATGAAGAGGTGGTGAGGTTGGTTGGTAGAGGCTGGATTGTCTCGGGACCCACAATGAGGACTTTGTACGATTCGAACTCCGGTGTCTCGGCGTATTGAGGACTTGTCAGGATCACGGTAGGTTGGATTTGATCCAGAGTCGCCACCAATCGATCAGGATGTAACGGAACAAAGGCTCCCCCAGCTTTCAAACCCCCAAGCATAGCCACGACGACCCAGACAGAGTGTTCGAATAACAACGGCACCAAACTCTCGGGTTTGATACCCAACTCTTGTAGTTGCAACGCGAGGGAGTTTGATAAGTGTTCGAGTTCCCGGTACGTGAGTTTGCCATCCCAGGCTTCGATAGCTAGAGCATTGGGGCGCAGATTCACCTGTTCGGCAACGAGATCGTGGAGGAGTCTTTCATGTTTCGGCGGTGCGTCGGAATTCCAGTTCCAGACCTTTTGGAGATCTTCAGAGCCGATACTCTCAACGTCAGAGATTTTTGCGTTGGGGGAGGAGAGGATGCTTTCGAGTACGGCGCAGAGTGAGCCGGCGACACTAGAGGCGAGGGAAGGGTGGAGGAGAGAGGATCTGTACATCAATGAGATGGAAGTGGAAGTTCGGGTGACGGTGATGTGGACTGTGAGGTCGAAGTCCGTTGGATCGTGGCCCTTGAGTGTTCTGATTGACAGGCCTTTTCCATAGCCTTGTGCAGAGCCTTGGGGCCCTGTGGTTACTGAGATGCCGGTGTTGAATGGGATGGTGGTGATGGAAGCGGAATGTAAGATTTCAGCGAGGGGGAGAAGGTTTCGAGTCATGGAACGAAGGTGTTCGGCTTGTGCTGAGCGGACGAGTTGCAAGAGCGTGAGTTCCTCGGGTTGTTGGAGTTGAAAAATGCAGGGCTGTGCGACGATGAGAGGGCCGACGATTCGGTCGATGTCGGGAATTGGATGTTCGCGCCCTGAGGATGCGACGCTGAAACATGCACTCTCGTTGTTGCCTGTGTATGCGCAAAGTACTAATGCCCATGCTGCTTGACATATACTTGAAACGGTAACGTTGTAACGTTCACAAAATCGCTGGAGTTTGGCATGATCGATTGGTGGCGTCTCGACTTGGAGGATTTTTGTGTTTTCAGAACGTGGTCCATCTCCATCCAAAGAAGGAAAATTACACGGCTCCACATTGGAAAGACGTTCTTTCCAGTACTCTCTCGCGTCGTCCAGTGGTTGGGATTCGACGTACTTGACGTAGTCTTTGAAAGTACTCGCAGGCGGTGTTGGGGATGCAAGGCCGGTGTACGCTTGCTGGAGGTCTTGAAGGAGGACGTTATATGAATGAGCATCGATGAGCGCGTGATTGATTTTGAGGCTCACGGCCATGCAAGTTCCATCCGCGTGTTCGATGATCAACTCATGTTCTGGGCGAGGACGCTGCTTCTTACCGCACGAATCGTCAGGAGCTGATGACACGCCCAGCTGCGGCTCGAAAGATTTCAAAACAATCTGCGCAAATCCGCTCCCGGGCATGTCGGCGACAATGAGAGTGCGTAGAATCGCATGTCGACGAATAACCTGATGCCAAGCGTCTTGCAGCTGCGCGACATCCACCGCTGGCCGAAGTTCGATCTCATAGTGCACGCGATACAGTTCAGGACGTGTTGACTGGCTCAAAAGAATTCCCTTCTGCACCGGCGCGCACGGATAGATATCTTCCACTTCATCCACCGAGAGGCCAAGGGCCGGGAGGATTGTCGTCTCAAACACACTGAGATCCGCATAGTTCTTAAAGGCGAGAGGAAAGTCGGTCAGTGTAAATGTGCGTGACAGGGTGGGAAGCACAGTGGCGAGCTCAATGAGTGAGTGTTTGTAAGCGAGAATCCACCTCGCGATTCGATCTTGATGTTTGATCCGCGTGGAGTGCGCAAAGAGAACCTGGAGACGCTCTCCACGCATTCGAGTCACGATATCGAAAAGTGCGAAGCGGCGTTCCGAGGCAAAGGCTGCCCATGGATGCTTCAAGTCGTGGTCGAGGGGTTGAAGGAATGCTTCTTTTCTGCGGGCGCCTGTTGGCTGGAGAGCGCCGATTGCATTGTTGAAAACCACCTCTTCGACTTCGGGAGGACGCTTGTCGTTGAGCATGCGAGAGGTGAAGAAAGCCCAGCCATTGGAAGGGATGCTGCGGAAACAGTCCTTGACGCGTGCGACGACGTCCAGAATGCTCTGGCTTGCGGTACCATCAATCTGGATGGGACAGAGAGTTGTGAACCAGCCCACAGTTTTCGCCACATCCAGGCCGTCCAAGAAGGGTTCGCGGCCATGACCTTCGTTGTGGATGGTCAGGGGCTGTGCGCGGTCAGGGAAGATGGTTGCAAAAGAATGGATCAGAGCCGCAACTAAGAGCTCCACGGGGCGAGTGTCCAAGGCGTCGTTGCAGGAGCGGCCCAGTAGAGCCATTGTAGGGGCTGGATCCAGCAAGAAGTCAGCGAAGGCCGAATTTTCCCATGTATTCTGCGTGGAGATGGCATTCGGAGCAGCTTCGGGCGCCCAGTACGTGCATTCGCGTGCACGCAATTGGAATGGCAGGAGTGCCTGTGCGGAGGAGTCCAAATGTGCATGAGCGTATTCCTGTTGGGCCTTGCACCACTGCTGATAACTGACAGAGACGAGCGCGGGAAGTTTCGGGTTATTTGCAGTTAGGAGCACTTCCAGGTCTTCCAGAATGCTTCCCCAAGAGATGTAGTCGACGAACAAATGATGACAAGTCAGCCAGAGACGCTGTGTATGGCCGACGTCCAGCAGTGCTGCAACAAGGAGCGGTCCCTGGGTGACATTCAGCCTGGTCTGAATTGCCGCGATCACTTTCTCCTCATCTATCTCGGATTCCGAAATGGGGAGTTGGTGGTGTTCAACGTGATAGGAGCTGGAGGAATCATCGGTAATGATCTGATAGAATCGATCCGCAGAGCGAACAGGCGTGGTGGTGTGATAATCGCGGTCTCGAAGGCGGGCGCGAAGCATTGCATGTCGCTCCGTCAATACGAGCAGTGCACCGTCCAGCTGCTCTCGGGTGATTGGTCGTGCGAGACGGCAGTTGATATACTGATGAAATCTCACATCCGCGGTTGGATTGAAGGATAGATAGAGCCTTTGCATGGGCGAAAGATCGAAAGGCTCATTGACGGTGTCTTTGCGGATTTGGAAACTTTTCATCCTGCTTTGCTTCGGGCCGAGATTCTTCTGCTTCTCTTGCAGCCAAGCTGCCAGGTTAGCAATGGTTAGTCTTCGAAATACTTCTTGAACCTGCATCGGGATTCCCTTGCTCATACAAGACGCCACGAGCCGCATTGCCGCAATGGAATCACCTCCCAGCTGAAACCAGGTGTCGTCAATCCCGACGTCTTCCACATCACGACCAAGGACGTCGGCCCATTGAGTCCGCAGGAGAGCCTCCGTTGCAGAGAGCGGCCGTCCCTGCTTGCTGGGCATGCATGATTCGGCCGTACCAACGATTTCCATGGCCTTCATTCGGGCACCGATCTCGCGCAGCTGCTGTCGATGTGTCTTCCCTGTCGACGAGAGTGGGATATCCGAGAGCACGATGTATCCAGATGGAATCATATGCGGAGGAATCATGTGAGAGAGGCGCCGAGAGATCGACGCAGCCACCTTCACCAAATGAGCTCTCGTTTCCTCGAGTGCAATATTATTTGGTCGTGCGACGAACGCAACCAGAATGGAGTTGCGGCTGTCCTTGGGCGTGACCATCTCGGCAGCGACCTGGGCGTCGGGGAAGCCGCTCTCATCGCGCAGCACACCGGTAACATGGTGCTCCACATCTCCAAGTTCAACACGTTGACCACGAATCTTCACCTGACCGTCCCGCCGACCCAGGAAGATAAGATCACCGCTGAGATCGTACTTGACCAGATCGCCCGTCCGGTAGACTCGGCTTCTCCGACCCCGTTGCATCAGCCATTGCGGTGAGTCGATGAAGCTTTCAGCCGTTCTTTCGGGGTCGTTGTAGTATCCCCGGGCTACTAGAGGGCCTTCCAGCACTAATTCGCCCACCGCGTACATAGGGCACAGCCTAGTAGGGGAGTATGGGTCTACAATCCACGTGCACAGGCCAACACCTCCTGGTCCGATGTTGGAGGGAGGTACATTGTCCGCTGATATAGAAGAGATGGCCGAGCATTCGGCAGGGCCATAGAACCATCTGACTCGAGTGTGCTTTCGCCAGCGCTCAGCTTGACCTACAGTAGCGAGCTCGCCACCAACCTCGAGTGCCTCCAGCGCATTGAGTGCAGAAGTGTCGAGGACGTCGGCAACTTTGGGGGTGAGATTCGCAAAAGTCGCTTTGTAGCGATGTACGCTTCCAGAAAGGTCATTGATGCGTTCCGATTCGGAGGGAATACAGAAACAGGCGCCAGCATATAGAGTGTGTAGGAGATTGTGCCATGCCATATCGAATGCATATGAAGAGAAGTCAAGCACCCGAGAGTGGCGTTTCAGGCCTAGGCGATCCTTCTGTACAACTAGTGCAGTGCTAAAGTTCATGTGAGTGATTACTACGCCCTTTGGGACACCGGTACTTCCTGAAGTGAAGACCATATAGAGCGCATTCTCTGGCTTTACGCCTCGCGATGCAACCGGGAGCGCGTCTGCGTGGTTTACAGATTTCTCTTTCAATACTTCATCGACGACAAGCACAGATGCCTGCTGATCTGAACGACCATCGTTCGCCCAGGAAGCGAGCTCATTGGCGAGATGCGCAGTGCTGTTGGAGCAGAGGAACAGACGACGCCGTACCTGACTGGTGATCGTCTGCAGACGACCTTGTGGTTGTGTGACGTCGAGTGCAAGAGACACCGCTCCGGCCTTCATCACCCCGAGCATTGCAACTGGCATCCACATGGATTTCTCAAAGCAGAGAGGAACAACACATTCATGGCCAACGTCGATTGCAAGTCGGGAGATGCATCGCGCGAGCTGGTCGGAGAGAACATCCAACTCGCCATACGTGAGTTCCCCATCCCATGCGCAGATGGCTGGCGACGTGGCATAGTGTATGCGCGCCTGCTCAAATATCAATTCGTGAACGAGAGTGTGGCAGGCAGTGGGCACATTTTCATTCCATTGCCACACACTCTCAGGATGTTGCGCGTCGGTCAGCTCAATATCGCCGACTTTTTGAGTGTCTGTGGTCTGAGCCAACTGCTGAAGGACCAGTGTGAAGGCGCCGAGGAAGTGATCGACCACGTCATGCGGGAGAAGACTGGCGTCGAACTTGATTCTGGTGAGGATACCTCCTTCCTGCAACTCGCATTGGACGAGCAGGGGATAGTTGGTGGGATCCGTGAGGTATTCGGAGCGCAGTTCCCCGAACGACCTCATCTGCATGATAGGATCCTCCTCGGGCAGAATGCTAAGATGCGTACGGAAGGCGCAAGCTCTTTCTGCGCTAGGGCTGAGACCAGAAATGTTCTGCAGTCCTGCTTGCTCAAATGGCATTGTCGCGGTAGTCTGCCGATGGAGGTCGTAGAGGAAGTCTGTGACTTTCTGATCTTTCCCATCCAGGCGCACACGAACGGGAATCGTAGCAATGGTGGGACCGGCAACCTGTTCAATCCCAAAGAGTGGTGCAGCACGGCCTGAGACTGTAGCACCGAATACAATATCTTGGGAGGCAGCATAGCTACCAAGTACTATTGCCAATGCTGCGTAGATGATAGTGGCCCTCGTTATGCCAGGTGTTGAGTCGGATCTGCTTGCATCCAGAGAACAAAAGCGTTCTAGGCTGTTTTGCAGGTGTGTGTTGCTCTCGGAGGTGGATGGCAGATGTGGTGGGAATGGGCAATCTTCAGCACCATCGAGATATTTGCGCCAGAAATCTTCCCACCCTGCGTCCTTTCGAGAAGAATGGACAAGATGCCCGATGAAGGAATTGAAGGGTAGCGTTTCGGGTGGGCTGAGATGCAAGTATCGCTGAGAAACCGTGCGTAAGATGAGGCGCAGAGACCAAGAGTCGTACAAGGCGTGATGGCTCGTCCACACAAAGTAGCTTTGGGGCCCAATCGACACATGAGCAATGCGTGCCAACGGCTGTCCCAAGCCTAGCGAACGACGATGTTCTGCCAGAAAGGAGTCGAGATCGTCCGATGCGGATACAATGGAGACGCTTTTGTCGACTCGAGTGACGACTTGGACCATCTGTTCGCGCTCGCCGTGCCGTAGGGCTACGATTCTCGTACGCAAAATGGCAAGCGAACGAATTGTCTCTTCCCAGGCGTCCAGCCATCGGTCGACGTCAATCGCCTTCTTCAGTTCCAGCACGTATTGCGTTACGTATCCACTGTGCGACGAAGCCAAAGAGAGGGCCATCATGCCAGCCTGGAGCGGAGTGCATGGATATACGTCCTCGACCTCATCATCAGCGATCCCACACGCGAGCGCTGCCCGTGCCGAGAAATCTTCTTCATCAACAACTTTATCGCCACCATCGCCCAAGAGTGCGAACGGCTTGATGTGGAGTGATTTGCTCTCTGGCGGTAGCAGGCAAAGGGCTTCGGCCATGTCTCTCAGTTTGGGTCGACGGAAGATGTCTTCCATGCTCAGCCGCAGTTGGTGGTCTCGAGCGAGGGCTCTCAGCTTCATGGCGCGTACGGAGTCGCCAGAAAGATGGAAGAAATCGGCATCAGCGCCAATGGCGTGCGCAGAATGGGGAAGTACTTGGGCCCAGAGGCGCTGCAAGGTACGTTGAGCTGGGGTGCTGGGCAGCTCGTACATTGCTGTAGATGTATGGCTGCGGGCAGCTTGCTGGTGGAGGAATTCCACGCCCAGGCGGCGGAGAGTCTTCCTGTCCAGTTTTCCCGCCGCTGTCTTTGGTATGGATGGAATTCGAAGCCACAGTGATGGTAACATGTAGTAGGGCACTCGCCGTGCCAGCTCTGGGCGGACGTGGCTGCGTACATAGGGCTCGTCGCCAGCATCGGTGGCGAGGCTGATGGGCGCATGGTGGGAGTCTGGATGGTGGGCTCGAGCAGCGTTGTCAGTGTTGTCAGTGTCGTCAGTGTTGTCGGTGACGAGGAAGACAGTGAGGTGTACTACGGCGGCATCGGTATCGGCATCGGCATCGGCATCTCGACGCACAACATCGGCGAGCACACGGACACTGCCGGACGGGAACAGCTCGGCTACAACCAGCTCGACTTCACGCAACTCAATGCGCTGGCCGCGAATCTTGATCTGGTCGTCGAGGCGGCCACAGTACAGAATCGACATGCTCTCTTCAGCATACCGGCCCATATCGCCGGTGCGATAGAACAAGCTCTTCGGTGCCAGACGCCGCCCATTGACGTGTGCTCTCCGACGAGCGGCAGCCCACGCAGGGACTGGCAAGGCTGCGGCGCGTGCGTGATCAGTATTGGCCAGATAGCCACGACAGACGCCCGTGCTCTCTACCACGAGCTCGCCGAGACAACCACGCGGGACAAGGCGGAGCTCATCGTCGCTGGAACGGGGGTCGACCAGCCAGATGCGCGCGCCAGATGCGTGCCCGAGGTCTCGAACATCGCTTTCTCGGCGCACGTGGGCCACGCTGCAGATGGACGCCGTCTCACTCTGGCCGTATGCGTACAGCAGCGTCACGGAATCGGCCCAGGCGTCGCGCAGCTGCGGCGTCAGGGGCTCGCCAGCCAGCACCAGCGTCTTGAGGGAGGGCACTTGGGATGGCTGCAGGCCGGCAGCATGCGCCACCGAAGGCGTCTGTGCGGTCCAGGAGACGTGCTGCCGCCGCATGACCGCACCGAGACGATGTACCGCTCGATCTTCCTCATGCGGCACGACGACGCAGCCCCCGCAGAGCAGCACCAGCACAGTCTCGCCAAGCGCCGCACCGAAGGCGTATGAGGCAGCGTGCAGTGCTCGCGTGTGATGATCGAGATGCAGAGCGCGCCCATACTGCTGGGCACTGCTCACGTACGCACCGTGCTCCATCAGCACACCTTTCGGCTCGCCCGTGCTGCCGGACGTGAAGAGAATGTACGCCAGATCAGTGGCGGTGACGCTGGACGCCGGCTCGGCCAGCTGGCCCGACTCTGCCAGAGCATCGAGAAAGGCACGGTCGACTACGAGACTATTGCAGTCGTCCGAGAAACGTGCACGATGAGCCTCCGACACGAGAGCAAGCGTCGCGCCAATGCGATGCACGATGGCGCGCAGCCGGCTATCTGGATGCGCAGGATCGAGCAGCACCAAACTAGCGCCAGATGTGAGCACGCCAAGCATGGCGACGATGACGGCTGAAGAGCGGTCAAAGCACAGCGGGACCTTGCAGCCGCGCCCGATGCCCCGCCACGCGAGATGCTGCGCCAAGGTACGCGCGAGCCGACATAACTGCGCGTAGGTTAGCTCTCCGTCCCACGCGGCGACGGCGATACGGTTTGGGTCGCGTTGCGCATGTGAAAATATGAGGTCATGGATGCATGCTCCGGTTGGGGCCGCAATAGCCGGACGATAGATGGCGTCGTGAATGGAATCGACTTCTGCAGTGCTCGGGTGGAACAACTCTTCGACGCGTTGCCCCTCCTCTTCCTTCGACACGCGGGAGAGCACTGCGCTCACGTGGTTGAGCAGCCATGTAGCGTGCGTCGCTGTGATGCACATGCCATCGTAGTGCAGTGTCAACCGCACCTCCTCTGGCGGCACTACAGCACAATCCAACCGCACAAGCGTGTTGACTTCGGACCTCACACACGACGTCCCATCCTGCTGCACGCTCACAGCCGACTGAAACCCACACGCAAGCCTGGCCTCTTCACTCACAGCAGCAATCTCCTCTAGCCTCGAAGAAGTCGCATGCACCTTCAGAATCTGCGCATGCTCCTCAATTCTTCGAACCCAATCACCCACACGCTCCCCACGATCAACCACAATCCGCACAGGATAGCTTCTGCCGCTCACAGGAACGATCCCAAACACAACCTCATCTCCACCCGTACGCTGCGCCAACACCACCGCCCACGCTGCTTGCACAAGCGTTGCTGTTGCCACTTCTGACTTATTTTCTCCCTCGATGCGCAACTTCAACACCTTCTCCACCGAAGCCGAGATACATGGTTTGTAGGAAGGTTTGGGAAGTGGAGGGTGCACGGTTGCTTGTAAGTTTTCGAATTCCCGCGCCCAGAATTTCTTGCTCTCTGCGGTATGAGAGTCCTTCGAATCGAGTATGAGTCCGTTGGAGTCGGGGTGGGAATTTTGATGCATGGTTGTCGTTTCTTTGGATGAAATCTTGGATGAACTTGGCGTTGCGGATGTAGAAAAGCTCTCGTTGTCGTGAAGAATGGTTTTTTTTTTATCTATGTCTACTACTCATTTTTGAACTGCTATACCGAGAAGCACGTTTTCGGTAGTAATACCGTCATTTTTCGACACCCGTGGACGAATTCGAAGTCGTAACGTCGACATTCTCACGGCGACGCATGCTCGGCTTACCCGACGAAAGTCCGGCTGATAAATATACCCCGGTCCCAACTCGCTCACCTCAGCTTATTATTCCGTGACGGTGGCTTCACTCAGCCGGTCACATGCCTTTCACATGCCCTCTGACAATGCCGTACTTTGCTTCGCTACCATACTTTCACACGTCAGAAAGTCAAATTTGAGGCTATATATCCTACACCTACAGCCCTACCCTACCCTACGCAGTCCGGCCACCGCAAACGAACGTGGGTACAACTTATATAAGAAAGGTTCATTTGACCTCGAGGTATTGTGCAGCAATAGTAGAGTCCGGGAAAGTTAGAGTTTTTCTACGCGAGGCTTACTGTACCTACGTACAAGGATTATACACGCTTCGACTAGGAGAGTTAGGCTCCTTTGTAGAGGCTTTTTGTGGTATGCTGCTAGGATCTTTGCATGTGCAGGCATCGAGGACAGGCAGATAGGTAGATAGATAGATAGATAGATATATACAAGGAAGAGGAAGAGGAAGAGGACAGGGTTGTATTTGGATTGTAAGAGTGAGAGTGAGAGGCAACAGCTTGGCACTTGGGGAGGTTTAGGATTTTATGTTACGGTAAGGGTGAGGAGGATATTCTTTTAGGAAGGGGGGAAAATTGTTCCCAAGGAGGGGGGGGGGGGGGGGGGGGAAGATGCAAGTGGTATGAAATGTGGTTATGTACTTGTGGATTGGCCTTGGTGAAGACTTCAGCTATCTATGTATTGTTCTACCAAATGCAGACGATCTTTTGGTTCTATCTAGACAGACCATCACAACAACGCCTGAGCCACACACATCTCCCAATACACTCCCCTCCTCGCAAGAAGCCTCGCATGCGTCCCCTCCTCCACAACTTGCCCCCCAGTCGCCATAACAATAATCCGATCCGCCTTCTGCACAGTAGCCAAACGATGCGCCACAGCCACAATCGTAAGCTTCCCCGTCCCAGCCATTCGCTCAATGGAGCGCTGAATAGCGCGCTCGTTCTCACTGTCTAGACTACTTGTCGCCTCGTCGAGTAATAACAAACGCGGCCGACGGAGCAGTGCACGGGCGATGCAGACTCGTTGTTTCTGACCTCCTGACATGCTGGCGTGCATCGCGGCTGAGAGCTCGGTGTCGTAGCCGGAGGGTAAGGTGGAGATGAAGTCGTGGACTTCTGCTGCGCGGCAGGCGGATTCTAGCATTTCTGTTGTTGTTGTCGCTGCGTTGGGGAGTCCCAGGGTTAGATTTTCTCGTACTGTTCCATGGAATAGAGCGGGCTCTTGGCTGACGAGAGCGCATAAGGAGCGGTATTGGGCGTTGGGGATTTCGTGGAGAGGGATGTTGTCTAAGAGGATTTCTCCGTTGGAAGGTGGGTAGAAGCGTTGGAGTAAGGAGAGGATGGTGGTTTTGCCGCAGCCCGATGGGCCGACGATTGCTACGTAGCTGCCTGCGGCGATGGAGAGGTTGAGGTTGTGCAGGACTGGTTCGCTTTGTGATGGGTAGGTGAAGCTCAGGTTCCGGATTTCGACGCGGATGGCGGAGTCGGTGGAAGACAGGCGGTCGGAAAGTGGTGTCGACGACATCGCTGGCGACTCATCAGGCTGTTGGACCAGGCACATTGCGACAAGGCGGTTCAATGCTGGCGCGGCCTGGGAAAAGTTGGGACCGTAGGATAGGAAGATTCCGGCCATCTGACCACCCTGGACGACGGCGGCGTAGATGATCATGAATTGCAGGACGGAGTATTCATGTGTTGCGAGGAGAGTGCCGCCGTACCAGAAGGTGAGAGCGATACAGCAAAACTCAAGACTGTTGCCGAGCGCGAAGACCAGAGCTACAAGACGGGCACGGCTCAGGGCGGTGCTGACATGCTCACGCAGCAGTTGGCCGTATTGATCGATAGCAGACCTTTCGAGCGTCAGAGCCAGCACGGTGCGAAAGCCGCGGATATTCTCGGCGGCGTGCTGGGCCGATTCGATGAAGACGCGGGAGGTGAAGGCCTCGAAGTGCTTCTCGTACATACTCCGCGTCAGCGAGGCGATGAGAATGATGGGCAGTGCGGCGACGGCGGTGACGAGCGTGAGTTTCCAGCCCACACCTAGACCGACGGCGATACATGAGATGATCGTGAAGAGGCCGACGAGCGGGAGCACCATGTTGGGTCCAGAAACCTCCTGCATCTGTTGAGGGTCGTTGCTGAGGCGTGACGTGAGGTTGTCCGACGACACATCCTCGCCGTCGAACCAGCGCACCGGCTGCCGCAGCATCGCCTCCAAGTACGTCTGGCGATACGACGACGATACGTTGATGGACAGCGTGTTGGACCCGAATCCCAGCGCCGTATAGCACGCGGTCACGCAAAGCATCATTATCAGCGCGATCAACGCCCACTTCTGCCCTCCTGTCCCTACGTGATGATGCTCCGTGCCTTGGAAGCTGACGATGAAGTTGGCCACCACCACCGATTGCACTGCCACCGCTCCGCCCGCCCCCACCGCTCCGACGAGCACGAACAGGTACGACAGGCGGCGGCCATGAACGGCGTACAGCAGTCGGGTGATGGTCCTCAGATAGCCGTGCATTGCGCCGCCTCTGCTCCCCTTTGGGGCCGTTTCGCAGTCTGCACCATCGACCTCCTGCGTTTCCGCCACGCCGCCGCCATCCTTCTCGTCAGGACCACGCGCAGCGGAGTCTTTTTCTTGGTCACCGTCGCCAGAAGAGTCCCGCTCTATATCATCGTCCTCGTCGTCGCCCAGTCGTAATCGTTGCGCCGCCACCATCTCCGCGTACTTGCTCCCTTCTTTCTCGGCGAGCTCCACGCGCAATCCATGCTCGACCACCGTGCCTTTCTCCAGCACCACAATCATGTCAGCCTTTTGCACCGTCGACAGGCGATGCGTGACGATGATGGTTGTTCGATTTTGCGCCAGCGTTTCAATCGCCCGCGCAATCACACGTTCCGAATGCACGTCAATAGAGCTCGTAGCTTCGTCGAAAATCAGCAGCGCAGGATCCTTCACGATACAACGCGCAATCGCGAGCCGTTGACGCTGGCCACCAGAGAGCTTGATGCCACCTTCACCGATGACCGTGTCGTAGCCTTTGGCCTGCCCCATGATGAAGTCGTGTGCGTACGCATCCTTGCACGCCTGCTCCACCAGCCTTCTTTTCGTCGACTCATCGGCGTCTTGATGTTGTGAGCGTGCCACCAAGCCCCGAGCGACGTTCTCGTAGATCGTTTCGTCGAATACGACGCTTTCTTGCTCTACCAGGCCGACCTGTCCTCGCCACCACTGCCGATCCAATTCTTCCACATTGTGTCGGCCCACGTAGATCGCTCCAGAGTTCTGCACAGGATCGCCTGGCACGGCCTTCTCCGTGTTGTTCCCTTCAGATCCTTCCTCCTGTGTTGCAATAGAAGCATTCGAATCCGACAAGTCATACCACCGTTCGAGAAGCGCCACAATGGTGCTCTTGCCGCATCCTGATGGGCCGAGAATTGCCGTCGTCTTGCCACATGGTATCGTAAAGGTGGCATCTCGCAAGACGGGCACTTGTGATCGACTGGGATAAGCAAAGCAGACGTCGCTGAACCGAATATCCGAGTTGACCTGCACGTCTGGCGTTCGCAAACCTCCCGGTTGTTGACGCTCCGCATCGACCAGTTCGAACAACATTTCCGAACCCGTGACCGCACGATTGATGCTGATGCTGACTGGAGCGAGGCCACCTACGGCAGGCATGATGGCAACGAGGGAGAAAAGCACCCTAGGGAAGCGATCAGCAGCTCTCCACGACAACACTGGGGATGATGATTGTACGTTACAATATCTCCAATGCTCCCAATGCCCCCGGTGCCCGAGTTGTAGAGCTTCCATCCCAGCCAAAACGTCAACGCCACGTTCCCATACGCACAGAAGAAGTACAGTCCAAACAACGCCCCTACGTACGGCGACTTCTTCAATCCCGCCTTCCAGGCCTTCGTATTCAAGACCTCGTGCCGCCCCGCCATCGCCTCTTCCGCTCCCAACGACTTGACCACCCGAATAAATCGCAGCGCAGTCGACGCCTCCGACACCGCACCCGAATCATACTCAATCACCGCACGATCCAGATTACTCACCGCAGGCCCAATCAACCCATAACACACCAGCGTCAACAACGTCAACGACGTCGAAGCCAGCGTCAACGCCCACGAATGCCAAAACGCAACCGCATACGCCGCGAAAATCAACCCCAGCGAATCCACCAGAATTTCCAACTTGTCCGCAATCGCATTCTGTAACGACGTCACCACCGTCGTCAACGCATACGTGGCAGATCCGGGTTTCAGCTCGTCGATCGTCCGAACGGGCTGCGTGAAGAGCGCGCCGAAATACGCTTTTCGGAGGGAAGCGCAGATTGTGACGCCGACGTGTCGGAAGACGTATTTGCTGACGAAACTCATGCACAGTTTTCCGATGAAGAGGTAGACGATGTAGAGCGTTAACTTGTTGATCTCGTGGCGGAAGGAGTGTTCGGAGACGTGTGAGTTGGCGGCGAAGTATTGGTTGAAGCGGTTTACGATCCGGCCGAAGACGACGTTCATGAGGGGGAGGAGAGCGCCGTTGAGGGCGGAGATTAGGGATGTTATGGCGAGCATGCGGCGTTGGGTGGGTGAGGCATAGCTGAGGATGCGGCGGAGGTTTACTTTCCTGTGGGCTGAGGTGGGTTTGTTGTCGTTCGACTGTTGACGGATTTCTGGTTCCTGCTGATTCTGGGCCATGGCGACTAATGACGACGATTCTCTCGTGTGTCCTTGAATGTTTTGGAGACAGACTCACGCCGCCCAGGCTCGTTCATGTTCGTTATTCTACCCGTGGCATCGCAGGCGTCACTTTACGTCGATACTTCGCTTCAGTACTAGTGCTACTTACCCTGCCCACGCATGGTATATGCCTTGTCCCGTCCCTGTCTCTCCCTGCAAGCTGACTGCATCCCGTAAGTATTGCATGCATTGGGTTTGCCCGTCTGTGCTTACGGAAACTTATATAGAAGAGCTCTCTCTCCCTGTCCCTGTCCATGCTTCAAGCCCACGTTCCTCGTTCCTCCGCGACGGCATCTCGTCATTCTACATTCTTACTTACAGGGCTGCTACTTCATGAACTTTCAACTCCATCACCCGAATGGCTCGTGAAAGTGGATCTGCCGTGACGCTTCACCGAGGTGAGGTGAGGCTCGAGGTGTTGGAGGGAATTTTGGAAGGCACCAACCCAAACGTCTCAGGTTCGTAGTCAAACCACCGCCGAACGTCACAGCCGTTCCTCCACGGCGGCGTCTTCCAATGGATTCGTTTCCCAGTCTAGTAACGCTCGCAAGCATCTGCCTTCTATGTACTCTGGTGGCAATCTACATTCATCGAATCCGAACCACGAAACAACATCTGGCTGCACTCCCAATCGCTGACACCGGGGACGTGGATCCCGTACAAGCCTTCATAACAAACGGTCGAAGTGTGCTAGAAACAGCACTCCGAGAGCACACGGGAGCATTTGCCATCCACACCTCGAACGGGACGCGAGTCGTAATTCGACATGGCTTTGCAGAGGAATACACCAAGAGCAAGTCCATGAGCGGCGTAGAAACATTGCGAGTCGACGGCTTTGCAGACTATCCTGGATTCCAAGCCGCAAAAGCAGCAATGGATAGTCCCTTGCTGCGAAACATGTTGGTTCGACGTCTGTCGCCTTCGCTGGCTTCTGTGCGAATTGACATGCAAGACGAGCTAGATCTCGCTACGCAGGACGTCTTAGGCGGTGTGAGCTCGGAATGGACGTCTACGGTGATTCAACCTATGGTGGGCACGCTGGCTGCACGGCTCGTGTCTCGCGTCTTGGTTGGAAAGCCGCTCTGTCATGATAAACGATGGGTGAAAGCTACGGAGAACTACACACGTTTGAATTTCGCTGCGGCGTCGGAGCTTCGTCAGGTGCGGAGTTTTCTGAGACCTTTCAAGCACTGGTGGCTCCCATCTTGCGTTGAATTGAGGCGTGCTGCATATGAAGCTCGAAGGCTTATTGCGAGCGAAGTTAGTCGGCGTGAGAAGGTGGATCATGAGGTACGTGAATGTCGTGTCCCCGACGCAAGGATTCGATCTGACCTGTCTCTCTAGACCAGGCAAAGGGGCAAAGAGCCGACTCCAAGGGCCGATGGCCTGCAATGGCTCTTGGAGGAGAGCCGCTCACTGAAAATGAAACCTGATATCACGGCCGCGGAGCTACACCTTTCGTTGATCGGAGTGCAGACCGTCGCCCACTCTTTGGGCCAAGCTTTGCGCCTCTTGTGCGAGCATCCGGAATGGGCAACGAGACTTCGCCACGAAGCGACGACAACGCTCGAGCGTCACGGCAGCTGGAACAAAGCCGCTATGTACGAGCTGAAGCAGCACGACAGTTTCCTCAAGGAGTCTCAACGGCTGACTACGGGATATTGTAGGTTCCCTCGGAATTCCACATCTTGTTGCTCATCAGGCTGATAATCAATTTCGCAGTGGCGCTCAACAGTATCGTTACCCGTGACATGGTTCTCTCGGACGGCACCACGCTCCCTCGAGGCACGCGCTGCTTCTTGGAGGCCGGGCTTCTGAGCGGGAATCGCTATCCATCCCCCCACGAGTTTGATCCTACTCGTTTTCTGCATACGCAAAATCATGATGCCGAGGCGCCGTCTGCCGTTCCGAGATCAAACTACTCTTCAGCGACTGTGGAACACTTGGGCTTTGGTTTTGGCCCTCGCGCTTGTCCCGGTGAGTTGGCTTGTTGCTTTACCCATTGTTCCCCTTTTTTCTTACGCCTTTTCTCCAGGCAGGTTTTGGGCTTCAGATCTCATGAAGATGACAATGGCTCACCTCGTGTTGCACTATGATTGGGAGCCGGAGCAGGGGAATGATACCCCTACGCTGATGGAGATCGAGTCCATACAGCTCATGCACCCGGAGGCGAAACTTCGTGTAAGACGTAGAGTGCCCGTCCAAGCTTAGAATTTCCAGTACATTGGACTTTGGCGAGCTAGCTATTCAGCATGGAAATCCGCCCGCTTCAAAGCCGCGACCACGGCATCACCCACTTCACTTGTGCTTGAAGAGCCACGCAGATCAGGTGTACGGATGCCGGCTTCAAGTGTGTCTCGCACAGCAGTCTCAATGGCCTTTGCAGCTGCCTCAAGTCCCAACGAGAACCTGCACATCATAGCGACTGCCAAGATGGTGCCGATAGGGTTGACGGTGCCCTTATTGTGAAGATCTGGAGCAGAGCCTAAGTATCGTGAGATTCAGCAGTCGAATTCGATGCGATGCGGAGCTCACTCACCGTGTATGGGCTCATACAACCCACGAACGCCATCGCCTGCGTCCGTCGGTAGGGCCGAGAGGCTGGCGCTGGGCAGCAAGCCAATGCTTCCGACAATTGCGCTGGCCTCATCGCTCAGGATGTCTCCGAACATGTTACTCGTCAACAAGACGCCGTTCAACTGCGTCGGGTGCGAGACCAGTTCCATGGCAGCGGTGTCGACTAGAAGATGTCGAAGTTTGACTGTCGGGAATTCCGACTCAATGGTCTGCGTCACGACACGACGCCACATACGACCACATGCCGCCAGCACGTTGGCTTTGTCGACGCTCGTCAGTTGGAGAGGAGGCTCGTGTTTGCTAGCCAGGCTTCCAGCAAGTCGTGCAACCCGCACAATCTCCTCGCGCGAGTAGGAGTCCATATCGTACGCCGTGTCGTTCGACTCGCTGTATTCCCGTCTCTCCCCAAAGTAAACACCCCCCGTCAACTCACGAATGATGAGGATGTTCGTGCCTCTGCACACTTCTGGCTTGAGCGACGAGCATTCCAACAAAGACGGGGCGACGAGCTCGATGGGTCGAAGGTTCCCAAAAGCGTCGAGTTTCTTGCGCAGCCGACCTAGTCCCCATTCGACGCCAGGCTGGACGGCTTGCCATTTCTTGCCACCGTCAGCAACCCATTACTGCTCTCAAATTCTCCCAGGCACGGGGTTTTCTGCACCGACCGGGCCTCCCACTGCTCCCACCAGCGTCGCGCTCGCAGACGCAGCATCTCCAAGCGCTTCTTCGGTTATGTTCACTCCATGTTCATCCCACGCGGCCTGCACACTCACCGTCAGTGTCGGGTTCGGGGACAAAGCACATAATCTCCAGAAGCGAGTGCACGAACCCCACCGATCAAATGATGTTTGATGTTGAGCTGGACATGAGGGTAATGCGATGCAATCTCATGCAGGACCTGCCGCATTCATCGTTTCAGCGCATGTTAAGTATTCTCTCCGGTCCTGTTCCGCCCACCTTGAGGCCTTCTGCAATCACCTTTGTGATTTTTAAGCGTGTGTTAGCCTTTCGTTCAGATCAGCACGAGTGTTGACTTGACTTACCTCTGGGCCGCAGTAGTCGCCGGCGCAGACGACGATGCTGTGCTCAACAGCCTTTGTCGTTTCAACCATCTTGATACTAGTCCAGATGGCAAGATCGAACACCGGTGGCAACCGTGCTTTCGATATGGGTATAGTACAGAAGACTTCTCGCGGCCAGACCTGCAGCTCTTTTTTTTTCACACAGCCTCCAGCACGAATGTTGACAACCCTTGCTAGCGCCCGAGTCCGCGTCATAATGCTAAATAGTATTTATCTCCCGTTCCAGTTAGTCATCACGCCACTCGAACGAGTTGCGAAAGATACCGTGAATACCAGCCGACCTCGTGAGGTGAGCATGGCCAGGGGGATGAACGTGCTGACGGCAGATACGGAGAAATCTGTAAATACGGCATCTCACCAGGGTCACAAGCGGGAGCCTCATCATGCCTGTTCTTACCTCCCTGCACTCCAGAGAGAACCGAAGCAAGGATCATGTACAGCATTTAGCCAATTCCGAGGGTAGAGTTTTGAGCAAGCCGATTCCTAAGTTCTCGGATACTAAGAAATATTGGACTTGCAATTGGATAATATCAAAGTTTACCGGTAGGTATTGTCCAAGGGCCCTGGATTTCACGAAGAGAGGGAGGACTGCTGGATGTATGGGTTTCGTCCTGCTCTTCCCAAACGGTCATCATTGTTAGCAATGCTCCCTTTCACCATCATGGAGGTCTATGATCTTCTGCAACCGCAGTACTGCATTGCTGTAGCCACCTTATGCTTCATACTCATCTGGTGCGTTCGAGCCATCTGGGAATGGTATGGGACGGAAAAATATCCCTTCGCCACACTGGGCGACGAAGACCCTCTGGAAAGCTGGGTGAAAAACGGAACTCAACTCATAGAAGAAGGCCTACGAAAATTCCCCGGGCCCTTTCACATCCGTACTGGAACCGGTCCCAAACTCATCGTCAGGAATCGCTGCGCCCAAGAGTTCGCAAAGCATCCCGCCTTGAGCGTAGCCGAAGCCTTGCGTTCAGATTCCTTCGCCGACTATCCCGGCTTCGAAGCTGCAAAAGTCTCGGTCCACAGCCAAGTCGTCCGCGACACGCTCTTGCGACGAGTGACGCCTGCGTTGGATTCTCTTAGGGGAAAGCTCGTGGCTGATGCCGAAGTCTCCATCCTCGAGAACTTCGGTGAGAGCTCGGAATGGACGACGGCCTCCGTACAGCCACTGATCCTCGACGTCGTGGCCAAGATGTCTTCACGGCCTTTCGTTGGGGATCGTCTATGCCGCGACCCGGAGTGGCTTGAAGTTCAAAAGCAATATGCTGGGCTGAGTGCTGTGGCGGCATCCGAGTTGAGAAACTGTTCGGTACTTTTTCGCCGCGTACGCCATTGGATGTTGCCGTCGTGTAGGAGTCTGCGTCGCCTTGTGCGCGATGCAAGGGCTTTGTATGCGAAGGAAATGAGAGTGAGAAGCGAGTCGACCAGTGTAGGTGTACGCATTCACATTCACATATGGAGCTGGCCAATCTGTGCTGACTGACGGCTTTCAGAAATCTATTGGAGACACGGATAGCATTTCGTGGCTCGAAAAGGAGTCAAGGGTTTCTAATGTACATGTTGACATTGTCGCAGCACAGCTGCAACTGTCCATGGTTGCCATCCAGACCACCTCACACGTGCTCTGCCATGTAAGACACGGCCGCCCGACACCATTCTACTGGCTGGACACGGTTGGCTGATTTCATGTTGTGAAGGCTTTGCTCCATGCCTGCGAACATTCCAAATTCATTGAGCCTCTACGGAATGAGGCAATCGAAGTCATTGGGAAGCACGGCTGGTCCAAAGCCGGACTGTATCATTTGAAACTCATGGACTGTTTTCTCAAGGAGTCGCTGAGAGTTTCCCAGGGCCGACGTACGCAAAGCAAGCACCTCCCTTTGTCTTGAATGCCAACACTAACTGTGGAATGCAGTCGCTATGGCCCGGGTGGCAACGGAAAAGATTGTGTTCTCTGATGGCACGGTAGTCCCGAAAGGCACGGGCTGCATGCTCGAGGCGAATTTCCAGCATGAAAATCCCTATGCCTATCCAGAACACTTCGATCCGTCACGCTATGCGCAAATGCGCAACGAGGCAGGCGAAACGCAAAGCTGGCAGTATGTCTCGTCCAGCCCCGACGATCAGGGCTTTGGATACGGACTTCACTCATGCCCTGGTATGCTTCATCCCTTTCAATATCGTGCGCGCTTTCACTGACGAGAACCACAATCGCAGGGAAATTCTTTGCCAACAATGTGGTCAAGGTTGCTTTCGCGCACCTGTTGATGTTCTACGATTGGTCTCTGGATTCCAACGACGAGAATCACACCCTTGAAGCTGAGTCGGTGAAAACGGTCAATCCTAACTTCCAGCTGCGTTTCAGACGACGCAAATCGTCGGCGCAGGCTGCGTAGATTCCACAGCAATGCTTTTACCAACCGCATGGACTGGTGATGCTTTCAAATTGTGAGACTTTGGGCCGCAATCGTGCACACGCGCTGTAGTGTCGCAATATACATATACAGAATGGAGATCAATCCTTGGGGTTATATCAGAGAGAATAGTCGAGAGGGCACTTCCGGTATCGAAATCTCGTTCATTACATGCTTGCTACTGTGGCGGCCTAGATGTCAATATTTTCTCGTCCTGTCGACCTCATTGACCAACCTCTGGTCCGAAGATTTTCCCAAATTTATCAACAAGATATCCAGTCCATGCAGTAGGTATCTATCATCTTGGCTGGAGTTGTGAGGGGTGATGAAGCAATTGGGAGCTTTCCACAGGGGGCTATCTGGTGGCAGGGGCTCGGGTGACTGCACGTCTAATGCCGCTCCACGGATTCCCGAAGACTCTGTCGATAGGGCATTGATCAGGTCTTCTTGTTGAATGATTTCGCCTCGAGAGACGTTGCAGATGAAGGTTCCGCCACCACCAGAATTGCCATTGCGCAACACGTCGAATTCTTCTTTCCCGAGAAGGTATCGAGTCTTCTCGGTCAACGGGAGGCAGATGACGAGTATATCGAGGTTTTGCGCCAGGAATCGATGAATATCTGCCTTCTCGGTGCCATGAAACCACAGACTGGGAATGGTGCCTTCAGGATCTCCCGTGCCAGGCAGTCGATATGCGTTGTCCAGGCGAGCGCTGGAGCTTTCTCGAGCCGTTGCCGTGTACGCGATGACATCCATATTGAACGCTGCAGCGACTTTTGCGACGTGACGGCCAATGTTCCCGTATCCAAGAATGCCGAGGCGTTGGCCGCTCAGTCCGCGATGGTGTTGCATGGCGTGAAACTCGTAGCCACGCCACTGTCGCTGCAGCTGGGCCTGGCGCTGTGCATCATACTCCCGCTGGTGAGCAATGTAGGCCATGAAAATCCACTCGGCGACGGCGGGTGCGTGGATACCAGACGACGAGGTCCATCGAATGGACGGATCCATGAACAATGAAGACTTGGCTACGTAATTGAAGCCGGCGGTGAGAAAGTGGCAGTATTTCAAGTTGGGACAGTCCTCGCGTCTCTGAGGCAAAGCAGCCAATGTCACCAGGATGTGCACGTCTCGGCAAATGTCGAGCGTAACGGGCCCAAATAGCGTGTTCATCCAGGATACTCGTAGACGTGTCTTTTGTTCGAGGTACTCGACTATGTCCATCTGCTTTGGAGATGGCCAGCATACAAGAAGATAACAACCCGACCACTGCGGCGCCGTTGGTGGTTGATTCGAAGCCATGTTATTCTTCCTTGTTGGCGCTAACCACGCCGAGTGCGATTTCGACAATCGAGTGAGCAGTAGGAAACAGTCAATCTCGGTTTTTGAATTCAGGTTCTTGGTAATCATCATGCGGTACGAGTAATTGAGCAAAAGACGAGACCGCTGCCGATAGAACCACAACGTGCCCCTGGAAATCAACCCTGTTGAGACGGCATGCTGCGGCTCGGCGAGTCCCATCGGAGCGCTATGATCGCCTTCGCCAAAGTGGATCGGAGGCAGCTGCTGAAAACGGGAAACGCAAGATCGGTATTCTAGCCATTTGATGCACCGCCATTACATCCATACTTTCCGACGTCCATGCACAACAAAGTGTTCAGGGACTAGTTCGTCATTCCAAGCGAGTCCGACGTCCATGCACAGGGCCCAGTCGCTGCACTGTCACGCTATGTTGATAAGGCGAGTGATTATTAGCTTCATCACGAGCGAACGATCGAGAATCACGAATCCCAGGCTGCCGGCATGTGACAAAATAAAGTATGCAGGGACCGGGTCGTGGTGCCACGCGAATACGACGGCCATGCAGCAGATCGTCGTGCCACGCGAATACGACGTCCATGCAGCAGAATTTAGAAAGTATGCAGGCACCAGTTCGTCATTCCACACGAATCCGAGATCTCATCCGAGAGTCAATTCTTCGCATTTACCTTACCTCTCTTGAGGCCCTCAGGCACCAAGTCCCCCGGAGCTGGGGCGAGGGGTGAAGTGGGCTGACACAACCCCGGATACACCCTCTGTCAAGAACCAAATGATAGCATCCACCGCCCGATTGGTAGATTATAACTTGATACATGCAAATCTGCCTTTCCTATTGGATAGAACAGGAGTCTGAGTCTTGGATGAAAGAGATTTGTCAAAACAGCATCGGTGTCAGGTCCTCGTACAGTATGGCCCGCCCAAGGGAGAATGCGGTATACAAGACACAGGGTCGAAGGCCTTGCAAGAGACCGATATCGCCCTTGTCTGTAGTCTGAGCGCGTATCCCACAATCAACGGTTTCACATGATGATTACAAAGCGTCAGTGCATGGGTTATGCGCGGGGGATGGAAGTAAGGGATATAAAATGTAACGATGGTGATAAGTAGGCCGCAGTCGTGATTATTATCGAATTTTGTTTTCCCTACAGTACCATCCTCTCGGACCTCTTTTCGCTAGCAATGTCTCCGTCGGTGAATGGGCGTGTGCGTCAAGGGGCGCAGGACATAGACGCCAAATACGCCAACCGCATCCCCGCCTTCAAGCACACTCGCCGGCAGTGGCCCGATGCGGTCTTGAAGAAGAGTCCGGTCCTGTTTTCGACGGATTTGCGTGATGGAAATCAGGCGTTGCGCAATCCCCTGGTAGGTGCCGCTTCGCAATGCATGGTGCCATGCGAGAGCCACGCCTGACAGGCACCTGCACAGACACTGGAGCAGAAATTGCGCATGTTCCAACATCTCGTTTCGATCGGATTCAAGGAAATCGAAGTAGCCTTGCCTTTTGCAAATCAGGCTGAGTTCGACTTTGTGCGATACCTCGTCAACACGCCGGGCGTGATTCCGGACGACGTGTTGATCCAAGTGATCACTCCGGCTCGCAGGGAGGCCATTCAGCGCACCGTGGACAGTGTGCAAGGCGCCAAGCAGGCCATCCTTTTCCTCTATATGCCCAGCAGCGACAACTACCGGGAAACGATGCTAGACTTGTCGGAAGACGAGTGGGTGGCCAGGGCAAGGGAGATGACGACGTTCGCGCGCTCCATTACCAAGGACAACGCACGCAGTAGTACGCACTGGACTTTCAGTTTCGGCTTCGAAGACTATGCCAACGCGCGCCTGGACGCCGTCGTGCGGTGCGCTGAGGCCGTGTACGCGGCGTGGCAGCCAACGCTGCAGGCGCCGATGATGTTCGCCATCGCATCAAGCGTCGAGTCGTCCATGGTCAATGTCTTTGCTGACCAGGTCGAAATGTTCTGCCAGAACGTGCCCAAGCGCGATACCTGGCGTCTCAGCATCCATACGCACAACGACCGAGGCGGCGCGGTGGCGGCGGCAGAGCTGGGCAGCCTCGCGGGCGCCGATCGTGTCGAAGGCTGCATGTTCGGCAACGGTGAGCGCGCTGGCAATATGGACCTCGTCACCTATGGGCTCAATCGACTGACGTCGGGCCTGCATCCGGGCATCGACTTCACTCGCTTGCCTGAGTCGCGGCGCCTGTTCGAAAATATCAGCCCTGACTGGTCTGTTCACCTACGCACCCCTTATTCCGGAGCCTATTGCCTCAAGGCCTTCAGCGGCATACACCAGGACGCCATCATCAAGGGACTCGCCCGTCGCGCAGCCGCAGAGCAAGCCGGCGTGGAAACCGAGTGTTGGCCGCGCTGGCGCGTTCCCTACCTTCCCTTTGATCCGAGTGAAGTCGGCATGAATCTCGACCATATCTTCGAAATCAACAACCAGAGCGGGAAAGCCGGCGTCAGATGGGTCGTGCAGGAGTGTACCGGCCATCATCTCTCGCTACAGCATGCTGAAGAGTTAACGAAAATCATCAAACAAACATCGATCAACCTACAACGCGGACTGTCCAACGACGAAGTCTGCGCCATCTATCATGCATGGAAATTACAAGGCGAAGGCGACGGCAACGGCACCGAGTTGAGTCGCATCGACCGCTTAGCTACAGCTATAGAATTGAAATCTTGAAACTATCTTCAATGGAGCATTCATGGGACTATTAGGAATAGAAGGGCTCAGGCTGGTGGAATATTGGTATTCGTATTTACAAAAATACAGAAATGAACCGATAACTGGATTAGACGCTGGTATATGTTATTACAAACTATAGCGTTTAAACGCATCGGAAGGCTACTACTTTTCCTCTATTTTCGGTCTAAACCGATTGTAGTCTTAGCTTGGGCGTGATGAAGGCGACGTTGACTCGCTGCAGCAATGCACCATGGCTTTTCCCATCTATCTCCCGATCCCTACAACTTGATCCACAAGCACTATTTTCATCAGCATTGTGTCATGAGCCGTGACTGAGCTGAACCCTGCACCCCCTCTTCAAGGACAGGGGGCCAAGAAGTGCTCTTGTTGATAGCACATCCCTACCAAACTAGGAGCAGAAATACCGACCTTTCCTGAGTTTTCCTCTTCATGCCAAGCTTCACGTGCTTACCACTAGCGTGGCATGTTGGGCTGATTTTTTCAACCTGTCTCTGTCTCTATACAAGCCCTCTTTGGAGCTTCGCCCGGGGCTCGCTTATGCAGTAAGGAAGGGGCACATGGAACGAGACAGGTTAGAACCGAGTTGTGGGTGATGATGAAGTACCTGTTACCTCCTTATCACTATCTGCCCGAAAGTCTTCAGCAGCGGCAGTAGCAGCACCTCGTTCTGTTCCGCTCTTGTGTTTGTCCACACCGGTAATTGACCATGATTGCAATCACTCACGATACATTTATCTCCAGGCTGCAGGATATACTTCGTGAGACTCGTGGTATCACACTGGGTCCTGCCGACTCTTGTAAGAATTCCATACACGCCAGCGGGTCTCAAGCTGACCACTATGAGGTTCTGCGCCACCCTCAGACGTTGTGGGCTCCATTGCCTGGCTGGCCTCTGAGCTCAATACCAACGGCTACTTCGCCGAGGAGCAAACAATCCGCCATGTCCTGGATCTCTGCAATGCCGATGTCGAGCTGGGAGGGCTCGGCATCTCCGATCTTCCCTGGAGCGCTGTCGACGCGGCAACACTGGACCGCGTTGTGTGCCTCACCGAAGCGTGGCTGGCAGCAATGAAATCGCGAGAAAGCACCAGACCACTGCCGAAACCCCTTCTAGACAAACCAGAAGGCCGCCGACCCATGACGCTCGCGGCAAAAATTCTTGCCCACCATGCGCTCTCGGTCGAAGATGCCCACGGCGTCAACGTCGGAGATTTCCTGCGCGTTTCCGTCGACTGGGTCATTGCGAGCGAGTTGTCATGGGTTGGCATGAAGCACAGCGTGACGAGCTTAAACATGAGGCCTCGAGCCTGGCGCAACGATCGCTTCTGGTTGGCCGGCGACCACGCCGTCGACCCAAGAATTTACGAGCAAAAGCGTGTCCGCGATCTGATGCATGGCCTTGAGGAGGCGAGAAAGGATTTGAAGATGACGGAGAATCAAGGATCTAATGTCCGCCGACTCTGAATTCGACGAAGAAAGCTGCCATGCTGACTGTGTATGCCAGTACACGATTCTCCACACCGAGTTCGTGCGAGAGCGAGCAGAGCCCGGAATGCTGGTTCTTGGATCCGACTCGCACACCTGTTCTGCAGGTGCCGTGAGTGCTTTGGCAATCGGTCTGGGAGCTGCCGACGTAATGGCAGCGTTGGCTACGGGTGAGACTTGGCTCAAGGTCCCGGAATGTATCAGAATCGATTTTGTCGGTCAGCCGCTGTGGTACGTTGGCGGCAAGGACATCGTCCTCGATATTCTGCGCCAGCTGAAACGGAACACACATGCTGCAGACAGGGTCGTTGAGTTCGGCGGGCCGGGCATAGCAGCCTTGTCGTGTGATGCTCGTTTTGCAATCTCCAATATGTGTACGGTACGTGTCGGCTGTCCCGCACACATAATTCATGGGTTCTTCTTCTTCTGATTGTCCATTCAGGAGCTTGGCGCCATCACAGGCATCTTTGAACCCGATTCAATCGTCCAAAACTTTGTCAAGGGCAGGAAAGCAAGCTTCTACAAATCCAACTCGATATATTTCACAGCCGACACCGATGCACCCTATGAAGAGAAATTCGTGATTGACCTGTCACAAGTGGAGCCATATATTGCTCTGTACCCTTCTCCCGACCAGGTGGAGCCGGTCACGTCGCAGCTCGGTATGCCTTTTGATGGTATCTTCATTGGAGCCTGCACCACCACCGAGGAGGATCTAGTGTTAGCAGCCCTAGTTCTTGAAGCAGGTCTTGCTATGGGCTTAACGATGGCACCAGGAAAGCGAGTTATGGTCCCCGGAAGCTTACCGATTGTCCACAACTTGCGAAAACTAGGACTGTTGGAGATATTCACTCGCTGTGGCTGGGAACAGCCTGCGCCGGCTTGTAGCCTTTGTCTCGGCATTGGAGCTGATGTAGCCGAGTCGGGAACACGCTGGCTGTCCTCTCAGAACAGAAATTTCAAGAACAGGATGGGCAAAGGTGCGTATGCTGCTGATCTTGCTTCCTCTTTCGTAGCGTTCCTTTACTGACAGACATCTTAGGAGCGATTGGCCACATCTGTTCAGCAGCAACGGCGGCTGCCTCGTCCTTCTCAATGACATTGACCAATCCCAAGGATATTCTAGAACATGTCTCCGAGGAGAAGTATCTGACTTATCTCGCTCGCGTAACCCCAACCAAGCGAAGAATCGGCAAGCCGGTGGCAGAAAATGTGACGAAGCCAACCTACACCGAGCCGCTTCTCTGTACTGATGCTGGGAGCGTTCCTGCTCCTCCTCTTGAGACGAATGGCAACGGTGCTGCCAAACAGACGCTGGAGAAAATCGAGAGTCGTATTTTTCGGATGGGCGACTACGTTGATACCGACGCGGTACGCACGGCGTCCAAAAAGGAAAAAAAAAGAAAAGTTGAACTGACCACTGTGATTTCTCTTGACAGATTATTCCAGCCGCTGCGTGCATCAACAGCCCTAGCGACGAAGACCTGGGCAACCACTGCTTTGAATTCGCCCATCCCGATTTCCGCCATGCTGTCCGATCAGGTTCTGCCGTGGTGGTTGCAGGCAAGGCTTTCGGCTGTGGCTCCTCGCGAGAAGAAGCTCCTCGAGCGTTGAAAGGTGAGGCCCAGCACCGCAGCAAAAGATCTTCTAGCGGAGTGGTACTAACAAATCTCCCCCAGGTCTCGGGGTGAAGTGTGTCATCGCCAAATCGCTCGCCTACATCTTCGCGCGCAATATGCCCAACATCGGCATGCTAGCCATCACGATCACGGACGAAGATTTTTACCGGGTTGCGGAAGACGGAGAATCGATTGAGATTGATGTGGAGGGCCGTAAGGTGAAGATTGGGAGCAGGAGCTGGCCGTTCTCATTGGGGTCGACGGAACTGCATTTGATTAATCTCGGCGGTCTGGGGATGGCGTTGAAGAAGCATGGCAACCATTTGTTCGCTGCGATTGGGCCGAAGAATCACGGCTCGACTTCGGGACGCGGAGATGAATTTGGGGTGGCGACGTATGATGAGTTTGAATGGTGAATGAAGAGAACACACTGATGAAATTAGCGACGTTCCTTGACCGGTTTCCCATTTCCCATATCTATGTCTTTTGAACTCGTCTCTTGATCCTGAAGGCTATCTGCGTCTCGAGACGCTGAGCTTATGATTGACGCTTTTTCAGCGTTCTCGCCGACGCAGCTTGGAAGCAGATCTGGAAGTACCGCGACGAGATGCAGTTTGCGTGGGAAAAAGAAAGTAAAGGTGGACGTGACCACAACTTTAGAACTGGAGTCGGTCCCATGTCAGCAGCCGCCCCTATACCAGACTCCAGAGTACACTCCAGGTTAAGAAATTCCATCGCAGCCGACCACGCTGTCTGCTTCGCCATTGTCAATATTGGATGCTGTGTCCAGACATCCAAACACCGTCAATGATGACTCTCGAGAATGTACCATGAGAAGCGATTCGAATCGAAACCGATGGCTCGTATGAAACATCGATAACGGGTTCCTGCATCGATGCATCATCGAAGATCAAAACGTTCCGACTCGGTTCGTTTCCTTTCCTTGCTCTTGTATGCGCCCTTCCCCTAAGTCTCAACACACAAACACAATTGATTCTTTTGTGCATTGCCAAGAAAATCACAAGTCACAAGCAGAGGTGTAACTTGTAAGTATATCAACCAAGACAAGGGTGTAGATCACAAGAAGAACTGCCGCAACTTGGTGCCACAAGCCATGCGGAACTCTATTTTCACGGTGCATCATTCTCGTGTTACGCTGTGCCGTCTCGTCCATTCCTTAGCCCGCCTCGTATGGAAGATATGTGGAACGCTGTCATGTCTACAGTGCGTAGGTGAATATCGAACTTGAGGTGTGCTTCCATTGTCAAAACATATCGGGTGGAGTCCCTGCAGGGGAGTATCGATAGAATAGGTCCAGGATCGGGACGGCGTGACTCGCGGATTTGCCGCAGCGTGGGGATATACCATGCAGATGCAGATGCAGATGCAGGGTTGCTGTCACGAGAACGGCGAGCTTCTCTTCTTCGTCCCACTTTCGTCGTCGTGCTGTGAGTCTGTCTCCTCCCGCCGGCCTCGCCTCTCCGCCAGCCGGACTGGAGCGGATAACCAGGAACATCTTGCCATCTCACCACCGCCGCACTGGACTGCGAGCATACCGTCTCCTTCACCGAACGCGTCGCAGTTGACCTGCATATCCCGAACATTGGTCTGCGAACTACTGGCGGTGTCGAGAGGGCAGGATAGGTGGGAAAGGGGCAGAACACCAGCATGGGTCCCAACTTCGAGCGAAATCCGCAGGATGGCTCTCCATCTCGAGGGGATTTCGCCAGCTATTCTGCCTACCTGTCCAGCGTGTTCAACCAAGTCACCGCAGCGACGCCCACGGAAAATGTAGCGACAGTGACCTCGGCCGCGGCCAGTGACGACCGTGACAATCAACACACATCCGTCCCCACAGCCAGGACATCACAATCCTACCCCGAAACGCTATCTCGACAAACCCAGATTCCGGTCAACACATACAGCATAACCACGTCCGGCTCGAGTTTACCGCCCTCTACCTTTGCAACCGCGACGTCGGCCGGGACCCAGACTCGGACCCCAAATAGCGCGACAGTCACTGCGCATGCCGAGAACAACAGCTCAGCGTCTGCCTTCCACGCTGACCACCACGATGATGGCTTATCGCATGGCGAGTTAGCAGCCGCAATCGTCGTCCCCATCATCACCTCCCTTTCAATCATCGTCCTCGCAATCATGTGTCTTCGCCGACGGAAAAAGACGAAACGAGCCAGCACCTCCAGCGACGCGAGTCGAGGAACGAAGAGATCATTTTCCGGCGCAGCGGCCGGGTTGAAAGAGAAATGGGGCAGTGTCCGAAGTAGTGCTTCGTCACAGCATCGAGAACCCGTCATCACCTCAGCATCAAACAACGCATACATGACAGGTCTCGACACCTCCCTGAGGAGCAACAGCCCCGAACAACAACAACAACATCACCACAGCGGAGAATTCTACCTCCCCAACCACGAAACCCAGACCGGAGAAATCCCTCCTCCTCCTCCACCATACATCCTCGGCGCCCCATCCATCCCCCCTCTAACCATCAGCCTCCCCCCCTCCCGCCGCCCCAGCGCCGTCGATCTCCACGACCACGACCACGAACTCTCCCACCTCTACCTCGCCGCCCCTTCCCCCGCCTTCCTCGACTCCTCCGCCCGCAGCATAAACTCAGACGTATACTCGGAAACCGCCTCGGTGCACTCGGCGCGCGCCGCGCGGATGAGTATTGGAGGCCCCATCACAGTTCCCATGCTGAATACCAGCAAGAGCCGAGCGACGATGAAAGACGGTGGGAAGAGGAATTCGGATCCTTTTGGTGATCCGCTCACGCCGATTAGTGCCATGACGCCGGTGGGAGTGAGGTCTAGGCAGGGGAGTCGTGGGACGGGATAAGCATCGCATGAAGCTGGAATGGAAGGTTGTATGATTGATGAAGACGATGATGATGATCACGCTCGTTTACGGCTGACTGTGTGACTGGCTTGTACGATGAAGTGAAGTGAAATGGGATGGGATGGGAACTTTTTTTCAGCGATGGTGCTAAAGGCGTAATTTTAAGAATTTTTTTTTCCCTGTGGGAGACATGGGAATGGGATCGCTCGTCGTAAAAAAAAAAATATGCATTATGCTATGCATATTTTTTTTTCTTTTTTTTTTAATCTACATAGCTGGATGGCTATATTGTCAAATGTGTATTGTTACCGTTTCGAAACTTTCGAATGTGAATTTCATCTCGAATCATTCGCATACTCCCCCCACGCAGCGTCCTTATCTTAGGAAAATGGTATAAGGTGCAGGTGGTTGTTGATGCAAAAGCTATCTATGACGAACAGTCCGATCAAATTCTTGCTTTCTGGTTGTTTTCGTTTCAGTTTGCATCCTACTTGTCGTCATTGTTTGCGATCTTGGTGGTTTCGTTTCGAGAAGCTCCTGAAAGCCTGAAACGGCTGAGGCTGAGTCTTTTTGGGTTTCGTGAGGGGGGAAGGGAAAAGTTGACTAGGATGGGGCTAGGAGGGAAGAGGCAGGGATGGAGATAAGGAGGCGAATGGAGATATGGAGTTGCAATTGGGATGGGTAAATGTCTGAAGCTATGAGTTGGATGTTGTCGAGCTGTTTTTCTTTTGTCGAGGACAGGTGCTTTGATTTTCGTGCGAATGGGGTTTACGTTTTTGCGTTCGGGGTCTTGGTGGGAGAAGGGCTCGACTCTTTGTAGTATTCGTGGCATTGAAAGGTACTCATTGAAGAGGATAGTATGAGAGCGTGATGGTGAAGTGGCCGAAGAGACCTGTTATTGTCAGTAAGTAGGCGGATGTGCGTATATTATAGTTGTTTAATCAGTTCGTGGCGGGCATCGAAGTATCTTTCGGGAGCACGGCCTCTCGATGATAGGTCTTTTGATCTTCTAGGTTGCTATACTGCTGCGGCCTATGACTTAGACGAGTTGGAACTCGCAGAGCTGGGCCTCAGCTTCAATCCAGATCTCACGCCGGTACTGCCCCCGTAGCATCTTCATCGCTGTTTGGCTGCCCCTGTAGGCAGGTCCTAGCCAGACAAGGACACTCCGCGCCTTCGAATAGATGTCCGCCATGAGTCCGACCTGATGCGTGCATTCGGTCATGCTGGTTTGGTCAATGCATATTGCATCAATCCAGTGTTGCCTCGAGCGGTACTTGTGCAGACGCGCCGCCTGATCCAAGAATCGTTTCAAATTGCGGGTGACTCTGACAGGTGTACCATCCACGAGCACTGTACAGTCCGGGTCGCACTTGCCCCATGTGTACGAAAGTGCGGTGTAGGGGGCGCGCTCGACAGTTGGTTGGTTTCCAGTCCACACCGGACAGCTTGGACCTTGTCGTCCCAAGATGAGGAAAGCAGACGTATCTGCTGCGCGTGGCGATCGAGTGCATTGTATGAATATCCTTGGTCGGAGGGAGATTGGATTGTATTCGCCGCCGTGGTGTAGTGCTCTCGGTCTGGGGAGACCAGTTCTGCCAATGTGCTGTCGTCCGGCTCCATCTATTGTTGCAGCCCGTCTTCTACAACGACGCCCAACGAGGCGTGAGCTGCAGAGACGTCTGAAATGGTGTGATGAAGTACGAGAAGGGAGTCGCTGTTTGACTACGGCATGTACGGACTGCACTGCCAGCCTTCCTGCAGGCCCCACATTGGTGGCATTGACATGGGGGATCAGCTTGAGCAGCCGCTGGACCTTCGGGTTCTGCCTGTCTCCTGTTATACAGTACAGTGGTGCCTTCAGCGTCAGTGTCGGTTCTTCGATTGATGTTCACAGTATAGGGGTGGGCCTGATTCCAATCGTATTGCAGCAGATTTTCTGACACTGAAAGCGAGATCCAAGACATCCACATCTGTGCGAGGTCTTCTCCTGATGTGCTGATCTTGGCCATGGCTATCGTGCCATGCACAACACGCCTGTCAGCGCCTGAGGTATGCAGGTCTGCTCCCACGTGCAAGGCCTCGCACGGCTAGAGTAGAATGAGTGCCAAGAACAAAGCGCCGAGGATGTCGGCGGCTCGAAGACGTCGGCGGCATTGAGATGGTACTGTCGATGGTATTGTCGATGTCGAAGAACAGGCGGCGTGCAAACAATAGGAGAAGGGGGCTGGGACAATAGGTGGTCAAAGCTCAAGCGGGAGGGCGGGAGAGCGGGAGGGCGGGAGGGCGGGAGGGCGGGAGGAAGACGCGGGGTGCGGTGCCGTCCGCCAAAAGCCGAGAGTGAGTGAGCTTCACTTTCTCGACATTTATTTTGGCTCAAACAACAACGAACGACGCGTCTCTTTTCTTCTCGCTGCATCGCACACTTTCGACACTCTTGGACATAAATTTTCCTCGACATTGGATTGGCAGACACACACTCACACACGCATCAAATCCGCATACAATTCAGCATCAAATCACATCAAAATGGTTGGGACGCGCAAGTCGCTCGGCGCCGTCGACAGCAATGCCTCTTCCGCCGCTTTCGTGCTGCCGGCCAGCACTGGCGACAAGAAGAAAGACCGACTGTTGCGCGAACTCTACATTGACGCCGCCGAAGGGCTACGAGGCGAGAAGAAAGCCGAATCAAAACAGAGCATCGACCAAGGCAAAGGCGTATACACCTGGCGCGGCGCAGTCTACGCCATTACCGACGACACACCACAAGAATGGATCGACGCTGAGGCTGGACGTCACAAGAAGAAGGAGAAGGAAGTCGTACCACAAGCACCAGCAAGCATGCCGCGGAAGCGACGCCTTGAAGATGACGAGGAGACGAGGCCGGCAAAGAAAGTACGACGCAGCATGCCAGACATGACTTCGCGGAAGCAGCGAGAGGCAGCAGGCACTTGGCCGAGAAAGAAGCTGTCATCTTTAGGGAGACAACGAGAGACTGGTAGGGAGATCAGCGAAGAGCCCAGGCCGAAGACAGATATCGAAATTCGGAAGGAAATGGCCAAGGAACAAGGATGGGAAGTCGAGATGCTGCCAGAGATCAAAGTCAAGTCGAAGCCAAAGCCGAAGAAGAAGGCTGCGTCGAAGATCACCAAGCAGAAGAAGAAGCAGGCTGAGCCCGAACAGATGCCCTTCCTCGAGCGGCTGTCCGGAAAGATTGAGGCGAGACAGCTTGCATTTGATGTCGCAAAGATGGCCAGACTGAACACACGCATCGCAGACGTCAGCGAACAGATCGAGACAGCAGAGGACCAGGACGGAAAGTTGGACAAGTTGAAGGAAATTTTGAGAGCACCAATGTCGACAAACGAAGAAGCGCATGAGAACGAACAATCTGTACAGCAGCGGACACCAGACACCGAGCAGAGCCCAGAGATACCAAAAGCCACCACCGAAGCCAACGAGCGTACCCACAAAGTCTCCTCCAGCAACACAACCCCCTCCCTCACCACCGACGACACCGCCGCATCAACCCTCTCCCCCGGCCCTCCGACCCTCGTCCCACGCTCCTCCCCCGAAATCCCAAACATGGAAGACAAAAACCGCGGCGGAAATTCCCTGCGCTGGTCTCTCGACAAATCCTCGATCCTGAAAAACCCGGGTCGAGCGGAAAACGCGATCCAGAAGAGTCGGCTGGAGGGAGAGAGCAAGTCTGCTCGTCGGAGGAGAGTCAAGAGAGAGATAGAATTCGTGAAGTCCTTGCCGATAGCTCGTGACATCTCGGCAGGACCGAGAGAGCGGAGTTTTTCTCCGGTGTAGGAGGGAGAGAGCTTGTTGGGTTTGGTTTTTTGGGATGTGAAATACGAGAATGAGAACGAGACATGATTGTATGAGTCCACTTCTTGTAGTAGTATGAATGACGAGAGACCGTTTTTTTTTGGAAGCCCTTCTCTCCGGCATCAAGGACCGTTGCTTTCGAGGTTATGAATGGTCTATGCGGCGATATTTGAGATTCGGGAGTTATGGGGTTGTGGATACCATATCTTTCCACGTGGGAGCTGGGCTTCTGGTATTGACTCGACTGGTCTATTGGCGACTATGCTCTCAAGATCACGACTAGTCTATGCGACGATATTTGAGATCTTGGAACAATAAGGTTGTGAATTCTATGGTTTTTCTACGGCGGGACTGGATTTCTGGTAGTAAATTGACTGGTCTTTTGACGACGACGCTCTCGATGTTACGACTAGTATGCTCCGCGGTTCTGGAGATCTTGGAGCTACGAAGATCTGAGCGCCTATTCTACTCACGCCAAGCCTATACTTTTGAATTTGTCTCGCCCTGGAATTGTGGCTTACGCACTGAAGAACGGTATGTGTAGCGACATATGAGGGCCTGGAGATGCGAAGACGTAAGCGTCACTGGCATTCACATTTGCGCTCGGTTCCGACTATTGGTGCCTTCCTTCAGAACCTAATGAGAACATCATCCATCCACACTTCATAACAAATGGTAGCACCACTGTCGAGAACGCTGGCGGAACCGGCGCGTTCCCTGTCACGATCATAGCCAACGTCACGGAGCAGATTCTAAAGGGCGCTGACGCTGTCGGAGCCTTGCCAGACCTAAACGATCAGCTTCAGAAGCGAGGCTATACTGTTATGGAGGTGGCGGCGCCACCAAAGAAGAGCACGAAGAAGGGCACATCGAAGAACCCGAAGAAGAGAGTGAAGGAGGAGAGCGACGACGATCTCGACGAGGACCTTCGTCCACCACCGCTACAGACCAACACCTTCGGCCGAAACCCTGCCACGTTCGGACGAAAACTGAGGGCTGAGCCAGTATGATCGCGGCTGTGACTTCCATGATCCGGAGCTGCATTGGAGTGCATCTCTTAGGACCGCCTCGTTCTAAGCTTTACGAAATCCTGACCACTGCGCACCACGATATCGAAAAGCGGAGATGGAGTCTGATCAATGAGCCCTTGTCTTGTCCTTCGCTGACCTTCGCGGCGTCGCATCTCATTCTTGCAAAGTCAGCATCATGGCACCACGCCTCCTTACAGCAGCTCTCACAGTCTACGCTCATGCTCATGCACATTTCGTCCTGGCTGAGGCGCCTCCGAAGCCTCCTCCATCTGGCAAGGAGGATCCGATGGACACCACTCCATTCAAAGTCGTGAAGGCCAGAATTGATCTACACTGGGAGAAATGCTTCTCACAGTCTTCCGCGGCCAAAAAAGGAAGCGAGGTCACTTGTGCCAGACTAAATGTGCCACTCGACCATGACGACCCTTCCGACGAGCGAACGATGCGTCGTTGCCGAGATTCACCATCACGACAAGTTCAAAAAGTTCGTTGCCATCACCGAAACCAGCTGGAGGGACTCACTCGAAAGCACAATCCAAAAATCTGATCCCGGCGCCTGGCGCCAGACTGCCAAAGTTGCAAGAAGTCCCGCAATCAACAGCCCTCGCTACCCACATAGTAACAACATCTCCAGTTCCGACCGCCACATGGAGTCTCTGTCAGACCTCGCTTTCACCCAATCAATAAGAACCAGCAAGCAAGCCCTTGGCGGCCGCATGGAATACTCCAACCTCTACCTCATCCACGCCGCCTCCGCAATCCTCGACCCATGGATCCCAGTCCTCATCATCAGCACCGCCGCCAACCTTCCCACCAAAACCGCCATCACAAATTTCGAAAACCTCACGACCACTCCTTCTTCTGGCAAAATCTTATTCATCGGAAACACCGCCGACGCCGTGACGCCGAATTTCAACGCGAAGCAGAAGCTTCACGAAGCGTTCGAGGGTTCGGGACTTTTCACGATTGATGGGGCGGGGCATTGTGCTGGGAATGCGGATCCGGAGAGTAGGTGTGTTGCGAAGTGGATTGTGCCGTTCTTTGAGGATGGGAGGATGCCGTCGGGGAACTTGACTTGTAAGGGGAAGTCGAAGACGGAGCTGTTGGAGGGGAGGAGTGTTTTTGATTTTGGGGATTATTTGTGGTTGTTGGACATGCTTGCTGGACGCCACGTCAGGGAGGCAAAATATCGATGTTTCTTGCAGCCTGATCGGGAGCTACGAAAATGCTTACCATCTCAGGCTTGTGCAAACTCTATTCCCAACAAAGTTACGATTTTCGTTCATCTTAGCCTTCCGCTTACAAGATTCCTTAGGCGGCATTTTTGATGAGGACTTTGTCCTCACAATCATATTCTTCGATATAAATCTCACACGCGCCTCACTGCTGATCTCCTTGACCCAGCAGACAACAGACATCGCAATATCACAATCCAAATGCGCTTCGCTTCCAACTTCGCGACAGGCCTATCGGCTCTCGCCACCACAACTCTCCTACAAGACAACAAGTCCAACAAGGCCAACAAGGCCAACATCAACAACAACAACAACAACAACAACAACAACAACGCTTCTCCGACACGCTTTGCCTCCTCAAAGATGGCCGACCCACCAAGCTACACGGCCTCCACCTGTGACTTAATCTGCCGAAGTCGCATCGTATTCCCCGTGGTCTACGCCTCCTCCACCATCGGCATATCCATGGCCATGACCGCGCAAAACTCCTGGGACTGGTGCAACGCCAACTCGGAAATGTGCAAAAGCTCAATCACCAGTACCTGCAACATGATCTCGGAAAAACTCGTCCGCGACTCCCGACCAACCCTCCTAGACGACAAGTGCGACGACAACTGCCTTCTCCGAGAATTAGAGACTTCTTCCCAGAAAGCTGCGTTCTGGGCTATGGATTGGGCCATCGGCGGAATCAACGGAACCGGGGCCGGAGATGTGGATCGTGATCTGATGGAGATAAAACGATATCTCGAGAATTCGAGACGTGATTCCCAAATGGCGGAAATTGTCACGGAGAAGAATTTGCTGTGGATGGAGTGGCCGACGATGTTTGAGGAGAGGCTGCCGATTGGTGGGGAGGATTGGAATGGAGTTACGGGGGATGCGATTATGCTTTTGGCGAGGTTTTTTGATGCGAAAAGGGGTATGTCCTCGTCGTGTTTTGGGATGGAATATGGGCGTTGCTGACTCTCTGTCATAGAAATCCCGGGAAGCGTTGATGATAAGATTTTGTTGCCCGGACCATGGCTGAAAACGGACTCTTCGGGTTTCGCAAAGATGTGGGAACGGCTTGCCACGTATCGCGCTGCTGATGTTCGAAACTCCTGGCTGGGAAAGATGGCCAGGGCTGTATATGAAGTGGTTCAGAGCGGGGATGTGAAGTCTCGAGAACAGTCTCCCACAATCTTCGAAGCAGGACGCACTACATTCCCGACTTGGACGGGACCTTCTGGAATCTCGCCAAAAGACTTCATCTTCATCGCAAATCATGTGCCTGGGGAGAAAATTCCGGATTTCGAAGCCACCTTCTCACGTCATGGCAATGATGTTGCTAAACGAGCCGTGACTGGGGATCCTATTGTTGATGAAATCTTCATGGTTGAGAAATATGATGTTCATTCGAATACGCACTACAGTCGGTATTGCATGGATGCCGCGGCTCCTGGAGAAATTCGTGGCGATTACCGACGTTGGGTGGAAGTGGATGGGCAAGGACTTCCTACTACTGAGCCTCCGACACACTTCTGGTTGCACAAGAGTCAGCTGAAGAAAGTCGTGCCAGATGACTTCAAGCCTATCGATGTCTCCAAAGAGGTGGACGCAGGTGAAGGTCCTTCCACTCACAATGTCGATGCGGCCAACCAGCCTGCGGTCGCCGTCCAAGATAAGCTGGCCTCCACTTACGAGTTCGTCGCTGAGGAAGCAATGGACAAATTGCGTGTCGCAATCGTAAGCCTGAGCGACGCGAAAGGGATAAAGCCGCCTAAATTCAACCTCCCGGAACTTTTGATCTCGAAGCCCATCCTCCGAGGCCCTGACAAGATTGCTTACAACATCGTCAAAGCATCGAAGGGCAAGTCGAAGAACTTGTACGGAGATTTGCATGGAGTCTTGCAATCCGATCCAAGAGATCCTATCAGGCAGACCAAGATGGTCACCGCAGAGGAACATCTTCAGGATCAATCGCCTGAACTATTGGAGGACGAGCCCATGAGTGATGCGATTAAGCAGGGTGAGGAAGAGGCGGAGGAGAGGGCGAAGAAGCAGAAGGAGTTGGAGAAGGAGTACTTGAAAGGGCTTGAGGTAAGTCGCAACAACATGTCCAGGCTCGACGATACAGTGCTAATCTCGTGTCGCTGCAGCAAGAGCTGGACAGGACCAGGAACCAGCAACCTGAAGATTTGCAGCCGAACCAGCCCGTCCCAGATTCCCCAGATTGGGATCCCATCCTTAATCCAGGACTTCCTGGTTTCCCTCCACTACCCCCAGGACCTCCTATCCTCTCTCCACTACCCCCAGGACCTCCTATCCTCCCTCCCCTCGATCCACTCCCTCCTATCAACCCACCAGATCAAGTCCCTCAACCTCAACCTCTCCCTGAGCCATGCCACCCGCCAACGAACTGTTATCCACCTGGAGTCCAACCGCCACCATCACCTCCGGAACCTCCTACGATTCCAGATCCCCCGGAACCTGCGAGTCCAGGTTTTCCGCCAATTGTACCGCCTATACTTCCGATTCCGCCGTTATGGCCTGGACATGATGATGATGATGATGAGGATTCTTCGAGTTCGAGGTCAGAGAGTTATTCTTCGACTTCGCATACGGCTTCAACGATAACCGCCTCGGCAACTTCGACTAGCAGCCGAGCATTATCTTCCTCATCGACTGTTCTCGGACGACCCGATCTGCCTCATTTGACTAACCACCAAACTACGACTTCTTCAACTTCGTATAAGGCTCCGGCTCCCACAACTTCGACTCTCAGCCGAGCCCCAACATCCTCCTCCTCCTCGTCGACGCTACAGACTCCTGTTTTCGGACTTCCTCCCCTCCCCACTTTCACTTCGACTTCTTCAACTTCGACTCGCGCCCCTCTCCTCTCAGGCTCCGCTACTGGTTTCATCGCTCCTTATGGCATGAATAGCACAGTTACTAGGCCTGTGCTACGTGGACCGACGACGCTTGTTACGGCCTTGAGGGGAGGGGAAGAGTGGTTTGTGGGCTGAGGAGGGAGGTGGGGGATATAGTAGTAGGGGGATTGGGATTGGAGATGTTGGGATGTGGAATTTGGGTTGGGAGAGGGGGGTTTATGGGAGATTGGTGGCGATGGTTTGTTTGGAAATCTCGGGTAACGTAGAACCAGTCGCTTCCATCATTTTCCCCAACGCCCTAAGACCATGCTACTAACTCGATAACTACGCGGAAAGTGGCATAGCGATGTCCAAGATCATATTCCTGCGTAGAAGAGGAGCCAAAGCTGGAATGCCACATGCTGTTACTGCTTACGCTCTCTTCGGGTGCAACTGTCACTAAAGTATGTGTTGTAGAATGTCTTGCCTTGGTTGCATCCTTTGAATTAGAGAAGGAAAGTGAGAATGCTGTGAGAATGCAGCTTGGCCAAGTCGTGGACGTCTGCTTCGACCTCATCGTCAAAGCGTGCTTCATGCAGACGCAAAACGAATAGCGCCAGCGGCCCTTCAGTACTAAGCTGTCAGGTTACGCTCTGTAGAGCGTGAACACACGGTGTGGTATGCAATTTGATGGATGATGTATCTAAGTTCCTCCAAACGAGGGAGTGGTGTACAATATCCACCGTCTTGAAGCAGGACCGACAGGCTCCCTGCCGAATCGTAACATCCTCCCTCCAACAATAGAAGACCTGCCCGTCCTCGTGCAGCCTGTCCAGTCCGTGCTCATTTGCAACCTATTCCAGTGATTTCGCGTTGTAGCGGATTTTCACGGCTGAAGTCCACCTGATCACGACTTCCGCTGTACCTTGTCTTCCTCGTTCTGTTCATCGCACAACGTAGAAATTTTTTCCATGGCCCTCATCATCCTCAGTATACCACACCTCTCCATAGACCTTTGGTTCATCAATGCAAATCTTCAAAAGCTCCTCTGGCACTTCATCCTTCCAACTCCAATGCTGAAAACAGTACTGTTCTGGACCACAGGTACATGGCTCGACCTCTTCAACCTCTTCAGCCTCTTCAGCCTCTTCAACAGAGTCTTCTTCGTCCCCACCACCCCAGCGCTGCCACTCTTCCTTCTCCTCCCTCCGCAACTCCCTCAGCGCCTCCTTAGCATCCTGACGAGCAAGTCTCTTCCGAAGAATCGAAACGATGGCCAGCAGAAGCCAACACATATCCAGCACCTCGCCAAGTCTCGGATTCTCCAGCGTAATTTCCACATGCTTCCAGGAGTCGGGATCTTTTCTGAGTGCGAGGGGATCGTAATCAGGGTTTTGAAACTTCAGCTTTATAACGGGGATCGGATGACTGGTGAAGAACATGCAAGCGAGCAGGCCGAGATCGAGTGATTTGGGAACGGCAGCGAAGGACACTGAAAGACTGCCCTCTTGTGAAATCTCGTCGTAGTCGAGTTCCATGTTGGGAAGCGTGAGGATTCCATCTTTCGTTTCGTATCTGCAAGAAGTCAGCGTCTTGCAAGGTGATAGCCGGCAGCACTGGTGCGTCTGGGAGAGACAGAGACACCACCAGCAACGCTTCAATTACTAACCTGTACGGGAGATTTCGACCGACAGGCCCAAAGCAGCCAAAGTCTAGAAAGTGGCGATTGTACAGCCCTGCAGCTGCATTTGCTGGCCCGTCGAAGGAGTGCGTGTTGTCTTCGTAGAATGACTCCAGCAGCGACGGCCCCGGGATGGTTGCGCTCTGAGTTTGAGCGAAGATGAAGGACCCAGTGAGCGAGACCGAACCATCGATGGTATCGCGAAAGTTCCTGCCGACGGCGCGGAGCAGCAGCACCTCGTAGGGGTCGGCGATGTTGGACAAGATCATCTCCAGCAGCTCGACGGTGCGGAAGACTTGACCGCGGACAGCATCGCGAGCAGCGTCTCTCTCAGCCTGTGGTCGACTGTCCATGCTGGTGCAGGGTGTGTCGGGGGTCTGATTGCAGCTGTTGAGATCCGAGTCGCGCAGTCGCGAAATGATGCGTGTGGTATGCGCTAACGGCAGAATTGTTATGTGGTGGTGAGGGTGAGGTTACGATGATGAAAATGTCAGAATTTCAGGGGACAAAGTGAGGGATTTCTTGGCCAGGAAGTAACGGCGAAAGTACTTCACCTGCAATGCATGTGACTAAGATACATAAGCTAGCGTGGCAACAACTAGGTCCAATAGGCAGAGACCTGCCTCTGCTTACGCACACTAGCGATGCAAAATATGCGGTCACGGAACGCAGACCGAGTCACGCATGGTCTGAGCTCGCCGCAAACAAGTTCTTCTTCGCGCTCCGCTGTCAACTCTTCTTCTTTCTTCTTCAGACACCAGTGTACAGGAAATCGTGGGTAAGTAAGGCATGCGCACGGCTCGTGTGTACAGCAGCTTGTCATTGACAGCTGAATCTATCTGTATAGCACGAGATGCACCGTTATCTCAACCTCCGCTCCCCCCTCCCCTCCCCTCCCCTCCCCTCCCCTGAGATGACATTGCCGAGAAAAAGACACACCGCGACTTTAACTGAACCTCGCTCTAGGAGCTTATTGAGCCTGGGGTGCTAAAAAGTTGTACAAGCCCGTCCATAGCAGTTCACAGTTCTCTCAATGTCACATTTGACCCCCATAAATCGAGTCTGACTGTGCCTTGACCGTTGCTGCCTTCAATTCTCATCTGCTATTTCGAGCGTGCCAAGGCACGAGAACATCAGTCTACTTGTGAGAACAACAAAGTAGCACGTCCTGCGCATCATCTTAGGGGAACGCGTTTGCCTTTCGAGATAGGCGATGTTTGCGTCTGTACGTCACACGGCCAATTTGATGAGAGACGACCCAATCTATGCCCTCTTAGCAGTTGATCAACTAGGCAGAAAAGTCATTCTTGTCGCCCTTCTCTTCTGTACTCCTGCAGCGGCTTTTCAATTCCCGTACCACTCAATTCTCCCTCGTGATCCGGACTTCCGCTCGCATCACTATCAGCAACACCTATAACTACTGTTTCTACGCACTGTATCGTCAACAAAGCAACGGAACAGCCGCTATACGGAAGCTCGAAAGCCACTTTGCTTCGTGATCAACAGAAAGGCATAGGACACAGCATCTCAAAACGACAGACGAAAGAGCTACACGCGACACCTCCCATTGCAATTATCGTGCTCACTGGCACCATATGACATGGAACCAGCTCGGCGGTGTCCCAAGAGATGGAGAAATAAATTCCGAGCGTGAGGAATACAAGAAGCTTCTTCTCAACTGGACACTGAAGCTCGATGGCTGCGCCGTGGACATGTTGATATCACTGCGACAATGGAAGCCCAGTGCTGTCGAATCACCAGGAGTTGTAATGGCTAGAGTGTGAGGTATTCCTTCGCATTCTGTCCGCTTACATTACACATGCTTCCTTGCCATGTCACAATGATCATGGGCTGGAGCGACAACGACGTTCTCACACGCCGACTGGTACAAGAGTCCCGCCACGACATTCAAAACAAACAAGCGCCTTTCCTCTCCTCCGCTCGCATTTGGCCTCATCCGGATCATGCTCGTCTCAATGTTCCTCCGAAGCATACGCTCAATTGGTGGTGCATCACTCCTCCGCTCTCAAAGCCCTCACACACTGACAATTCCCCACCTCATCCGGCGTCTCGAGATAGCACGTCGTGAAGTCGCTGCAGTCCTCATCCACCTCACACAGCACCCATTCCGGCTCTGGCGGCGCAACAACCGAGAAGCTGACAAACGACTCTCCCTGACCCTTGTCGACACTCCGCCAAGCATGATCGAGGTCGCCCAAAGTCAAGCCTGCCGGATTGCTGACTGTCGCCACCCTCTTCTCTGGCCAAAATTCAAGGTCTACCGATGGATCGAACTTGACCTCGCATGGCACTTTGAGCGTGGTGATTGGCGGCTGCGAGAGAAGGGTGCCACGCCAGGACTGAAGCTGGGTGGACGAGCTGGACTGTTCATGTTTGCTCCACTTGCGCAGCTGGATGTGAACTTCAATCTCATGAAGACCTGGTGGCTGGGTGACTCGAGACGCGCCGACCTGAGTGCTGCTCACCAGCTTAGAGAGTTGAGCCGTAGCTGTTGCGCAGCCGGTCATGTCCAGACAAGGGTTGAGACGCATTGGCGAAGGGTACAGGAGGGTTTGGTAGACGTCGTTGAGGTCGGGATCTTCTTCATCGGCGGTTGGATCCATTGGAGGGAATGCGGGCTTGAGGAACATCTTGCGCTGGAGGTGAATTGATTCCTTGATGCAGTCGCGCCAGGTGGTGTTGACGCGTTGAAGGGAGAAGAGGGCTTGCGCTGGTACGTTGAGGAGGATGGACTGGAGGAGTTCCAAAATCGCGCATACTCTGGCTGAAGCTGAGGCCATTTTGGACTGGATGGACAAGTCGACGACGATGACGACGTGAAGAGAGATCTGGGCGATGACGGTCTCGTGGACTTGATTGATGTTCGTTATCGAATGGTCGCCGGTGCAGGAGGTGGAAGCTGAAAAGTTCAGGGTCCTGGTGGTGATGCCCTTCCTCCATGGCAACAGCCGGCTTCTTTGTTGACGGTGCGCTTCACCAGCATCGCTCCAGGCAACTACTCCTACCTGATGAAGTGTCGTTCGTGATTGCAGACGTACTGCATCTTTCTCAGCCGGCCAGCGATCCCATCCCGCCCCAATACCAACGACCGACAAGATTTCCACAAGAACGAACCTCACTGTCTTCGTTGCGTGGATATTCTGTTCACCTCACGGCCGTCAAGGAAGGACATCGGTTCAGCAATACTGAAGCTGGACGCCATCCCTCGAACATCGGCTTTGTCGTTAGTTCTTTGAACCTCCAGATCACAAGAGCCTTGTCCTTTCATCCCTCGAGCCAAGCGAAGGAGCCAGGAGTGCCTTTTCGTGCCTCCAAACCGGCGGCGACTTTCTTGACGAGCTCCAATACGACCAGAGACAACATTCTTGTCTTGTTCAGTCCCATCACACTGATACCCCAGGAGCGCAGTCGAAGAATGTCGGAGCCAACCAGACAAATGAAGCAGAATGCGGTCTCTCCAACACATGCTCCCAGCTTCGCCAAGAAGTCCTGCCACGCAAGAACAACTTCACCCCCAAAGGTCCTATGGTCACCTACACCTCCTGTCTCTACCTCGTTTCATCACCGCCATGCCCTACACAATCATCCACAGCCTAAAGCACTGCAAAATCAGCATCGAAATCCTCATCCAATCCTGCCCCGAGGATGACGGTCCCGATCACTTGGCAGAGCTCGAAGTCATTCTCGAAAACGACAAGTACGCGATTCAAGGCGAGTTTGATGCCTGCAGATCCGGAGAGTGTCTGGAAGCCATGATTGATTTCGTTCAAGATCGTGGGGGGTGAGCTGGCAGAGGTGTTTGGAGAAGAAGATGGTTACCCGTGTTGGTGGCGCGCACATTGACAGAGAGTTCGAATATCTGTATGATCGTATGGTGCCGACGGAGAAGATATCGATATACACGGCCCCACAGTCCGATTTTGTGCCTCGATGTGATTGTTGGAGCAGAGAGAGTTCAACCGTGATCCGGCATACTTCCATCAAAGTGGCCTCCTGTTCCGTAACCGCCATCCACCCAACTTTGGATTCTTGAATTTTCAGTTGCATACATTCTTGTCGTCCACTTTTGCATATATATATCAATTTGAGAATGCTGCATGGCCACGATTGCACTTGTTCTTGTCGCTAGCCATTCTTAGACACCGAGGCCCACACTTCTCTTGCTAGCTCATTGCTGCGCGATACCACATGCAGGAATCCAGGAATTGGCGACGGCAGCCATTGGCTCGAGAAATTGCCCAGAACGGTGAAAATGGAGAAGTGGGTTGCGACGAGATCCACTCGCTTGGCGACGACATGACCACTTTTGCTCAGCCCGCGGAGGAGTCCATTATTAGAGCCGATTCACCGCCTCGTAGCAATCTGACAGGCGTGGAAACGTGAGCCTGACAGCCTGGAAGGTGTTGTGGCGTCTGTCGGGCTATTCTGAGCAGCGTCGTGGCCTCGCAGTGCAGCTGACAGCGAGACACAAAGAAACGCCACCTTTCTTGGCCTCGTCTCGTCGGAAGATGTTTGCCCCTTGTCGAACAACGGCAGCACAATGCAGGAATCTGGCGTATCAAGCGTCGAGAAGGCAGTCGAGGAAAGCTGGAAATGTATGGCAACAAAGCACACGTCCTCCAACGTGACATCTTCCATGCCGGTGACCGCATCGCCCCATCTCTGGGCGCCCATCTCTTGGCACATTGGCATGCCGCTCCAGAAGGATCAAAAAGCTTCTGCGGCCACGCACTAATTGCGTGTCGCGCTACAAGTAAGTTGGTACAAAGTCGGCAGAGACCCCAGCATCTGCAGCTGTCGGGACCCAGACCAGGAGACCCCAGGAAATGAGAGGACATATGTTTTCCACGGCAGTGGTCACAGTACTGCTTGCCAGTGCGGAGGCGATCACTCTGAAGCAGAAGTCGACATCGAATCGTTCGCCGAAAGTCGTACACCAGAAAGTCCACAAGCACCATGTCGAGAACCCAGCCGAGCGAGATCGAAGAAGATTTCTGCACAAGCGACAGGCCGAGAATGGAGTCGTCAATGTACCGCTCTCGAACGAGCTGTTTCTGTACTACATGGAGATGACAGTCGGCACGCCACCACAGGAGTTCCAAGTCCATGTCGATACCGGAAGCAGTGATCTCTGGCTCAACTATGCGGGGAGCGAATATTGCGAATTACCCTCTGATCCGTGCATTACTGGCACCTACAACGCGAACGATTCGTCAACGTACGAGTACATCAACAGCTTGTTCACGATCCAGTATGTCGATGGTTCGGATTCGGCCGGCGACTATGTGCGAGACGAGGTACGGATCATGGACGGAGAGGTTGTGATACCGTCGCAACAATTTGGTGTGGGATATGCCTCTTCGACACCGGATGGAATTCTCGGGATTGGGTATGCTGCCAACGAGGTCCAGGTTGCGTATGGTGGCGAGGAATATGCGAATCTGCCCGTCAGCCTCCGGAACGAAAGCTATATCAACACTCTCGCCTACAGCTTCTGGCTAAACGACTTGATGGCCGAGGAAGGCGAGCTCCTCTTCGGCGGCGTGGATACCGCGAAGTATCGTGGCGAGCTGGTCTCGCTGCCCATCATCCCCACTCGAGGCGTATATCGAGAGTTCACTATCGAGCTCACTGCCGTCGGACTCAGCGGCGATGCGGAGGAGTTCAGCGGCACGACGACCGAAGTCCATCTCGACACTGGAGCCAGCTTGTCGTACCTCCCCGACGACACCACTCAAGCGATCTGGGAGCACCTTGATGCGGATTACCTCGAGGAGTATGGCGTTGCGATTGCCGACTGCTCTCTCGCTGCGTCCGACGACACGATCGACTTCCGCTTTTCTGAAGACGTGACGATTCAGGTCTCGATGCGCGAGATGGTGATTCCTCTATCGACGGGACTGGGCTTGGATGTTTGCTTCGTGGGTGTCTTGCCTGCGGCCAGATCTCCTCTTAGCACTTCTGATCGCCAATATCTCATCCTCGGTGACACGTTCTTGAGATCCGCGTACGTGGTGTATGATTTGGAGAAGAACGAGATTTCTATGGCGCAGACTCTTTTCAATACCACCGATTCGAATGTTCTGGAGATTGTGAATGGGACTGATCTGCCGAGTGGTACTGGAAGCGAGAATGGCGGTGGCTCCGCGTCGAATTCTGAAGATCAGGAGAGTGGAGTTCGACGTGTTCAGTCGTCGAGCATGGCGTTGGTGGTGATCGTGGTTGGGATGATCGTTTTCCTGAAGTAGCATAGATGTGTGAGCGACAGCGACAATACCAGTTTGGTTCTCTACTTCCATTCTTGATGGCGCGTGCAATCTTGGTGATTATGCTTCCACCGCGCGTGGACAGCTGTAGTGACAACATGAAGCCTATGCCGCTGCTGCTCTCGTGGCCTGGAGATGTTTGACGACGCCATACATTCCCCCTTGCCCATCTTCTCACCTGCCTGCAGTTGAAGTGTTGCGCCTTGCTTGTCTCAGGCCTGCTTGTGCTGTGATGGCCGGCTGGCGTGACTTTGGGTGATGCTGTCGAATGACGGCGCAGCCCAACCTTTGCCGCATTGGCTCAGCTTCTTCTCCAGCCGTCGGCAGATGCCAACAAGATGATGAAAAAGTAGTTTGCAATCAAAAATTCAGCACGCTGGTAGCCATCCAGCCACCGGTGGGTACCCGCAATGTGCAATGCAGTACCACCGATGCGTGGACATTCTTGAGCGTCCTAAGAGAACCTGTCAGTACATGATGACGAGCGTGAGAAAGGAAGAGAAGACTTACCACGGCGCACGGTGTTGGTTGTCCGAAGAGCCCACACTGTTATGTCGAAGAAAAGTTCAAGAGCAAGCAAGCAAAGGCGAGCTGTGTAGGTATTTCGAGCGGGAGTTCCCATTAGCGTGCTGGCAAGTACAATGCTTCGTTCTGGTGGTTGCGTGAAAAGATGCAGATGTTGAGTGAAAGGTTGATTCAGGGGTTGGTGAGGTTTGAGGGGATGTCCTCAGGCTCGATCTCTGCACCATCACAATTAGCACGAGACATGGCACACTATGGAACTCGTGAAGAGACCGTCAACGCTACAATACCGATGCCACTATCAATCGCATCAATGCCAAGTCTCCGTTGTGCATGCCCCGGAGCAGCGCCTACACGCAGGGGCGCTCGAATCCACCAGCATTGCAATCACATTGTTCCTGTTCAGTCACAAAGGAGTCCTGGGATTCGTTTGTCTTCTCAAAGGCCACGGTGAAGGCCACATTCTTTGTAGCAGTCACAAGCACATTTTTGTTCACCAGCATCTTGGCAGGACCCACCTCGAAACTTAAATTCATAACATTCGCTTGTCTTTCGGAAGATACATACCAGACACTCAGAACACAATCATCACGCGTTTTGGACTGCGATCAAACGTCACAGTACACCGACATTCAAAAGATTTCTCATCGAACTCTACATCACCAGAAGACCGTCTTGCTACAGCGTATGCTCGACAACTCAGTCGCATCCGCCAACCACTCGAGTCTACCCACAACCACCCCCCGCAAGCACAAAACCACACCCACAATGACTACATCCATCGAGAAGAAGCTCTCCCTCGCCCGAGCCGGCCTCATCCCAATCAACATCTCCCTCTACCTCGGCAACCACATCGCCAACTCCCACAACATCCTCAAACTCGCCCTCACCGGCGCCTGGGCCGCATCCCTCAACCTCAGCCGCAAAGGTGACGCCACCAAGCTCGAAACCCTAGGCACCCGCATCTTCGGCGAAGCAGAGTTCGAGACCGCCATCAACGAAGCTCTCAAGCTAGGCGCCAAGGGCCATAAGCTCGAGATCGTCAAGGCTGGATTCGCGAGGATTGAGATCGAGGCTTTTATGGGGGATCAGACGGACGTGGAGGGTGATCGAGAGGTGCTCGAGAAGATGCTTGTTGGGGTTTGGGGGGCGCTTGTTCATTGCAGGAAGATGGGGGAGGCGCAGGAGGTGGAGGAGATGGGGGTTTGGATTTTTGGGGAGGAGGGGTGGAAGAAGGGTGTTCGTGGTATGCTGGAAGAGTTTGTCTGAACAGCATGGTCTGCTGCGGGTCTTGGACTATCGTTTGCCTTACAGCTGCGCATATGGTCAAACGCTACTCTCCTTTAACTCATGGGTACCAGAGAATACCTCGTCATTCAGCATAGATTCGGAATGAGCGGCATTGAAGTCCGCGGTGACTTTGAGGTCGCCAAGCGTATGATGAAAATAGGAATCAAAGCCATTCAGGCTACATCAATCGGTTTCCTTTTCATCCAAAAACTTTCCTCGTGATGCTTCTCTCCCTTTTGCGCCCTTCCTCGTCACAGCCAATGTCTGTTTATCGTTTAATCAAACCGAGATAATAGTGGTGAGATCAAATAAAAGCCGCAAGTGTGTATTGAGATGTCTTTGGCTGCAAGAGTCGTTGAGAGGGGGGCGAACGAATCTGTAGTGCAGCACAATCTTAGTTCTATTACCGCCAAGGAGCAAAGCTTGACCATCGTCAGCAGGCATAGCTTTCCGTGTCTCAGAGGAACGATGCGGAGCGAGATGCGACTTACATTCCGTCTCGGCTGAACGGACTTGCATTACATACATTGAAGGTGTCAAGATCCTTTGCTACTTTACTCGATTCGTGCTTCTCGGCTGCAACGACCTTCCAGGCTCCAGGATCGCGACAGTCGCCAGAGCAGACCTGTCCCAATCACTGATGCCCGTCATCTTGCAGTCCTTTTGGCCTCGCCTCGGACTCGTTCCGCTCCCATGGAGCATCTTGTACACCGTCTTCATCTCTCACCGCATTGTCAAGACTCCGCTGCTGCTTGCTGGGGGGAAAGCACGCTCTTGGCCAACAGGCACATACCAAAGCTTTGGACGGGAGTCGCTGAACTCTGCTATCGATGATGGCGGAGTTGCGGAACTTCTCGATCAGGCTGTCAATGCCTTGGACTGTGGCATACGACACCTGTGCGATCTTTCGTGGGTGGTATCCTACCTGCCACTCCTTGTTGACAAAGTTGTTCACGAAGTCGATGATCGCCTCCGGGTCGGTGAAGTTGACGAAGGCGTAACCGACATTGGTGTTGTACTGGAAGTCGATGCGAGTGCCAACCGCCGCCGCCAGGCTCCGCTGGATTGCCAATCTTCGGAACACTGGGGATTGTATCGTCGGACTGCGTTGGACTACCAGGACAGCGTGTAGCGCTGGTGGTAGTACCATCACCATGCTTGCTTGGTGTCAAAGTGAGCGCAGCAAAGCCACCACTTTCCTTCACGACCGGACCTTAATCAGATTAGCAGAGCGCGCCAGATGCGATGGGAGACACTCACATCGAGGATGTTCGAGCGTCATTTCACCACTCAAGCCTGGCTTGGTATTGGGCGTCGCGGTTCTTCGCGCGCCTTAAAGTCTCCGGCTGAGCTGTCTGTCTCTAAGCGTTGTGGATTTTTCAATTCGCTTCGGATTGCGGGTGGCTGCGGGCGTTGAATCTTGCAAGCCTCCAGTACGGCTGGACTGATGGTCAGCAGTGTTCGTTGAGGCAGTATGCAGGTTGTGCGAGCGGGGACGGTGAGGTCTGAATTGTCGCGTGACAAGGAGATGTCAAAGTGAGGGACGGGGAAGCAGGAGGCTGTTGTTGCAAACGCAGTGAAAAGAAAGGGGCAGACTGCTGGACTTTATCTTGAGCAGTTGACTCACCAGTGCTGAGCGCAAGAGTCGGCGACTTCCTCAGAGTGATGGCGAAGAAGCTGAATGTCATCTGTACGGCGCGATCAGGGGCGAAGGAGCTGTTGATCAGGGGTTGGGAGACTTCAGGTAACAAAACAGCAGATAGTCTTGAAGGAGGAAGTGGAAGTGAGTGGAAAATAAACAAGGCTTCAAGAGAAAATTTTGCAACTTACGCCAAGCCGCGGAAGGGCACCTGCCGAAGCTGTGTTCAAGGCTCACCGCCATTCAGCTATTGGCTACGGATTGCGTGACGCTAAGGGATGTCCTCGCATGTGATCTTCTTGGTGAATTGTCCGGCTTTCTCTTGCCATGACAAAACCACATCGACCCTGCACTCCATGCATGTTTGCTCCGTCGCTTTCCCCTGACAGCAATACTGACATTACCCATCGCAAGCAATAAAACACGACCGCCTGTCTCCAATGTAAGTCACACACGGAGACATGCGATCATCGTGCTGCTACACGAGGTCCTTCCCAGCTTCAAGTGCATCAAAAAAGCGAATGCCTTTACCCTGGGCGATGGTAGAAATAACAGAGCGTGAGCAGTCTCCTAGATATACTGGAAAAGCTAAGAAGAGTTCCACGATGATGTGAGAGATCTACCTTCCTGACTGAAGTCTTGAACTGTTTTTGTGCACACAATTCTGCCTGGGAGATCTGACAAAGCCCTCGTTGGAAGCTGAAGCCCTGCCAAAGGAATGCCTTCCAGCCTTGCCGGAGACGGAGGCGCTTGGTCAAGGTGTAGACATGAACGAGCGGTAAGACTCAATGGTACTACCAAACGTAGCCTCGCAAGCAAGGGGAACCGAGGCTGACAATTGAGAACTAGAACAAACTCATCTCCGAGGGACATTTATCTCTCTGGCGAGTACAGACTGCGAGGCTTTCCATTTCTGTTGCTCCTTTCCAGGTACTACCTGGCGGGATCCACATATTCTACCCTGCGACCTTAGCGTCGTATCGTTCCGTCGAAATAAAAACGCCAATTCTATGACCTAGCTCCACGCGAGGTCATTCAAACGTATCCCTCACCGCTCGACCCTTCTGTCCCATGCACTACCTGATGGGGACCGCATATCCTACCCAACAAGCTTAGCCCATGTCGTTTAGAAGAGATAAAAACGCCGAATCTTGTACCTGGGTGAACACGAAGCCTTTCAGGACTCCTCCTCTCCCATCTCCTGCCTCGGCTTCATGACCCTAACGAGCTTAAGGCGTTCCACTATCGCAGTCATGGTGATCCTCCGACATGACAGACCGTCCGTATCGACTTCACTGGCATCGTCCCAAGCACTCTGTTTCTCTGCGTGATACCAGTCGTAAGTGTGCTCCGTCCAATACGGTACGTTGCTGATACACAGCCGGATCCCCATCTCCGCCACGTCGAGCTTCAGCATCTGCTCAACAATCTTCTCGACCTCTGCGGCAAACGTCGTGTCCTGCTGTGAAAATCCTCGCTTGAAGTACCTTCGCTGTCCCTTCGTTCCGTCGACGATCGTGAACGCCAGAGACTGCAGCTCTGGAAACCAACTTCCCAGATTCGCGATGTGGTCTTGTGCTTTGAAGAGCTCCACCGGATAATATCTCGCGGTGCCATCAGATCCCACCACGCGGGTGCTGAGCTCCAGATGCTTGATGTTATGGATTTGTGGCTGCAAGAAGGTTGGAACGACTTCTGTGGCGGCGCTGTTTCTTGATGGGAAGTTGGCGGGTAAGATGTACGTGCAGAGCTGGGGAATGAGCTTGATTGCCTCCTCGACGTTCTCGCTTACGATCTCTTGTGCGTTGAATGTCATGGTGTGCTCTGCGTGCATGTCCACAATCTGGGAATTGACCTTCTCGAGGATTTCATTTGCGATTTCGGTGATTGCCACCTCGAACCTGTCCTTTGCAGGGACAATGTCGCTGAACTCTCTGACGTGGTGTCCGAATCGAATGTGGTTATGATCGATGGTGCGCGGAAAAAGCGACTCGAGGTACCTCTTGATGACCACCAAGCGCATCTCGGTCGGCAGCGTGTCGCATAATCCGTTGACGAGGCGACGCCAGGTATTCTGGGCCTCCAGCTCGTCCTCGAGATACTTCAGGTATTTGCCGACGAGTTGCGCCTTTGTAGGAAGTGGAGGCGGTGGCGGAGACTCGGACCCTTCTCTCTTTGGCGGTAGTCCATTGCCGGTGTGCTTTAGAATCACCAATTGCCACCAATATCGCTCTGGTTCGTCCAGGTAGTCGCCAATCTCCTCCCAAATGTCGGGCGGAAGTACACCTACGGACGCCATGGCGAGTTACGTGGCGAAGAGAGTTGGAACGCTGGCCTGGATGCTAAGATGTCAGTATTGAACCTTCAAGAGACGTGTCAGGGTCGCGCTAACACTCACCTAGCGAATAGATTGCCCTTCCGAAAGACAATGGTGTACGAAATTGGCGAAGGATCTCTCTTGAAGCTTGACCTGAGGCCTTTCGACGAGGTGCGAATGGTCGGGGCGAGTTGTGTGGAGAGGTAGATATTTGATGTCGCAAAGGATGTGATGAAATGCGGCTTTCGAGTTTGAGTTGTCGCGACGCAGCGTTTGCCTGCGGGCTGTTTCACTCAAGTGGGGCACGTTGGACTTTGTTCACAAGAAAAGGCTCTACTATCCGCTTGAGGCGCGAAACTAGGCTAGTACTGTGTTTCAGTGCCTGAGAAACAGCGTAGGAGTCTGATGGTATACTCGGCAACCAGGTTCAAGCCAGACGCCTCTAAAGATTGAGCAAGCACCAGTGTCTCGATCACCTTGTACGTGAGACCTATTCCCGCAAATGTGAAAGTGATTGAAGAATTCGTGAAGAACATTTCGCGCCGCGGCCGTAATGCGGTAGCAGAGTGCGTATGGCTCGAAGCATTGCAGACCGTCGCCATGACCAAGCGGCTGCAAAGTTAAAGCCCGCATCCCTGCAACATCTGCTGAAGTCGCCTTACAACATCAAAGACCTGTGCATTACACCCAAGCGACGCGAGTACAGAAAAGAAACCATGACTTCCCTAGCAGTTTCCGCGGTTCTATACACCACTGAACTCCTCGAGCTAATCTTGGCCAACTTGACACCAGCCGACCGAATCGCCGCGCGCCGCGTCTCCAGATTCTTCCAGTCCTGCTTCAACAACTCTTCCGCCTGCTGGACGCCGATCTTCTCCAACAAGGACCCAGAAGAGTGGTGGGCGGTACATCGAAGTCGGCAAGAGATAATCCGCGTCGCCCCTGATACGGATAGGAAGCCTTTCGCACGACAGGGCTGGATCTTCGTTCGACCGGCGATCCTTAACGACCTGATATTGGAAGACTTGGCCGAGATTTGGCAGACGTTCTCTGTTCTCGGCTTACGACGCCAGGGCCAGGGTTAAGCTGGACCTCACCAAACTCAGCGAGCAGTCTCTTTGCACATGGCTCCCACTTCTTTACGGCATACGAACAACCGGCAAAGTCTTCCTCTGGAACTCTTCCGACCTTGCGGATCTTAACCACGATAAACGGCGCCGTGGTCGCATAGTCTTCGAAACCCAGCCTGAGAACAACATCAGCCAGGAGCTGTACAAGCTCTGCAGCGCAGTAGTGCGACATGGCGGAGATTTGAGGGCCGGCATACAGCTTGAGTTCGCGGATACGGTGGCCGTCACGGAGCAGATGCTGAGATATATGCGCCGAAATGGAACATACAAGCTGCCGTTCATTGCAAGAAACGAGAATGATGAATTCATCAGAGAGATTGCATCGCTGCTGAGCAAGCAAAAGCGGGTTTCGCTATGCTGGAGCCGACATTCAGGGGCGAGAAGAAGTCAAGCGATGATAGTGGTCAGACAGTGTGCCAAGAGATGAAAGAACGGAAGAGCACGTTCATCACCATACCACCAACCAACAGCATTCAGCTTGAAATCGTGGTTCCAGGCGAAGCAAGAACTTCCTGGACGACGATCATGGCTGCGGAAAGAGTCTCGAATTGCGAGTCCTTCTTCGTGACGGTTGGGCAACTGTTCTCCGCTATGGAGGAGTATCATGGTACTGGGAGGATCCGAATTCCAAGCGTCATCGCGGCGAAGCAAGAGGAGTGGGGAAAGATCCAGCGTCTTCCCGTGCTGACTGAAGAGGATGTTGGGCGCTTGAGAGAGAATCGAACGAGCGGAAGAGAACTTCTGACGTTGGAATAGAGTAGCCCCTGGGGCATGTGAAAGCAAGGATTGCTGGCTAGCGCGAAACTTAATACGACGATGAATGAGAGATGCATCGAACGATCACGTCACGATTTCGAGATGCAGCATTTCTTAAATTCGGCCATCATGTGGATCTGGATCTCTCTCCCTATCCGTACCGCTTCGGAACAAGGTGCATGGAACCATCCGTGCGATGCTGAAGCGAAAAGATTAATAGATCGTGCCAAGAAGTTGCAAGGATTGTCACAGTGGCCAGTCGAGCCCAGCTTCTCGATGTCGCAGGTCCAGACGCTTGCCGAACGCCTCTCACGACTGAGTTTGGCGAACAAAAGCCTCTTCCGCAGCTCCGTCGTGACGTTTCATCTTGCGGGGTAGACAATGCCTTCGACGACGAGCAGAAGATACCATTACGATTTCTTCAAAGAAACAGCAAGACAATATCCCAGACCATGGCTTCAGAACTCGCCGAGACATTCGACCACAACAACAACCCCGTCACCCACGGCCGGCGTAGAGTGAACGGCATCCGGATGCACTACATAACAGCCGGAACCGGCCCAGCCCTCCTCCTCCTCCACGGCACCCCCAAAAACAGCTTCTACTGGTATCGCATCGTTCCCCTCCTCACCCCAAACTTCACCGTCGTCGCGCCCGATCTCCGAGGTTTCGGCTACACCGACAAACCCCCAACCACAGATGGCTACGATTCCAAAGAACAGGCGTCAGATTGTGCGGAGCTGATGACGCAGCTCGGACATGAGAGGTTTTTCCTTCACGGAGAGGATCGTGGGGCGGATTATGCGTATGCTGTGGCGGGGATGTATCGGGAGAGGGTGGTGAAGTTGAGTTTTTGTGAGATGTTGTTGAGTGGATTGGGGTTGGAGGAGAGTTCGTTCTGGACGAGGGAGAATGTTGGGGCGCAGTTTCGGGAGGAGGGGGTGTGGTGTTGGGTAAGTGGAATCAACTTCGTCGGTGGTATTGATATTGGGAAATCTTTGGCTTGCTGATGTTGAATCCGTAGCACCTTGGCTTCTTTGCCATCCCGCATATCCCAGAAATGCTCATTCGGGGAAAGGAGTTCGAGTTTTGGGAGATGTTCATCAAGCAGGAATGCTATAATCCTACCAACATCGAGCCGAAAGCCCTCAACCATTGGATCGAATGTGTCAAGCAGCCGGGTTGTCTGCGAGGCATTCTTGAAACGTATCGCGCTGGTTTCAAAAATGGCGATATCAATCAAGCACTGGCGAAAGAGAAGTTGACGATCCCTGTGATGACGATTGGTGCTCCGGAGTTCTTTGGTCCGAAGGTAGAGGAGTGTGCGAGGAAGTTTGCCGCTAATGTTGTGAAGTCGGAGATCTATCAGGAGTGCGGTCATTCTCTGGCGTTGGAACAGCCGCAGAGATTGGCGAAGGATTTGACGGAGTTTTTCTTGGGAAAGTAGACAAAGAAAGCGCACTCGACCAGTGGCTATGCCATCGTCGTCCTCTCTCGTACCACCAGTCTCAAGATGAGTGTTATTGACCTCGCAGTAGAGGGGAAGCAGGAGACGTTTGAATGGCCAACACTTGTGTCCCGGTAGGGATAGAACTGTCTCTTCCTCTTCTAAGGTAGATCGAGACTGATGGAGCTCTCCTCGCAGTTCTTGAGTAGTAGCCGATATCGCGCGAGATTGCAAGAAGCACTGATGTCCGCTAATTGCTGGGTCTCTAGGATGGTCGTTGTCAGGTTCCCCCTACCAGAGAGGGCGCAGCTGCAGAAGGCGAAGGCCTTTCTCCTTGTTGGTAGGATGGAAATTTCATACCTTCCTCCCGCCTTCCACCGTCCAGCCCATGTGCGCGAACTGTGGGAGCCCGAAAATCGGGAGGTGCTTGTAGTTCGTGATCTTTTTTTTTGGATCACGGGGGAGGTGTCGACGACGGCTTTGAAGAATTTGTTGATGCGCCGGTTCTTTTTTATGGAGGCGACGGGGAGGCGGAGGAGGATCATTTCGAGGAGCTCGACGGTTTCGAAGACTTTTGCCGCGGCTGTCATTGTGGTGGTGGGCTTGGTGTGTCTGATGGGTGCGAGTGGTGGTGGTGGTGTCTGGCAGTGTGAAGTTTTGTCTTACGTGAAGGTCTACGAGCGGCGAGAGAAGATGAAAATATGGCAAGATACGCGAGAAATGGGCGTGCATGTCCGCAGAGTCTCAAGACGCACACTAGAGAGATGGTTGTCATGATGAGATTCTGCATATTGATGTAGGAGCCATTGCGACTGGACTTTCGTGGGAGCAGGAAAGGCTAGACTGAGGACTCCATAAGTGATTCCATTTGTATGAGAACAGGAGCGAGCGATGGAAAAGATATCTCTCCCACGGGAGCACAGGCCATGCGAAACGGCCACTCCCGACATCTCAGCAGCTTCAAGCTCGTCACTCCTTCTGAATAGCAGAAACCCCGTTTTCATCCCTTCTCGGCCTTTTCCTACCACCCTCGACCGTTCGCCTTTACCAGTTCAATCGCTCTTCAACGCCACCAATAGAGATACCTTCCTCAACAGCATCACGTTCCAACTCCGTTAGCAAGCCAACGCATGGCAGAAACACCAACGTGAGATCGGACGCGGCCTTCTGCAACTTCTTCGGGAATACAAAGTATGCCTCCTGAATATCGCCAATGGCCACACCGTCATCGTTGTCGACTCGTATACCTGGATTCTCTCCAAGCCGCATTTGCTGGGGATCTCGGTCAGTGCTTGATTCTGGTCCTGAAGAGGTCCACGACTAGCGTCGTCACGGGCGGTGGGGCGACTTGAGTGCCGTAGAGGAAGGCATTACTGGTAAGGTATACTGTGGTCAGACGACATATCGCACCTTCGAAAGCGGTGAAGTCGAACGTTCCGTGTTGACGGGCGAAGAGGTGGGAATTCAGGGGTTGGGGTTGCTGTGTTCGCGTTTTTCCCCAATTGCCATCGAAATCCTGCAATGCTAATCCGCGCGGTACCTCGTGCTTGGAGGAGTCCATTCGACTTGAGTCTGCGAAAGTGTGTCTTGCGACATGGGAAGCGAAAGATCTTGCAAGGACGCTGACCCGGTCTGCTGAGCAGAGTGTCAACCTTGTTCCACTGCTCGGATGAGACGAAGAGGCGGCCTGCAATAGTGAGCTCTCCTACTCTCAACCCATTGGCTTTGCATAACAGGTATCTGATTGATCACGTCTCGAAGACAGACGCCTCCAGCGATGAACAGCTGAGTAATACCGCTGCTACCATACCCCACATTTGGGTGAGGTGGTATCCAGGCCAGCTCCACTGCCTCAACTGGCGGATTGCTAAGGAACATGCGGAAGATGGTGAAATCAGGTCGAGTCTGAAGGGCATGCTGCAGAAAGGCTAAGCGAATCTTCCAGCCTACAACGCGCGTATCGGTGTCCAGGCGCTCGACCAAACTCAGCTTTGCGTAGTAGCGATCAAAGAGGAGGAAGTCGGTCAGCACGACTGGCTTGAGAATCTTGAGACCGGAAGCTTGTTGGGCGTGATCGGCAGTCAGATTGACGATGGTGCTGTTCTTGAAGTCGACCTCCCACACAAGCGGTGCACGACGAGACTTCGATAGCGAGAGCCCGTGGCTGGCGCTGCTTGCTCCGTATATCACGTTCCTCGCCGTCTTGGAGAATGACACTAATTGTAGAAGCTCATCTCGGTCTTTGACCTGATACAAGATGGCCTCGAGTACCTCGCTAGTGTTTAAAGCACGTTGTGTCGCCGTCAGGCTGGATGCAGGAGGAGAAGTTCTCATGAAAACTTCGAAGAACAGGCGCAGGGCTCAGTGTGGAAGGTAGGTGTGGTCCTTGGTTCTGACTGTGTTGAGAAATACTTGGTGTCTGTTCTTGCTGTTCATGAATGTTGGCAAGGTCTTGGTGGCCTTGTCCGTGTTTATCAGAAGATCCAGATCATGGCCCGCGAGACTATTCCCTTGCACGCCACGTATGAAGAAGTTCATCCAGGAAACAGCATAGTGCATTATCATCGATTTCTCAATGCTGGGTATCGCAGCTTCTGGCACAGAGCAGAAGGCAGGGCGGCATTGTCAAAGCCGGCACATAAGCTGTTAATGATCTTTCCGCACTAAGGGAAAGGAGAGGGAGCAGCAAGGCTAATCGCTCAGTCGTTTCAAATTCTGATGATGCCCTGCAGCAGCCTTCTTCCTCGGCCTCGGCGTAGGAGCGTCCGCAGACTGCTTCAACGACGACCAGACTATATCTTAATCAACCAAAAACTTCAAAGATGTACAAGTGTCTACGCGCGGAATTCCTCTCTTTAAAGAGCAGAACAGAAAGGAAACCTTACGATAATTTCAAACCACTGCCGTCAGGTTTTCAGAAAAATGTCTTCCTACTGACCAGGATTCTATGAGTGATTGAGAAGCAGATTGGTGAGACAAAAGGGAGGCTTCTGAGAAACTCAATAATCAGATCCGGGCATTGCAGAGAGGTTTACTGTTCTGTCTGGATACCGACGCATGTCTGAATACAACCTTTGTCTCTTGTATTAGAACAAAGGCACTGTGCCATTCAGGGGTTCGATATTCAGACTTCATTCATCAACCCTTTGTTCTTCTAGGATAGTCCGTCGCGGTATCTTCATGCGGGTCACAAGGCAGTAATCGTCCACTAAAGCGATAAGGAAAGCTAGCTCAAGGGACGTAGTTCCATTCGAAGTCTGTATGGTGAATGTGTGTGGGAAGTATAGATGCGGTCCACGGATAGGCGCAACGAGTTGGCGATGCTTAAACTATATCGTGGCTGGGCTTTTTGAGGAGTTGCGCAGATCAAATAGTCATATGAATACCAAGAAATTGAATGAGGAAAGAGTATGGCCTATTTTGAGTATCTACGAGCACCAGTTTCGTCTTGATACCTGGATTGCATGAACTTCAAGCTCACGATAGGTACTTTGGGCCTTGTTGAGTCTCTTATCACGTTGCTGTTCTCTTGATGGTAAGCCTTCCATGAGACCAAAGTCAAATACTGAGGCGCTTGGATATCTCGATGGTGGAGAGGGCGTTGCTTGCTGGCAAAGCGAAGCTGGAACCACATGTTGTTGGTGGAGAATAGAGTGCTAGTTGCAATCACTCGTGCTTGGATGTATTTGAAAATCAAGCCGAAGTTTCTGCGCCAGATGTATCAGCCATCGGCACGAGCGCGGTTGAGAACATGTCAGGGCCAATGCAACAAGATGAACATGAACATGCTTGGTGCGTTCGATCTCCATTTCGCTCTTCTGCGTGTGCCTACACCAAAAGGAATGGATTGGAAATGAACAGTATGGCCCATTGAACAGCCTCGAAGCAAAAAAGGTGACGAGCGGCAAATCCACCTCAAGAGTTCAAAAAAGGCAAAACTTCTACGCAGGCTCCGCTGAACGCTCGGATGAACGCTCAACCACCTGCGTAGTGAAATACCCACCGGACGGGTTTTCTTTACTGCCGTGAGTCTCAATATGTCGCGGGGAGCCACCCCGATTGAGACATACATGTCACTTGTGTGCGGGACTGGGGGACAACATACCTAAGGAATTGTGCGCAAATTTTACCACTGCGCCACGCGTCTTTGTAGCTGGGTGATTGTTAATGAAGGGGATTCAACTGCATACATATAGCTCCATTGCTAAGCGAGGCTAGGCAACGGTTTCTTGCATCATGGTGAGCTTCGGCAAGTTCGCTGGACGGGAGGGTCCAGCTTTGTGGGTATACGCGGGTGCTGCTGCTGTATTTCTTCTCCCATTTGCATCCATCTTCGTATTCATGGGCTGCGAGAGACGTTCAGGGGACTAGAGATCGACCACAAGCCATCACAGCATCAACAGAGATGCCATCGCCACACCATGCACGCCTGGCAGACCCAACCGACACGAGCTGCTCGCGCAGCACCACCGCAGCCCCTGAAAGCTCCGACAGCCCCAACGCAACAACGCCGCTGGATAAAAATCACGAGAGCCGCGAAACCCAGCAGAGGCGAGAGCCAATGCTCTACTTTGGCGTATACGAAAGCCTTCCGCCCCTGAAAAGGCGATGGGATGGACCGTGACGGAGAATTGGATGAACAGCTGCAGACTCACACCGTCACGTCGCCACCTTGTGCTTTCCTCGTGAAGCCACTGCAAACTCTCTACCACAGCAAACTGATTTTAATGACTCCAACAGGGCGACGAAGGGTCACTCTGGTCATGCGATGCAGGAAAGAGTGTCCGCCCGGCGCGAAACGAAGACCTACGACATCATCACCACTCTAGACTCCCAACACAATTGCAGAGCGGAGACAGAGGTCCTTCATGAGAACACTCGCTGTTCAACTTAGAAAGAATGTATGAAACCCCATATGGGCCCGATGCTGCGGTCTCAGAAGAAAGGCTCTTGAGGCGCTGGACAAACGTGTGAAATTGGACACAGGAGAAGCTATTTTGGGACTCTGAACATCGCCACCGGTCATTCCGTTTTGCCTCACTCTGATCCTGTTTGCAGATCTCTAGAAAACGAATCTGGACTCATATCAGCTTCACTCTCGTCGACAACCAATCCTGTCCTAAGATTCCGCTCTCTCGGCTCGAATTGAAGTCTACAAGCTGCGCTCAGCCTGAAACATTGAATGCTGGATCCAGACGAAGCCACTTCGTTGAAAGATTATACGTTCCGTAAACAGGTGTCAATAGCAGAGGCACAAGAACTTGGCCGAACAAAGCCAACCCAGGATTTCGATTACGAGTTTGAAAGAGGAGCTCTATTGTCGCGGTAATCGGGAGTTCCGCCTCTTTGTCTGACCTCAAACGATGATACCATGTTAAGTATGGAGTGTATATCTTCCCAACATGGCCGGAGCAGAAAAGCCTTCAAACAGCATCACACTCCTTCAGTAACAAACAAGCGTCACAGCAGGACTGTACATCACACTCCTTTCACAAACCCACAACGCACATCGACAACCACTCACTCACTCATACTACACACACAACCACTCATCAACAACAAACGACCATGTTCCGCCCCCTCATCGCCCTCTTCCTCCTCGTCGCCCTCGCCCTCGCCGGCCCGGCCCCAATGAACCAGCAATCCTGCAAAGCCACCGATCACGGTCTCGTCGTGAACTACGACATCAGCATCGGGCGCTACTACATGCGTTCCAAATGCGACGCTGCAATCCGGGGTCTCAAGAAGTCTGGTGCTTTGCCTTCCATGATCCATTGCAATGCTGATTCCCGCGGCATGACGAAGATGACGTTCAATGCCATGCGAAACAGACATGGAAAGATTAATCGTACGCTCAATGGGGTTTGGACTGCGATTAGGGATAATGGGGGGTTTAATTGTCGGGGTCATTAGAGGATTGGAGAGTTGGGGTTTGGAGCATTTCTTGGTTTTTTTTTTGGAGCTGGCTTGGGTTTTGTCGTGTGTAAGCAAAGGAACGAAAGTAGTGTAGTTTGTCGAGTTCTTCCATCTTCTCCATCCATAATCTGGACACGTCATCTCAACACCTTGCGGTCATCCAAACTCCTTCAGCACAGCGTCAATGCTCCCTTTCACCTCAACAACCTCGGCGTCCCATCCCCATTCCTCTCCCCCCTCTCGCGGGCCCTGTTCCAAGCCGCACAACTATGCACCCTAACCCTCGACTCCTGCAAATACGTCGCACGCTCCGCCGCATTCGCAATATGCTCATCCCTCTCCTTTCTCGACTCAAGCCCATCACGCCAGAAAGTCTCAGCCGGAAGGACTCGATCCTGAGCCGCTTTGACCAGAGCTTTCCCCTGCCGTTGAAGTTTCGTGTAGTCGATGGTAGGAGTTTTGAAGCGACTTGCTTTGGAGATGCCGGCGGATTTCCTGTTGACGTTGACCTTGAAGCCGCTTAGCATGCTGAGCATTTCGGATTCGTTGTGCTGGGATTTGATGAGGGAGTTTCTGGCTTTCTGGGCTTCGGCTGCGCGTTTGAGCTTTTGCTTTTTTGCGTCGGCACGTTCGCGTTTGAGCGGTTTGGCCTCGATTTGCTCGTCCCATTCGATCTCCTCACACGCTTCGCGGGCATCCGTCGCTTGTTCGGCTTCAGGACCGTTTGGATCTGGTGCTCGCTGCGACGTTGCGAGCTCAGAGTTGTAATATGGCTCGGAGCCAGCGCTGATTTGGAAGTTGAACTTGTCGACGGAGGTTGTAGACGTCTCTTGAAGCGCAGACTCCAGGACGCGTTTGAGCTTTTTCTTGGCAACCTCGTCACCATCTCTATCCTTCCTCTGGGAAGTCCTGGCTACGGCTGTTGAGGAGGCCTTTGGTCTGAAGCAGAGTGTAGACAGGCTGGCGCCTACAGGCTTCTTGCCTGGCCTGAAGGGGAGGTTGAAGCTGTTGTTGGGAGCCATTCTCGTTGATGAAGTAGATTTGTACGGCGAGTCTCGCTGTCAGTGTTCGTGCAGTTGTCGTTTCGCTTGTGGTGTTGTTGGAGTGGGGTTCAGGGTAGGGAGATGCAAGGCTGTTAAAGTTCCCATTAGGCAGCAAGTACTGCTCTCCCTCCAGTTCACTTCTCCTCCTCGGCATCGACTCGGATCTCACAATCCATTCTTAGCAAGATCCGATACGATGTTCCCTTTGTTTACACCTAAATAATGATCCTTGTCGCATTATAAGTTGGCGAGAATGTCATTGTGATTTTACAAAGAGACGACATCCTCCTCCTTGGTATTTGACTTGAGATCCGTTTGATTGACCTGAGATCTCTCAAACATCACTGCAGCCATATCACACACCCTGACATCTTGAATACAACCCGAATCAGACACGCACCATGCCTTCAATCAACAAATCCAACTTCAGCATTCGCATGAAGAAAATCATCGGCCGCGCCGAAGATCAAGAATACGAGCTCAGCCAACAACTCTCGACCTGCAAAGACGAGATCTCAGCCTGCAGGCTCAAGATCGATCTCGACGCAATCGTGAAGATCAAACAAGATCTCGCAGATGCCGCACGAGCCGAGTCCGAAGGTAACCCAACATCGGAACAGCAGGCTGTTCTCGAGAATGTTGATCTGGCTCACAAGATTCAGGACATGAAGAAGGACCACATCGAGATGTTTGGTGTGCGTTCTGCTCCTTCTGCTCTCAAGAATACAGGGTCGCTGTTCGAGGTCGACGAGAATTGGGGGTTCGATCGATCGGCTGCCCAGCGTATGGAGCCTTCGGAGGTTGGACCGAGAGATGAGCTCGTAGAAGCTTGTCAGTAGGATTGGCTCCAGAAAGAAGCCCAATTTGTGGCCAACTCTCCGTTTGCTGCAACGTGGGGTTTTCAACCAGAAATCCATGGTCTAGAAATGACATGTCGTGCTCCTGGACTTGCCATCTTCCTTGAGTCTGCCCTATGTATACTCGTATGCTTTCATCCTCTGACCCACTGATTCTCCTCTTCATTCTTTCTCTTCTCCCATGAATCTTCCCGAATGCCTGCCAGATCTCCATGAACGAGGTGAGTGTCAAGTTGGCTTCGACTGCTGGGACATGCTCGTGGTTGTACCAACCAGGCAGGCTATAGCAGCACAGGTGCGAATATAGTGGTTCTGCTGTAGAGCAGCAAGGACGTTCCCAGCCACCGCGAGACTCTTCTTTGTAGCTACAAAGTCACATTGAATATCACTCCGCTGCAATAAAGCGCTCGAGACATTTGGGCGCGTATGCTGGTGGCGGCGAAGGCAAAGGTTGCATGGAGTGAAAGATGGTGGATGATGAAGATGGAGCGGACTGTGGACACGAAGAGGCATTTGTTCTCGCTCGTAGGATGTTTGTGTGCTGATGCCCTCCAAACACCAGCGATCGCCAGTGACTTGATGGGCTACACAAAGTTGTCAGCGTGAGAGGAATCGTTGGTCAGATACATACCCAGATTTCCAGGTCCAGAGAGAGTCAGAGTCAGAGTCAGAGTCAGAGAGTCGCCGTCATTGCCACCGCCGCTGCCGTCGCGAGATCAACCACAAGAGAAGGGAAAGGGGAGGATACATACCCAGCACCAGCCGCCGCCATCCGAGCCATGACGCTCGGAGGCGACGGCGGAGGCGTTGGTGCCGTCGGAAGTCCTTCTGACGGCATGTTGGTCATGTCGTCGTGAGGAAGAAGAAAAGGAAACAGAGAAAGCTGGCAGAATATATGTGCGTGAGAATGGCGCTAAAGCACTAGTGCGGACAGGGGTCGGGGTCAGGGGCCAAAGCTCACTCACGCCTCAGCATTCGTCGGAGCAGCTCCATTATGACTGGTATGTGCTGTTGGAAGAATACTACAATCGACTGCATGGCTAAGGGGCTGACCGAGAAGCACAGCAGGCTCACCAAGTACCACACCTCTCCAGGCTTAGTTCGGTATCATACTCGAGCAGCGCACCAGACGCAAACAGTGAGACGAGCGCAGACGCTAAGCGTGATGAAAGAATCAATGGATGAGAAGGCATGAGTGGAGACTGCCAATGGGCGTCTCCGAGAGCGAAGAATGCTTTGGATGACCCGCGAATCTGTCTTGGCTGCTCGAGCCCCATTGCAATGCCAATGGTTCAAGAGCCCAGTGAAAGGAGGCCTGAACGGTAGAAATCTCGCTGATTTGCATCGAGATAGATCTCTACTGTGCGCGCTCTCGCAAAAATGCTACTCCGGTCCTGGCCACGCGGTACCTCCGACTATCCGGAATTCGGTACTGATCCTCTCCCTGAGGCAATCGTTTCGAGCGCCCAGGCATACGAGTTTTGAAAGCACAAGAGCGTAGATATCTTTGAGGATGTTGTCTGCTCACGCGCTGCAATTGTTTCGCAGAAGCTCATCGCGGAGTACAAACCTGGATGCCACAATCACCCATTGCAAAGTGTATTGAACCGGTCAAAGCTATTTTCAGTCTGGAAGACCGGCCAGAGAAGCTGTGGGTCCTTACTGGTTCCAGGAGTTGAGAAAGAGCTCAAGTTTTGGAGATTTTACTGTTCTGCATGGATTTCATCTACTCAAGGGACTGCCAGACCGGGGAAACTCCCCAATGCTCCTCGCTCAGCAGGAATTCTGCGATTCGTGGGAATTATGCTATATGTTTTGATGTGGAACAGGTCTAAGACACGCCCAGACATGGCGCAGCAGCAAACTTCGAACACCTCTTTCGCTTGCGAATACAAATGCCCTGGATGAGTACGTCTTTTGGATCTTCCATATACTCACTCAAGCAGAAATCTATACGCCCAGACTCCAGCAGTAGTTGACGCTCCGCATAACTTCCTGACGGCATGACGGCCTTTCTCACAATGGCTTTGAGCAAATTCACAAAGCGATTGTTTCTGCACAATGCAATACACCTACGAGAAATGCAATTCACCTACAACAAGCGCGTGAAGAGAATGCATTGATCAGCTTCACTTCCCAGCGTTCGACCTATACTGCTACTTTATAAACACTTCTTCTTCAGCTGTTCTGGACTCTACTCCTCACACATCTTCACACCGCGCCAACCAAGATCACACTTGACTTAAGATCACAACCACCGACGCATTGAAGACAGGCATATCTTGCATACATCAAGCCGTGCTAACCATCACCACACCCAGAACCGACAAACAAAATGGTGAACCAGAAGCGCAAAAAGCTTCTTGGCACTCCCCAATGGGATGACGAAAACCGAGCTACTGCTCATCTCCTCTTCGTCCTCTACGACCTGTGGCCGGACCACCAAGACGACCTCATAAACATCTTCCATCGCATGTTCCCGCACTTTCAGAGGATAAGGTTCACCGCATCGCACCTACGCGATGCATGGTACCCACGCTGGGCACAGAGGCGCTTTGGGTTCGTCACAATTGACAGACCCAACGAGTACAACCAGACCCAGCTTAACCAGGCAGAGCTCAACGACCTCGCAACGTTGACGTCTATCATCCAGCGATGGGCCACAACGCTTGGAATCACTCTCCGTCCCGCCGCGCCTGCGATTACTCGGCCTTACGACGATGGAGCATACGACTTCTCACAAGGCATCGCGGACCCGAACGACAACCTTACAACCTATCTGAACAAGCACGCTCGGGCACGCGCAGCCTTGCGACCAGGTGATGTCATCCCTCAGCGCGTCATCAACCTCATGACGGTCGGCAACCAGGTCGATACCAAGCTGCAGTATGGCATGCCAGTAGATGGTCTGGCTCACCTGCCATCCACCGTTGGCTTCGACGTCGACGAAGAGGGTCAGCCACTCAATGGAGTTCCAGCGCCACAGGTTCAGGCAGCACCACAGGCACCAGCTCCGGCAACTCACCCCCCGGCTCACCGGCCAGCGCAGAAGCAGTTGCCATACAGGCTCAATGGTGTCAGCTCGGTATCTGACTCGGAAGACGTTGATATGGATGCTCCAGTCACTCGTCCGACCGGATCACGGTCGTCACGACGCCCAAGACGCCAAGTCTACGACGACGATGATGAGGACGACGATTTTCAGGCACCACCAGCCAAAAAAGCCCAGCCAACCTCCACATCAAACCCCAACCCCCCAACCCTCCTCCCTCCTCGAAAAATCGGTCTCCCCTTCTCAGAATCCATCCTCCCGCGAAAACAAATCGAAATGTACCGACGAGGTCTAACAATCGACGGCCACCCACTGCGACCAATGGGATCCGGAGTCTCTAGTACCGTACATGTACCAGGCTCACCGGGGTATACTTGGTATACCGGCCCGCCGGGTGGAAGATTTGTTTTTTCGGGGGATGTGGGAAATGCTAGAGAGGAGGAGGAGGGGGAGAGAGAGGCGAAGGCGGAAGAAGCCGAAGACAACGAGGAGGAATCCGACTCCGACATCGACATGCACGAGGCTTCTGACGATTCTGACGAAGACCTCTACGCCCCGTAACCCTCCTTCATTCTAAAAATCAATGAAAGCCGTCCTTGCTAGGGGTAACCCGATGTGAGGTACAAAGTAGGCTTTTGGATTTTTGGAGTAGAGGGGCAATGGAGTAGAGTGGAGTGGAGGGCAGAGGAGGTGAGTCTTTAGAGTTTTGGCTTTGGGGTTTGGGCGCTTGGGTTTAGAAGGGGGACGAGGAGAATTAGGGAGTGGGAGAAAAGGTAGAATGATGGAGTTTTGTTTGGATTTCGCGGGCTGATGGAGCTATTAAAGCATAGCCGGTGAAGGGAGCAAGTAGCATCGAAATGTGTTTTGGATTTGAAATTTTCACTCTTAGATTTTTTTTTCTCTAATTTCAAGTTGTAGTGAGTACGTACAATGATATGCGGTGAAGATACGAGGATTCGCTCAAGGGACTTTGAGTATCTCAATCCGTCAAATGTGACACGTGAGTAGACAACAGATTCCGGCACGACAAGACTGTGAATAACAATTCCATTCCGACAGAAAAACTACTCATCCTCCACTATTCTAACCCCTCAATTCAATCCCCCCACCCCTTCAAAATCTACTTCGTAATCCCCTCCTTCGTCGACCTAGAATACCCAGGGAACTGCATCAACTGCGCATCATCCGCATCCTGCAGCTGAGGACATCCAAGCTTCCCAATCAAACTGCCCACCGAATTCGTCAGCTGGGTGAGCGCCGCGAGCGCAAGATCCGGTTTCGCTTGTGCGGCGAATTGGTACGCGAAGCACGCGAAATTGTTATCTTGGGCCAAACTCGCGCTGTTGAAAACACCTCCGGAAAGATTCCGGACGTCGATGCCCGTGAAGGAGTTGGTGGTGCCGGTGTTGCCTCCCACGTTTAAGAATTTGGGGTACAGCGCGGCGGCGTTGGCGACGTCGGCGAGGAAGTAGGTGTTGTCGTAGGGGTATTCGATGGCGCGCCTGTACTAGAAGGAGATCAGTGAGGGTTGAGAGAGGTTTTTGTGGTTGCGCGTGACTTACCCAGTTCATTGGAATGTGCTCTTGGCCTTGGTTGGCGACGTAGCTGCCCGAGTCGCCGGAAATTCCGAACCATGCTTTGATCACGTCGTAGGTGAGTTCGCCGTAGGGGTGCTCGGCGGAGTGGTTGGCCATGAAGCGGTAGATGAAAGTGTACGCGGCGGGCTGCACGAGGACACCGGTGAATGGGCCGTTGAAGAAGTAGGGGTTGGTGGCGATTTGGTGGTCGAAGCGGTTGGAGCGATGGGTGGTCAAGGAGTCGAGGGTGACGACACCATTTGGTGAAACGTTGATGAGTTCTTGGAATTGGCTGGCGATGGTCTTGTAGTCGTCGCCGCTTTGGTAGAGATCTCCTCGTGTGGGTGAGGCGTCGCTCTCGTACTCTGCGGGAAATGTCAGTACGGCTTGTGATCGATGAGTGTTTGGAGACGTACTGTTGTGAGAGCCAGAGATACCATGGCCTTGGCTGGAAAGTGGACCTCCAATTCCAGCTCCTGGAGTGCCGCCGATAGACCATGAAGTGCCATCTCCGTCAATCGTAGCACCGAGCACGGCAAGGAAACCTGCGAGCACGGGCCCCATACCAACAACATTCATCGTTGCATCGATGAATTGGGTGATGGTGGCGTAACCATTATGAGGCAGGAAGCCGTGATTGGCAAAAGCGTTCAGGCCTGGACATGGCCCACGAAGGTCGTTTGGTCCCGGTGCCACATACTCGTGGCCGCTTCCTGGGCCGACATCGATGAACTGGGCCTTTTCGTTGAAGATGGGAACGGGCTCGAATAGCTTGGTGGCGCCGTCTGCAGCTACTTGTCGTTTGTCGAGTTGAGATCGAATCTCTTCTGCTCTTGCGGCGAGGGCAGGGTTGTTGCTGGCGACAGCCTCAAAGATTGCAGCTGGGAACGCAGCGGCCAGAGGGACTGCTCCGAGAAGGGCCTGGGTTGTCGAGAACTTCATTGTATCGGCTTCGTCTCGACCGAGGTTGTAAGGTCGGAAGCTTCACGGGGCAGAAGAGCAGCGGCAGGAAATCGATATATTTGTAGGCTGCATCGCCGTTCGAAGGGCTTCCACAACGTGCGATCGATTCGTCCATCTTCGAGCACGGTCATCTTGCCATATACAGGACGTCCGAGATATGCTGACGAATTGGAGTGAGCGGAATAGGATGTTAGTTGGCACGAGTCTCCGGATGTAGGCAAGTCCTTTCTCCCCAGGTTAGTGCAACAAGGTTGCAAACAAGCTTGAATGCGGTCGCACCGCTAGCCGCAACAAGAGAGGACTCTGACAAATGGTGGACATCTGATTCGCGCAGCTGACACGGAGGAATTGAGAATGTCGGCCCCGTCGTCGGCTGCGGCTGAATGAGGTGATGATCGACGTCGGTGGCGCTGGTATTGGTGCCTTGCAAAAGGGCCCGGACTGTTTTTCGGGGGGAACGAGGGCTACCACCTTACGTCTCTTCTAATAGCTATACCACTATATCTCACCAAATACACCAATTCTACGGTCGGAAACTGCAGTATAGTATGTTACATTATATTGTTAGTCCTCTTCTATATTTCTAACACCTATAATAGTATTGTTCGTAGCGCATCTGCCTAAAAGCCGTATTCTTAGCACCTATTTGCCTAAAGCCGCAGCCCTCGGTCTATATACTAATCTAAATCCACCAAATCTATTCTATAGCTCTACTTACTATACAAGACGAGAATATAATTTAATAGGCATTAGATAAAGGCTAGAAGAGTAGAGATATTGTACGGTTATTGCTCCGCGATAGACGTAGCTCTCGTACTACTATTTAGATACGGATAACTAGGTAGAATCGGACAGCTAATATGTTTCTAGTAAAGGGTAGTAGACCGTATATAATTATACTAGCTATACGAGACGACCTGTTAGAGTTCTTAACAATAAGAAGCATATACTAGCTAGAAGAGATGCAGATAATATTGCTAGAAAATCACTAAGAATAGGTGTCGCGATCCACTATTAGTCGTTGCTTATTAAGCAGTGACTTTACTAACAAACTGCTGTCTCGTACGGCTTTACAAAGAGACCCGATAGCAAGGGCTCTATTTAAGGCTAAACTATAGTCATTTGCGGCCTTCTAAATTATATGCCTTAACGAGTCTTATACTTTAGATAAGACTGCCCTTCGGAGGCGTAGATAGTTACTAAAAGGTATACTAGCAAGAGATAGCTAACACCTATACTACTCGCAGCGATATACGATCCTTCTAGTATATACGATTGATAGCTATCTTCTAGAGCTACTAATCTAGTAAGGCAGTGTTAATAGTTACGACTTTATAGCCTTCGTACGCTATCGAGTATTGCTACGCTGTACGCTATATCTAGGTCTACGGTCTGTAATATTGCTAGACAACTATAGCACCTATTTAAGAGCTATTCTAAAGGAGATATGCTTAGCGAAGGGTATATACCTACTCTTCCTTCTACTATATTCGCCTAACTATAACGCTATTGAGTTGAGCTTTAAGCACCTAAAGCACTAGATTAAGAAGAACTAGCAAACAATGCCTAAGTATAGATTACCTTACTAGCAGGCAGACTTCTAGTCGTACCTAGAACTAGCTTGTAAACGATAGGGTAATAATATCGATCACTTGGCTTAGTTCAAGCATTATAAAGTGCTCGAGAAACTATATAAATATGGTCTAATAATGCTAGCCGAGATATAGAATAAGCGGCAGTAATTGCAGTATATACTAAATTCCGGCTCCGTTTATATATAGAGTGCCAAGACCTTATATATTATAGTAATTTGCTAGTAGATTAATGCTAGATTCTCCTCTAAATAACTTCTAACGGTTGTTAGTTATATTGTTACTATTAGCAGTTACTATACTGTCTCCTAGAGGTATCGCAATTGCGGGGCTTAGCAGATCGGACTAAATTTAAAAATGGCCGACGTTCAGCTAAATGCTATATATTATCGTAACAACGCTACATTATTATTATTATTATAGTCGGCAATTCGAGAATAAGTGCGGCGCTCTTATATAAAAAAACAACGATGTAAATCGGAAATATAGTTATAGTGCAATACGTCGATAAATAAAACTAGTATTATCGGCTAGGCTTAAAGGTCGTAGAGAAAGCCGAGGTGCGACATAGAATAGCAAATGTAAGGTTAAACATAGAACTATTAATAATTCAATACCTATATAGCGCTATAACTCAACGATACTATATCCAAATCAATCTAAATAAAGTACGCGATCGATCTATAGTACTACCCCTTGTACCTCTAAGTTATAGAACAAAAATTAGATAGATGGTTATAGTAATCTATATAGCTAGGGTTGGCAAAGCTAGCTTGTTATTATGTTAGCTTTGCGCCCCTTAATTTCGACTACTTTAGCGTAGTATAGCATAGTCTATAGCTTGCTTACGAAGCGCCTGTCTTATGCCGAAGGTAGGTACTACCCTTACTAACCTATTCTTATTCTCTTGTCGTCGGAGCTGTTTCAAATTCTAGGCGTCTTCTATAATAGCCTTAGTAATAGCTTCCTGTCTGTCCTGCTATATAGGATGCTATTAAAAGAACTAGGCTAGGTAGAGAGGTGTCTCTACGTAGTTACTTAATATAGTACTAATGTCCGGCGGCACTAGTAAGCTGCGGAGCTATTATTGCTGCAGTAAAGATTAGACTTGCTATTAAGGCTACAGAGCGCCTAGTATAGCAGGATTGGTTATTATTATCTATAATAGGAAGGGGTTGAACTGTTGCTGCTATTGCTACTATTACTACTGTTGCTATTATTGTTGAAGCAAGGCTATTAGTAACACAGACTCGCTACTATTGCTAGCTATAGGTTGCTAGCGCTCGGTAGTAAGTGTGTCTACGAGACTGTCGATTGTCTGCTATTGCTAAGCCGTCTTGTTCTTAGCAGAAGCAGCTAACTTTGCCTATATATACTCGTCGTAAGAGGTTATAATCTTATCGGCAACTTCTATAGGTATATAGTATAGAAGCGCTAGATTAACTCGCACTATATTAGCAAATTCCTTCGCGTAAGAGCCTATTACACTATAGTATATACTACGGCGCCTATAGTAGCCAATTCTACGACTAAGCTTCTTATTATTATACTGCGGATTACTATATTCGAACAGTTTAAAGACCGACGAGAATACCTCGTCGTCCTTACGGCTATCTTCCTTAGTCTTGTTATTAGTGTTCTTGCGGCTGTTCTTAACCTAAGAGGCAGGCGGCTCTAATGGATTACTATCAATCTTAATAAATTAATCACTTTCCGGCGGTGTTAATAGTCGAGTAGATACAGCAACGCGCTTATAACTCTCGAGTACCTTAATTATATAATATATACTAGTATTAGCGCAGTAGCGTAGGAATTTGGCTACCTCTTCGTAGTAATCGTCCTCGTAGATAATATTGTTAAATACCTTCTCGCGCTTAGGTATAGATAGCCTTAAGCAATAGATAGTGAATATACGGTCTAGCTGTTAATATAAGCCGAGTCCTTTAACAAAGACCTATAAAGCTACTCTGTCTTTAACCTTCTATATTAACTGCGCTATCTTATTATTATAAGGCCTTAAATACGCAAAGTCGATGTCGTCGTCTTCTAGTATATTATTAATAGTTATAATATAGTACTGCTTGCTATCTATTCGATACTAGATAACCTATGTAAGGTTAGCACTAAATAGCTTTCGATTGCGTAGTTTCGGGGTTAGTTAAGGGGTCGGTAGCTGCTTAGGCGCTCGTAAAGTCGGTTAGCGTTGTAAGCTAGCGTCTAAGTGCGATTTCTTAATAACGCTATTAGATGTCGATATAGGCTAAGTAGGAGGTTTATTAGATAGGTCGGCGCTATTATTCTGCCGTTTAGATAATGTTCTACGTGTCTTGTTTCGTAGTATTGTGCCCTTAGTCGATTTGCGCTTACGCGTAGAAGCTAGCTTTACGCCCGTAGTCGGCACCTCCGAAACCTCCGGCTCTTTCTTAATGCTCTGTCGTATACTATACTGCCCCCTCTTAGCGGGCAAACTAGTTCTACGAGGCACGGCTTTTGGTATAGTCTTTAGTGCATCTAATAGTCTCGGCGGAACCGTAGTCCTACGGATAGGAGGCTCCTCGATAGCAGGAGGAGGTAGTATCTAAGAAGCCTTCTCTAGATTAGAAGGCACTAGTTCTACGGCCCCTTTCGAGCGTATATACATTATTAGTGTATCCTCTTAACTAGACTCTTTACCTAGTAGTCTGTTTTCCTTGTCGTTGTCGTTATTAGTGTTAGTGTTAGTATTGTATAAAGACCTAAGCTACTAGCTAAACCGTACGCCGTCGTCTTATGTTTCTAGGTTATTAAATGCCTCGGTAGCTCGTAGACTATATAGCTCTTGCTAAAACACCTGCTTATTAAATAGAATAGTATTAGGTAGATACTATATATATTATTGCTATAGTAGTAGAGACTAGTCCTGAAAAGCGCAGGTTTGTGTTTAGGTATATAGGGGCGGTTTAGGCACCTAAGAAGACAATACGGGTAGACTGCTTAGAAAATCTATAGTTTCTATAGTAATACTGTCTCTGCTATTAGACTGAGTCTTAGGGATAGTATTATACTCCATTCTATGCAAAAAACGCGTATATAAACATATAATAGTCGCGTCGGATAGTTGGAGGAAGATAGAGGTAGGTTGGGCTGAACCCAGCTAAAATTAGTCCGGGCCCTTTTGCAAGCGTATTTCCCCTCTGTCGATCTTTTGCGCCGACGAAATGCTTGTTCATCTGAAAATCATTCTCCGAGACTTTGCCGGCCGTGGGCTCCTCCATTCGTCCTGACCTGGCCCGAGCCGACTTCACTTCATCTTTCTCGCCACAAGACGCCACCTACGATGTGCGTTGCCACAAGCATTCTGCTGGCATTCAGACATTTCAGAGGCACAGTCGGTCTAGAGATTTGGTTGTTACAGACGCCCTATAATCCAACAGAGATACGAATCGAGGTCGCAAATGGGTCGTTCGAATACCACGAAACCACAACTCAAACACTCTCCACGGTGCGAGAGGCATGTCAGACTCAGCACACCGCAGAGGGCAGCATGGACAACAGTGAGAGTCGGAAGGGATCGGGTTAAGCAAACTCTTCCATTCGCTGTATGCTATCTCGTTCGCCCACGCAAATCCCTGCGTTTTCGTAATCGTAGTAGTATCATGCCGCCCTCTCACTTCATCTCAGCATCTTCCGCCGATCCGTGATTCAACTGTAGCATCCATCGCAAAAAAATCAAACAAAAACAAACCCACCCTCTCATCTTCTCATCACAAACTCCCCGATCCTGACTTCACGCAGACCCACGCAATTCACCGCCGCCGCTGCCACGGCTTGGCGGGATGATCGGGCCCGCGCAGACCTTCCGGGACAGAAGAATAACGTCGAAGTCATGGCAGACAAGACAACCCAAATACTGACACGCCGAGCTCCGCGTGCAAATCCGACCAATGCACCATCGAGGATCCTGCGACTGGCGACGAAGAACGTCAGCCGGGTTGAGAGACTGCGCAGCTTGGAGAACCTCGACCGACTCCTCGGCGGTAGTGATGTTGAGATCCTCCCACAACTTCTTAGCTTCGGCGTCGAGCTTGAGGTCTCGACGCTCATCGACCGTCGGGCCGCCGAATTCCGTGGGCGTGTTGATGCGGGTTGGATGGTAGAGTTGGGATTCCGGGACGTCGTGGCCGTCGACGTGCGCGTAGACCTTCTTGAGGTGGGGGACGAAGGGCTTGAGGTGGGCGGGGACGTTGGAGATTTGTTCGAGGAGTTGCGAGTTCGTGAGGCGGACGGCGTCGATCACTGTGCCGTTGGCGGCCCAGGAGCGGATCACGCCGTCGTCGGCGATGTGCGTGAAGCCGTCGCTGTCCACTTTCATCGTGAACATGGCGGCGGAGCCGGAGGTGCGGGAGTATTTCTGGAGATTTGTTAGTGGAGCGCACTTGAGTTGGGGAGGAGAAGGTGGTTTACCTCAGCTTGCTGCACGAAGCTGTCTGGTGCAGCGATGGACTTGGCAATGCCGCCGGGTGTGGAAGCGGCCTACACCGGTCAGCTTACTATTACATGTCGTGGGTGCGGGAATATACTCACTGAGGCTGGACGTCCCACAACGGAGACGGTCGAGTCGAGAACGGCAGAAGAGGTCGCCTGCGAGATTGTCAGTCTGTAAGAAGTACAGGTACATCTGGCGCAGAATCATACCTGTGGAGCGGCTGAGGCGACAATGGCGAAGCCGCCGGCTGCGATCTTGCTGAAGCGCATGTTGCTTCTTCTTGCGGATGGGTGTAGTATGGGAAGGGTGAGTGTAAGGAGTATGGCAGGATCGTGGGTGGTGAAAGCGCTTGCGGTGGTCGGTGGTGTGGATGTAGGTCGAAGAAACAGGTCAAGATTGAAGCAGAAGGCGACGCTTTATATAGGGGCCGACAGTCGGTTGCTAGGCGCAATCACATGCAAAGACGAGGTCTGTGCGTCCAATCAAACACGCGTCTGCCAGTCGACCTGTTCACTCAGGGTCCAGAGCCGTGATCCAGTCTCGCAAGTAGTGTCCAGTCTCACATGCAGATTCTCGAGTCCTCGCGGTGGCTGATCTCCTCGAAATTGGTATCTTTGATAGCACTCCACATCTAGCTGTGGACAGCTTCAACACCAAAGAATGGCTTTGGGAGGCTAATGCTGGAGTAGGTGGCACGGCGTATCATACTGTTAGAGGCTCATCCAGCTAAAACGTTAGGGCAATAAGATGCCAATCGAGAACCTGTAGAGATGGGCGAAGTGATAAACGCCCCTCGATCGGAGTCAGCAGAAGCTCTGCTCAGAGTCCATACGCAGAGCTGGTTGAACTTGATCTCAGACCCTAAGCTATGGCAAGATCATTCTCTCTCGGTAAATTGGACAAGCTTTGGCCTTTCATGCTTCAATTGCACAGAAATCCTCGGCAAACAAATTCACGGGTTTCGAACCATATCTACTATAGTTGGAACCATAGAGAAGCATTGAAGTAACCTCTGAAGCAAGACTTCGGTGAATTGTCCTAAAAGCATGCCTAGAAAAATTTCTCGGAGGCTTCTAGTCTCTCACTGCTTTTCTTCATACACGTGGAGCGGCATTGCAATGTAAGGAGAGCTGAGCGGGAAACGGTAGTTACCAAGTTTTCTTCGAGTACCTAGCCAAGATGGTCTTGAAGTCGTGATTGAGGAATCAAGCTTGTCTCTCAATCAGGATGATCTTGTGCATGCCGTGAAGGACTTTGCTCCGGGCATATTTTAAAGCTTCGGAAGCTCTCCTGCATCTTTCTCGACTGTGAAAGCGTACTGAATAGTGCTCGGCCGAGTTGGACCTCGTGAAGCGCGTAGTGCAAGATTCAGCAGCACCTGCAGAGTTTCTGATGCAAGACTATATGCAGCTTCGGTGGAGATCGTCTTCGTGGATCCAGATGTCTGGAGCCACTCTTGCATGCGGTCAAGGCCGATGTGGATCATCCTTCAGAGTCTACTGAAGCTCATTCAGCTCGGGTGATGATGGAGTCAGTATCTATAACATATTACCTGCCTGGCGCTCTCAGGACACTGCCCCTTCCAGTCACTTTGAAAACGACGAGAGGGCACAGATGGCCAATGGAAAGAGCAGGGGAAATTCAACGTCGCAGTCGCTTGAGGAGTGGCTCAGAAAGCTCGTCACGGCCGAAGTTGGCTTAGGCAGCTGATTGACCTAGCAGTCGCTGGATCTGATCTGAACGGCTCGCATAGCCTTTTCCTTTGTCAGGCCATATGTCCTCACGGCCTCGTCGCCCGTACAAGCCAAGATGAGGCCATAGTCAAGCTAAAACCTCGTATCTCCAATGCAGGCTTGCTTGAGGCGTCGCGGTGCTCCTTTGCATTGGCATGGGTGTTATTTCCAAGCTGCAATTGTGCGTGGATAGTATTCAGGAAGTGGGTCAGTGCTGGAGACAGGTATTTGTCATTGTACTTGCGCATGTTTTCGTTAAGATGATTGTCGGCCACATACTCTTCTTCGCGTGAGAGGTCAGTTTGTCCTTTCCAATCAGTTCCTGGATGCTCTCCGTGTCGTTGTAACGGGATGATGGGGTGTGGTTGGCCGCCCTGAATCTTTTTCTGCCTCTGCAAAATCACGCAAATGGCTCGAGATGGCACAGCGCGCCCAGTCAATCAAGTCCATGGCTTCAGCACACCGCACTCGCAAAAGTGAGACTGGACGTCTGAGGATCACGGTGCACAGGTTGAGTCGAGTCCGCTGCAAGGCATATGAAAGCTTGGCGTTGACGCGCCCTGACGGCTGCGGACCCTTGCAGGCTTCTCGCCCCTGCACATTGTAACAGAACACAACACACTCGTCGGACTTGCTTTACTCCCCTTAGCACCATCTCGCCAGCCCCATTTCCTGTCTTATTCGAATTGGAAAAACGAAGCGACTACAAAAATACGCGGCAGAAAGCGGAATCTGCTGTATGAGCTGGGCCGCCCCTGCTGATCGACGATAAGAGCAGCTTCGCAAAGTCTGGGTGGCATAGCTGGGTAGAGCCTAACACCATCCTAGACGCGACTGAGCATAGCTACTAGAGGCCGACAGGGAACAAAGCCGGTCGAGAGAACAATGCAAAGGTTGAGAAGTAGGGAGTCGCCACAGATCCTGACACTTCGGCGGCATTACGGTTGCAAAACTCTCCACGAAACGTCAGACCGCGACACCCACCGGTAATTTCACGGCGTCGATCTGCGAGACGGAGGACTGGCTCGAGCGGAGATGTGGTGACAGCGGGTGTCGCCATAACCACTCTCGGAGTGAGAGATACCGCTTATTGAAGGGGGTAAGAAGAAGCCACAATCCAGGACGCAGAGACTTCCCCAGATCGCATTCGAGGAGAAAGACCCTAGCGACGTCGTCACAAGCCTTGCTGACGTGACCAACGATGGCAGTGAGTATCTCGATATCGAGGAAGACTTGGCAGAGGACTTTGACAGGCAGACTCGAGACGGAAGCTTGATGGCCGAAAGACACAACACAGAATCTAACAAGGAAGCCAGCTTACGAAGATCCAAGAGACCGATCCACCGAGGTGTCTGCCACGGACACGGCTTCAGCAAATGTTCAGAACGTTCCACGCCTCAACACTTCTCGGCAAGCACTCTACCTGCCAAGCAACGGCAGCTCGGGGCTGGACATTGTCGAAGAAGCCTCCATCGTAAATCCAGAACTCACCTGCCGACGCAGCATCTCCGCAAAGGTTTCATGAGATACTGCAAAGCGCTTCGTTTTAGGTGACCACGAGAATGCTAGGATGATAATGAGCAGGGAGAAGGGCCTGGAGCAGATCTGGATTCGCCATGGAAGTGATCACTCCTGTCATCGGTACTGGAAGGATAGCATGTCGGAAGAAGCGAGTTATTGATGAAGCGAGAGGAAAATGACAACTGGGATGTGGGCGTGATGGAGCAAGAGATTTGATAATGCAGGCTGCATGAGCAATGAGATTGATTCGTGTCTGGCTGGATATACCTTATGAAGCTGAGAAGGTAGTGGCAATTCGACTGAGGCAGTGGTCCTTTCTATGCTAGAGCTGAGCTTCCTGATGACACGCGTTTCAGTGCCGACCACATTCCTCTTTCTCGTCATCATTTTGCGTGTGCAGGGTATTGAGAAGACCTCTTTGTAGCCGATGATTTGTAGCACAGCTGCAATTGTATGAAATCCACGAAGAAAGTCAAGATCGTGCCGAAATTTATCATAATTCACAACAACAATAATCCCGAGGACCCAACGAGGTAGAAAGACACCACCACCCCTACGCCCGCTCCCACTGATTCGTAAACTCCGGAAACTGCACCCCCTCACAAACCGTCCCCTCAGGCGGCAAAACCCCCGTCCAAAAATACTTCCTCACGTACTTCTTCGCACATTTCCCCTCCAGATCCGCACCCTGAAGTCCATGTCCAATGCCATCAATCGTGAGAAGCCTCCCATTCGGAAACTCCCTCTCCTGCCAATTCCTAGCATTACAAAGCGGAGTCCTGGTATCACCCGTGTTACCAATGAATAAGATCGGGGGAGCGCGGACGTTCACGTCGTATTCGTGGGGAGGATCGATGGAGGTGAAGTTCATGGCCGCGGCGTGGAGGAAGGTGGACCAGTCGGGGCCGAGTTCGAATATGTCCATGAATTCAGGGAAGAAGCGGTGACGGATTTCCTCGGTGGTAGGCTTGTTCTGCAATCCGCCTTGATCGATAGCTGCGAGGAAGTATGCTGCTTCGGGCGGATTCCATTTCGGGGGGTCCTGGTCCGGGTCGCTGGCGAGACCTCTCCACGCGTTCTGATAGATGGCCGAGGCGACGTTCATGACGCTTTTCCGGGCGACTTTGACACCTAAACTCTTCAAGACGTACTGGAGCCACATCTGCTCGTCGAAAACGGCTGAGATGGGACCAACGTGTTCCTCGTTGTCGTAGCCGTGGATTTCGAGGAGATATCTCTCGCGTTGAAGGCGGGGCCCGATGCTGAAGAAAGCTTTGCGGATGTCTTCGATGTCGTCGCAGTAGAAACCGCATTTCTTAGGACCGGCGTTGTGACAGGCGGCCCAGAGCTTGTCCCAGAATCCTGCGGCGGCGGCGATCTCTTCGGGTTCGTGATCTTGACTGTACCAGGAGTACGGCGCCACTCCATCCAAAGCCATTCGTTCCACCCGATCTGGATACATCCTCGCATACTCGATTCCCAGAATCGTGCCTCCCATCGACTCTCCAAAAAACGAAATCTTCTCAAATCCCAGTTTCTCCCTCGCGAGATCCAAGTCTTTCGCCGCCCACTTCGTCCCAAGGTACGGGAGACTATACTTCTTGCGGTGAAAATCACCACATCCCGACGTATAGTCTTCGCCCTTCTTCCACATGTTCTGCAACGCCTTCTCCACATTTTCGTCCGCAAACATCTTCTTCCCCGGCGTCTCGTCGAGTCGCAGATGGGTATTCTCCGGCAGACAAGTCATCCAATTCGCACCTCTCCTGCCCACAACGATGATCTCCGTCCGTCTTCCGAACAAACCCACCAATCTTTGATAATCGGTCTTGTTGAACTGATCGCTGACCCAGTCCATCCCCAGCCCGCCAGGGCTGTAGAAAATTGTGCGTTTGGGAATTCCAGGGGTGACTTTCATCATGGGTATCAGCATGTCGTCGTGATGGCGAGGGACGATCTTTTTATCGTCGTCGCTCACGGGAACGGTGAGGTTCGCGCACTTGAGGGTGAGCAGTTCCATGCCCGTTGGGATCCCAGGGCAGGCGCTCCACGTGAAGTTGGAAGAGGATGTCGAGCGTCGGAGCTTGGCCTCATCGAGAGGCTGGGCTGGCCGGGTGTCCTCCTCCCATCGTCTTCTTGGACCGGCCTGAGCTGATGTGTGTGTCGCGATGTAGGCGGCTATGGCCGCTAGCAGGAGTGGTATTCGCATGGTATGGGAAGGATGAATGAGTGTTTGCAATTTTGGAGGAGTGAAATTTAGGGACTGAAGATTCGTGTTGTCTTCAGTTGGATATTGTGGAGAGCTTTCCGACTTCGACGTTTTGATCCTGGCAAATGGATATCTGCTTACCATGTCTTTCCACCAGCTGGTCGCTAGTCGGGCTGGGACGTCCTCACGCGCATCGGCGCACCGCAATAGCATCTTGTCAGCCCATTTCTTCATCGTCCAACGTCCCATTTGAGAGCTGCTGGAGTGTAGAGAAACTCGCGGCCCGCGAATCCGGCCAAATTTTGTGCTCGTGATTGGGGCAGAATAAGGCTGCGCCAAGCTTTGCGGATCGAAACTGTTCCACAGTTCTTGGCTCAACCCCAAATCAGTTTCCAAGTAAAAGCACCGATCATGCCGTCGAGATAAACGACTCTCACCTCTTGTACAAGTCTTGCTCGCCAGCCGCCTGATCATCGATAGCTGCTTCATTTCCGTTGAATTGCATTGACATTGTCCCCCGGCGGAGTTTTGCTGATGGGAGAGGAAGCTAAGCTGAAGAAGTCTCGATGAACCACCACGGCTTCGTTGGTCGATGAGGCGACGTATGCTGCGAGATAATTGCCAGGCTCCTTCGACGATTGTTGTGAGCGGAGTGGGATCCACACACTGCGTGATAGGTAGTATGTCGCCTCCGAGTCATAGGGCACAACGCTCCTTGACCGATCTGCGATTACAGAGATCTGGATCAACGGCCGACTGCGCGGGGCGTTGATGTCGAGAGAGTGTGCTCAGCATTGATACAGCAGAGTCTGACACACATGACGCTGTTGTTGTTTTGCGATGTAACCATGGATTGCTGAATTGCCGTTTGGTCGGTTGCACAACGTTTGTTGACGGATTTTGGCGGAGTTGGTTTGCCGGTACGGTAGTCTATACCATCCATGCCAGTCGTCGCATAGAAATCTTGAGGCATCTCCGGTAGGCGATTAGCGTTCTTCTCTTGGCGAGCTATCTTAGCTTGCTCCGCAAGGCTATGGGACGCCATAGGCCACGTTGGATCGGCTTCCGCCGCAAGAGGAGGACCAGCAACAGGAGCCGGGGCCGAAATTGTCGACGGATTTTGGTGAAGTTGCCGTCAATCGACCCGGCAGATAGGCGATGCATATCAAAGCCTGGGTCGTACACTCTTCGACTGCTCTGATGTTGCACAATTGCATTCTGAGTCGACCGTTTGGAGCGTTATGGTCAACACAGCTCGCTCGTTGGGATCAGGGTGACAACGACAAGAGCACCGTAAGCTCACAGTCCTGTGTTTCACTGCATGAAGTAGGGATGTGGAGAGCTGTATTCTCGTTGAGTTGCGATAAGTTCGCTTCTTGGAGGAGTTGGACAGTCGATTGCGACCAATCAATCAGGTGAATGGCGAGTAAGAATTGGACCTTGTGGGAGCATTCTCCGCGGCTGATCGGATTCTGTATCATGGCGGATTGTTGGTCGATTGCTTGGAGTGTACTGATTGAGAGAGGCGGTTGGTGGAAGACAACCGAATCTTTGACGAGCAACAACACTCGTAACGATGTCGCTCTCCATCGTGGAAGCCATCGTGTGTAGCTGATTTGTCGTCGATTTGCGCGAACTACGCTTGTCGGCGGAGTTGACTTGCGTGAAGGACGCTTGTCGGTGGAGTTGATTTGCTCTGCCACCTGATGTGCTGCGAACCACATCGTCACGGTTAAGAAGTCTTGCAACTTCACCGCCATCGATCTCACCAGATCTCTCACCGCTCCAGTTAGCCACCTCCGAAGAGGTGCCCAGGGACCACCGCGTGGAGGTTGAAGTCGGCCTTTGAGTCCCCTAGCCTTCGCAAAGGCCTGTCTCGCAGAAGTTGCCTGGCACGCCCCAGGACTTGAGCACACCTCTGTGGGTGACGTGTCATCGGTTTGGTACCGGTACCCAATCACGAAGGTCTGGCTCGCGTGATGGTCTGGCCTCCGTGATGGTCTCTTCCCTCATCAGTCGCTGTCCCCACGACAGCGAACTGCCCTCGTTGGCCCACTCGTCGGCCTCTTGCTGTTCGGGGAGGGTATTACGCCTCATCCACCGAAAGCTCACCGCGATGCCATACTCCGCCTCCACCCGCTCCGCCATCATCACCACCCTCTTCACCCGCGTTCCTTCGTACCCGCTGGCTCCGCTCCGCACAGCAAGGATCTTGTTGACTGCATTGAGGCAGTCGCTCACGATGTCGATGTGATTGACTTCACGTCTCACATTGCTGATCTCCAAGTCGTCCAGCAAGTGTTCAAAAGCCAGCTCGAGGCCGGCGAGCTCAGCAAATTCTGCTCGTGCGAGAGGAGCGAGCGCTCGCATCGCCCCGACGATCTCCAGCGTGCCATGGCCGTCGTACCACTGGAAGGCATAAGCGCAACCAGCGGCATCTCCGGACCAGCTGGAGCCGTCGGTGGCGATGGTGAGTCTCTCTCTCTCCATCTCTGTTGTTGTTGCTGCTGTTGTTGCTGTTGCTGTTGCTGTTGCTGTTGTTGTTGCTGTTGGTGTCGCTTTCGTGAGTGTGGTGTCGTTGCTGTCGTCGAAGGATGCGTGTGTGAGTGTCGTGAGAGTCCAATTGACGCGATATGCATGCAGAAACCTCACTTTGAGGCGGCTATGCATGACCGTTGGAGCCATTGAGAAATTCTGAAGCTCGGCAGCAGTGCTCTGATGCGATTTTGAACGATTACGAAACACGAATTGACGAAGAACACAACATTTCATTGCCATTCTAACAGCATCATGCTTCGAAACTGTCTAGGGGGACAGTGGCAGTAATGAATACGACTTCTTTTCACTGCAGTCACGACCCTCGCTTGATGATCAGACAGCCCAAGGGTACACTACGGCCCCTCACAGGGCTCAAATCACGACATCAAGTGATAATGTAGCAGAACGCGTCGAACTTGCTTTGCGCCCAGATGCAGCTTCTTCTACTTTACTTTTCTCAACAGACTTCCATGATGTCGGTCGTCCAGGGCTGCTCGAGCTGAGCCTTCAACTCGGCGATCTTAGCAGCCTTCCTGTCGAAATCAGGGCGATTTCTTCCTTGGTGCTGTGAGTCAGGGGACAAGACTTGCCAGGACGGCCACGAACATTATCTCGATGGCGACTCTTGCCCAAGTTGAACACCAGCTCTGTACGGAGACATCAAGAATAAGGAGAGGTAGTCCGCTATCGTTCATGCCTGCGAATTTGCGTCGACGGCCGCCAGATCTACTTGATTGCGGAATGCGAGGCTCAGGCTCAGGCGTGCCGTTCAAATGTGCATGCATGGTTGGAGGTGACGAGCCAATATCTGCTGGCGGAGGGGAAGATCGCATCAGAAGATCTCTCAAATGCGGTTATGCATTTGCTCCATTCCGATCTATCTCCTTCAACTCCAGACTTGTCATGCCAAGCCATCTTGAAATGCAGCTCTATCATTTGAACCTTTCTCAAAGTCTCTACTTCTATCTAAACCACTCTCTTCACACTATATACGCCGCACCGTCCCCAGCGCCGAGAAATCTGCATCCAACGGCAACCAGATGGAGTTTTGCCAGTATTGGGAGCTGGACTTTCAGCCCCTGTGAGTCTTGGCAAGTCTTGGCGTGAACGAAGGTGAACAGCCAGCACAGTGACTCTCATAAACATTTCTGCGCCTGAAATCGTCACGTACAAAACACTCTACTTCCTCCTCTTCAACCATCGGCCTTCCTCAAACACACTCACCTCCCAATTCCATCACCGCACATCCTCGCAGCACAACCTCCCTTCAACCCGCGTCGCCCCAACTCTCCGTCTCCCCAACCAGCGACTCCACTCGACATCATGTCAACCACCACCACCTGCCACAAAGTCCTAGGCACCGCCGACCTCCTCGAACAGATCCAGTTGCGCATGTCTCCAAACAACGCAGTCCACAATCGCTACATCTGTCGCATCTTCCAGCAATCCTTCACGTCATCCAAGAAACTCCAAACCCCACTGCTTCTACCGCCAGAAAAGCAGCAATGCCTCGCCAGTCTTGAACGACACGCTGCTTTGCCATCTCCAAACCAACAACTCCCTATCCGTAGAATTCCACGTCTCGAACAAAGAGCTAAAAATCCCGACCCCGGATTTCAGGCTGCAATATAGCGCGAATTTCAACGTGGCACGACTGATTTTCGAAAAGATGCCGGATGAGGTGGAGGCTTTTTATGGGGAGATGTATTCCGCAGATCGGCCCATCCAGATCGAGGTTTTGCTCCGGATCCCGCGCTGGGGGGAAGCTGGGGTGACGTTGTTGAATACGAATTTGGGGGAGGTGGTCGAAGCGGCTGAGGGGCTTGGCGCTGTTGCGAGTCATTGGCGGGATTTGGTGGAGAGTTGTAGTTTTGGTCTTGATAGTGAGGACGAGGGAAACGGGGATGAGATGGATATGGATGTGGAAGAAGAGGATGGTGAAGATGGCATGGATATCGAGGAAGAGGAAGCTGAAGATCCGAGAGCTTGTACTTGCGTCTTTGAGCTCGGTGGCAATGACTGCGATCAGCATTGGGACTGGAAGGATTTCTTGGGCAGCGAGCTGGCTAAGCTGTGCGTTAACCGACCGACTGTTGATGGCGAAGATATCTGGGGAAGCGATATGATCCGGACTTGGAGTGATTGTGGAAGTGAGAGGTGAAGTCACATCAACTTGGCGATGGGCATCGCGATCAGCTTTTGCGTTGGAGAAGCGTTTTTGGAAGGAAGCTGAAATCAGGGCAGACGGGATGTGAACCAGGGATATAGTCATTTGATCGAGCACCCGATTTCCAGAAGCGCAGTGCCGTAAAGGAATAAGAGAAGGGCAGCTCCTTGTAGCATAGAAAGCGCGTCGGACCTCGAAAAGTGCAATGAAAGCATTTCGAAAGTATACTAAGCATTGCTTTCGCCTCCTTATTCCTTGTCGACACATGAATACGACTTGGGAACGGCCGATGTGATGCGTTGGCTAGGAGAGAAAAGCAAGTTGAGGTCAGCAAAGTGTGTTCGAGTAACATCTTAACCTCTTCAGCGGAATGATCACTCACTTACTTGCTTCTACCTCTTTACGACATTGACTCGTGCTAGCTGGATCCCGATCATCCTTCTTCGAAATTCGCATCGTGGAAATATCAAAAGTCGCCGAATGACAGTAGACGTGATCCAAAAGTCGAACAGCTCACCCTTCAACAAGCACAGCGCAGCCTTTCTTTCAAGCCGATACTTGGGACCTGATTGGCCATCGCTTACCTCCCACTTTCGATACTTTCAAGGCAAGTTGGCGGTTCATTGGAATGTCTCTCCAGTGCTCCAAGAGTCTCGAGTCCTGTATCACAGATGTTACCCTCCTTCAATTCACTGCCTTTACAACTTTAAACCTGTTCGCTGGACGTATTTGGCGGCGAAAGAAGTCTGTCCGCATTGATATTCGTGCTGGAATCAATGCCCACATTGATGATCCGAGTGACAAGATTCTCATCCGACGTCAAGCTGTTGGTTGCGAATGGCTTGGCGTTTGGGACAGGCGATGCGGCAATGATGGAGAGATGAAGTGGTGAGTTGTAGGAGAAGTCAAGGCGTATAATAGGAATCCGTGAAGCGCCGTGTTCCGATCGATGTCTCGATCGCCAAGGCTCGGTGCGGCAGCCGGATTCGGCTAGCTCATTAATAATCGAGACGCGTTCATACGCTGCTCTGAGCCCGTGCAACCCGTGGGAGTCGTTCGTCGCCCTCGCTCTCGCTTCCTGTCTCTCGCACCTCGTCCATGATCCCCCGACCTTCTTTCGACCTCACCTCTTCTCTCCTTCACCTACATCATTACCTTTTCTGATCATGCCAGGCTGTGCTCATCCTACCACGTCCTGTGCAGCTCTTACGCATTGCATCTGGCGATCATCATCTCCCCTTACGCCGTGGTGTTGACTGGAAAGGCGTGTCAAAGGACGTGGTATATGTAAAGCTAAGTACAGATGTTTTTCTTTTCCAGAAACATTCGTTCACAAACATGTTCCATCCCTCCGAGTGTTATCCGATCTTCCAGGTCGACAATCACAAGACTTGTGAACGCAGGACGCTGGGACCTGTCTTTCACTCGCTATCCGGACACCTCTCCAATGGCATGCCCGTGCCTCTCCTGGAGCTATGAGACCATTTGATTCAACACCGCAGACGAACTTCCGACAACCTTCCTTCACACCCGCAGCGATACCGCCTACACTTGTTGAATGCTTTTTCGGACACTTCGAAGCGCCCAGTCCAGTCCATCACCACATCACGAGCTCCCAAGCCTCTCCATATCGGCATACGCATCCAAGACCAAGATCTTCAACAGCTCGACATCAGCGCCCTGCAGCATCTCCGGATATGCTCTGATACTATCCCACTTGCTTGCGATCTCGCGTATGGGCCACCACCGACGATCTGTGCTCGACATCTGCGCCTCCGACACCCTGCGGACGATGCGGCTTGCCATGGACAAGATCTCTCCCAGCAAGTCCCGCGGCGAGTAGTTGCTATTGTGCAGCCGCACAAATCGCGGATCAGCACTCCTGGTATCGCTAAGCAGCTCGCGTATCGTCCTCGGCATTCTGCTGTGGGCTGGACCGCGGGCCGATGGATGTGGGTCGTCGTCCTGGTCCTGCAGCTCAAAGCTCTCCGGCAACAGCACCGAGGCAGCAAAGAAGGCCTCGCTCTGCTGAGACAGCTTTCGACGGAACAGTTGTCGCAGCAGTACGCTCTGCATACAACGTCGAGAGATCTCCTGGGCGGAAACGATATGGCCGGACCAGCTGTTGAAGGCGCCTTTGCCATCCCTTGGTCTTGGTCTTTCGGCAAACGGACGATCAGGTCATTCCACGCAGATCCCTCTTCGCCTTGGAGATGCCTGCCCGCACACGCATGCGACCGGTGCTGCGGAATCCAGAATGTCCGATATCGATGCCGCCGAAACGCACTCGCATCTGATAAGATTGGAAGCTGGATGGATGCTGACGCTCGCTCAAGCTTTTCAAATGAAAATGTGCGATCGGGTCGCCTCGGCCACTAGAGTTAGTAGTCTCAAGCTCGAGCTGTTCGTGTTCCGAGTGGGGACGTTCGGCTAGCCCTGGTTCGCTTCCATACTGTGTCACGTGAGAGGGCGAGCACATACATACATGTACTCGACATGCGTGAGAGCGAAGCGTCTCTGGAAAGACTGAGCATTGGACGCGTAAGTCAGCCCTTGTGTGGCCCGCCGCCCGGGGTCCTCATCAGGAGCATCGAATCGGCGCGAGTCAGCATTGAGAATCTGACCACCATTCTGGGTCCGACGTAAAGCCAGCACCAATCCCCTTGACATACGGAGCACGGTTTCGATTTAGTGTCCAGGGTCAAGGAGTAAGTGGGAACTGGTATGTAATGCTTCCAGTTTCGTTGCTCGTGATTGAAGAGTGCTTCAGGAGGACAATGGCTTCTTTTTGCTATCTATGGAGAACGCCGGGACTCAATTGAGAAGCATTGGCAGCCTGTGTGATGAGCAGATCCTTCGCTAGAATGTCCCCAGCAACTTCTCACACCTCCCATCATCGCAGGACTCTCGCTAGTTCTCACACAATGTAAACGGTAGCGTCGATGTCATCCAAGGTCTCGTTTTGAGATGTCGCACGCGCCAGCTTCGCCATCTCGACCAGGCTTCGTATGGATGGGCACAGTAAGGTAGTACTTGAGCTTGTGCTAGTGCAAGAAGACCAAACCCGCTATTCTCTTGCTTCTTCTCTACTAGATCCAAACTTTCCGAATCGAAGTCCCGTCGACACAGCAAGACTTGTGCGACGTTTCGAGGTGGGATTGACACAAAGACGGCATCTGTTTCAACGTTGGAATCGCTGCCGGCCGAACCAAAGCTTGCACAGCCAGCACTCTAAGGCCATGACTGTCTCCTGCGTTGCCCGCCGCCTCAGCGCTCTTGAACACAGCTTGTTTTGTCATGTTCTTCTCCTGCATTCATCCTTGCCAAACGAGACGCTGCATACGGAGCGCCACGTCGTTTCTTTTCTGCTGATTAGAGAGATTGTAAGCAAGCTGTCCCACAGCTTCCAGTTGGCTTCTGTCGAGGATCAAATTTCTCCAGCACAGGAAACTGCTCAGCCTCGACTCCATAGCTCGACTTCGTTGTCGATCTGCTCTGCTCTAGAAAGTGGAAGTAGAGAGCCAAGAAAACGCGTGTCGTGTCTGCTGGGTGCCTGTCGGATCGCCAAAGGTATGCAGCCATCCATCATCAATCCTGCGAAGCAGAGGCATAACTCTTTTTCGACAGATCCAGCTTCTTCCACGGCTTCCAGGCAGAGTTCATGCCGGTGCAGCAATATCGCATAGTGCACCTCCGACGTCGTTCTGTCCCGTGATCAAGATATTTCCACTGTACGCTTGCCGAAAGTCGTTCGGTCCTATCTCCATTCAGACCCTTGCTGGCGGAATGACGTTGGAGACAGAACTCGAAGCCAGACAAGAAGAGGTTATGCAGCACGCTATTCTATACCCTATTTCTCTTGGGAAAGGTACTCTATAAGGTCGACATTCGGAAGAGACTTTCGACTTTTCTTAGATAGGATTTGTGGACCTTGATACCCCTGTTGAACGGGCGCTTTGCATCTCGACGTTTCCCAAATACAAAACACATAATGCACAAATTCTACCGCTCCTGAAGTGAATACCATTCCAACTCTAAATACAGACTACGTTTTTGTGTACAAAAGGAACCACTTCTTGTTGATCAGTTCCCCGCTCGCCCGACCCCCAACTTCGCCACCATCAGGGGCGGTGACATGTAACCTTGTACGAATTAATAGCCGAACTTTCGTCAAAGCAACCGCTGCGATTCGGCGCCTCTCCGTCGAATTTGTCGAGGAAGTGCTGACATTGGCTATCATGGTAGAGTTCTACAGCGCACGGTACCTCCTGTGTGCCATCGAAGTATACATCGAGTGAGACTGCGCTAGGAGAAAGGGAGTAACATTTGCTCGTCCAGCCTGGCGAGTTGGTTCCGAAGTTGAATACACCGACTTGATGTGAACATGCATATTTGTTGTAGAACTTAGCGAAGTGGGCATACGCTGTTGGGATAACAACTGCAAGGATAACTGCGTAATGCATCTTTGTAATGCTACGCGAGGCTTCCGTAAGTTATATCGGATGTCGAATTTCGTCCAGAGTCTCTAGGTTGGGTTTTCGCAAGAACCGTCGAGTTAGGGTCGGAGAGTGTTGTAGGATAAGGATGTAGGACGGATGTCTTGATCTGATGTCTGGATGGAAACGTGTTCCTTTATATATCCTACAGTGGGTATCTGCCTAAAATTAGATCCAACACAACAGAAAAGGCAAATTACACACTAGGAATTGTACGGTATGCCGGCCGTGCCTATCTCCATTCAGACCCTTGCTAGCGGAAAGTAGTGTTGTGGGTTTACAGCCCCTGAGAAGAGATGGAGGTTGTGTACATCGTATATTATACTGGTGTACACCCATGGATACACATCGGGTATGCCCGAATACTAGGATATCCGAGCAATATTAAGCAGCTTGGCGGGTTGTAGGCGGGATATCAGCGTATCCGATAACTCCGCCTTGTGTATATATAACGAGCTTGCCTAAAAGGGTCGTATATATAGTGTATTACAGAGCGTGTACACTATCCACAGGTTGGTGGACCCCATCACTAGCGGAAAGACGTTGTAGTTTATTTACAAACCCCTTGCGAAGTATACCATTTCGAGCAGTATAGTCTACAATCAATCCGGGATTGCAATCTAGATTAGCTTAGCAATTCAATCCAATTCAATCCGGCTTATTCCTGCTAACTAAGCAATTTAATTCAATTTAATCTAGCCCCGTTCTAAAGCAATTCGATTTAATCTAGCCCTTTTTAAAGCAATCCAATTTAATTTAGGGGCTGAAGGGCTAAATTAGGTAGGCTTAGCAATTCAATCCAATCTAATCTCGCCTAGTCCTGCTAATTTAGCAATTCAATCTAATCTAATCTAGCCCCTATTAAAGCAATCCAATTCAATCCAATCTAGGGGTCCTAGCAATCTAATTCAATTTAGGGGGGGGGGGGTCTAGATTAATTGGATTAATTGTAGACTACACTGCCGGGAACTGAAACGTGGGATTTAAGATGAAGGAAGTTACATATAAAAGGAAAGTAGAAGGTAGGTGGAAGTTACGAGCTTGTATGCGGAGCGGCTGAGTAGAGGTAACGTATGTAAGGAGGCTTTCGTAATGCTACCCACCTCGTTAGCGCGGTGGGAAGGGCCGCCGCTAGCTGTTTCTAGTAGATACCAATCGATTAGTAGTTAGTTTAGCATTGATTAGAAAGCGGCAACTTCCGCGAATCTCGACAGCTAACATTCCCTCAGGCCGACCCTCGCTAGACCCTGACTTGGCGGCACTTAGCTATTCGACTAGGCTTCAAACCACATACTTCTACATCAGTATATTCTGCTACAATACATTGCCTACAATTTTGGAATTATAGAACTCGACGCTGCGATTATTTTAGTGCAAAAATCAGTACAATTGCATCGCTATAGAGCGTACAGTAATTCGTAGAAGTATCGATGTAGAACGCTGAGATGCTTACAAATCCACGCTAACGAACGGCCGGAATCACGAAAGCCTCCTTGCATACGTTACGTAGGTTCGGTCACCAGCCAGCTCGGAAACTTCTTGCTCGTCGCCACCTTCCAGCTTCATGACTGATCCGAGCCCCATCCCTTCACTTTGCAGCATGTCATTTCTCGATAGATTCCTATTTGGCAGTCCTAAAGATCCTCATAAGCATCACTGAGTTGCTCTTGAGTTGCGGTGAGGGTGCCTATGACGAAACGAATCGAAAGCGAACCTTGGAAATCACACGGAAAATCTTTTCAACGACAGCATTTGATTTCATTCATGGAATACAATACCACATATCCAGATAACAACATCATCCGCATCCTCCTTGCCATCGTGTCATCATCCCTCTCTTCTCCATTCCCGTCCCTTCCCTTCTCACGACTGAACAGCCCCCGGCGCAACCGGCCCCGTCGGCCCCCCATAAGTCGAGAACCCCGGACAAGCCGTCAACGCATTCTGATTAACAATCCCAATAGCCGCACAATTCAGACTCGAAGTGATCCCATCCAGCGACGTAACGAGCGGCGCAACAAGCGGATTACTCAGCTGCAATCCAGTGATGAGTGGAATCTCCGCCTTCGCGAAAGCCGAAGCGAAGCAGAGAGGGTTGGCGGCGACTTGTTGGGCGGTGTAGGCGCCGCTGGTGAGCTGGCTGGGATCGATGGGGGAGTAAGTGTTGACTTTGCCCTTGTTGCAGCCGATGGTGAGGATGCGGGGGTCGGCTTGGGCGAGGTAGAGGATGTCGGCTTCGAAGTAGGGGATGGAGTATTCGTCGGAAGGGTTGCGTTTGTACCAGTTGTCTCTGTGGAGGGAGTTGGTGAGGCGTTAGTGGAGGGGATGGGATGGTACGTACGGGATGCGCTCGTAGCCGGGGGTGTGCTTGAGGTTGTTCTCGGGACCGGTGACGGACATGAAGCTCTTGAGGACGTTTTTGTTCAGGATGCCTTCTGGGTTCTCGGCGGACTTGTTGGACATGAAGCGGTAGATGAAGGTGAAAGCGGCCTGAGATACTTCGATACCGCCGAACGGGAGGTAGGCGTAGTATGGATTCTTGTTGATGGACTCTGTAAATCGGTCCTTTCGGAATTGACGGAGCACGTCAAGGTTGTAGTTGGCGGTCGCAGCGTTTGGCTGGCGGTTGTAGAGCTAAAACGAAGATCAGAGTTGCAGCTGAAAATTCAGGAATGATGATATTTACGTTGTTGAATTGCGACATAACAAACTTGGTGTTAGAGCCGTACTGGTTTAAGTCGGACTTGATTGGCGAAGAGTCGGTCTCGTAGTTGTTGTGCGAGCCGAGAATACCAGTGTGCGGCAGACCACCGATAGACCAAGAGGAACCGTCACCATCGACAATAGCGCCGTAGAGGGCGAGGAAGCCACCAAGATCCTTTGCCATACCAAACACAGTATTCGTGCCATCAATAAACTGCTGTATGGTGGCTCGACCGTTCCTTGGTAGGTACCCATGATTGGCCATGGCGTTGAGACCTGGGCATTCTCCACGCTCGTCGGTTGGGCCTGGAGCTTGGAATGCGTGGGCGCCAGTGTTGCTGACATACTGTGCCTTGGCATCGAATGGTGGCGGAACGAGTGGAAGGGCGCCGGCACCCTGTGGAGAGGCAACAGCTTGTCTTTCGGCGATACCAGCTTCGAGCATCTCTCTGGCCTCGAGCCATTTGGCGCGGACGCCTTCTTGAAGAGGTCCAGTCAACATCTCCATGTTCATTGGCCAGGCCATGGCGGCGCTGGCCATCAAAGCAGTGACTCCGACGGTCTTCATCTTGTTAGCTGTACGAGAGGAACAACAAGAAGCGAGGAAGAATTGATGGTCTGAAGGCGATAAGAGCAGGTATGTATAGCAGTACAAATACCGCGCTTACGATTGGTTGTGGCGTCTGCATCCACAATAATTCGCTAGTCGGCACCAACATAAGTCTCTCGACCACCGCAAAGTCATCGTGGTCACTGCCTCGATGTAGCCTAGGATAGAGTTCCCTCCATCGAGGCCTGCGGGAAGTCGATTGAGCAGAAGGGTACGCCGATTGTTTCCAAACGGGACGCTGACATACCGGACAGCAAATCAGAATACCTGCTTCTCGTGATCGGCGGACGCCACCTAGATCTTTACATGGACGACTTGTAGTTGCTCTTTGAAGCACACCCATGTGGCGGCATATGGGCTGCTTGCTCCCTCTCCAGAGGCTTTCCGCATTCAGACTTATGACCGAAGAAATCCGCCGTTGATGAGATGGCTACGCGTGACTCTGCCCGGCCCTGCCAAGCACGCCTCTTCAAGCCTTGAACATTGCTTATTCTATCAGGCGGCTTCGAAGACTAGAGTGTGGTGTGGCCGAACCCCAGTTTGTCACTGTTTGTGGTTTGTGGTCGAAAAGATGACGTTCCTGAAAGCTTCCACGAGAAAAGCCATGCCGTACGGGAAGAGGTCTGATAGGGCTGCTCGCAAGTGGCGTTTCGCTTTTCTGGAGAAACATAATAAGAGGAGTGCTGATCACTTTATGCGGCCTTGGAATCTGCCCGGATGCATTATTTTGAACGAGAACGATTCGTCGTTGAAGTTGCTTTGGCTGATCTTGATCCAGAACAAGTCTTTGTGAAGTCTGCAACTCCCGAGGCTTGGATTTGGATCAGATATGAGTGGATGGTGTCGATTGCAACCCCCGCAGACGCCACCTGCGGCCCGGTACATGTGTCTGTGAAGGATGGACTCCCAAGTCATTCTATCGATATGTGCCGAGGCGTTTTTGGCTGGGAGGCTTGATGACCAAGTTTCGCAAGGCGTAATAATAATAAGTGTAGTGTCCGCTTCATGCCTTCATTAGACCATTCATCTCTTAATGACTCTTGTTGACTACTGGACTTCTAGCGTCATCTTCTACCTCCATTCAGGCGCCCCGCTTTGTAGGCTTGTATGGACCTTCTACCCAAATTTAGTACCTTCTACCTTCCACCTTCTACCTTCTACCTTCTACCTTCTACTCTGTCTCTACGTCCTTATATTATCTCTCCGCCAAGTACACTAATATATATCTAGCTTAGCGGTCTATGCTAAGCCTATAGCGAAGCGCCTAAAAGAAAACCGTATAGCTCCTATATAACCGTCCGGTATACAAACGAGAATTCGAATTTATAGAAGCATAACTATATATTAGATAGACAAACCTAAAAAAGCTGTTCTACGCAATAATACGATCTTTTAAAATAGCTATATAAAGTATACGTTAAAATATTAAATTAAAGCTATAAATGCGATCTTCTAAGACAGGTCTTCCGGTAACTGCGTTTGTTCTACCCTCCTTTATATTACTTATATACAAACGGTATATAAAACGCTAAGTAAATTACGAGCGGACCCTTAGATTAACCGCCGCTCGTACCTCCGACTCTTAGAATACCTATATTCTTAACCCTTTGCCTTTATCTTACTACCGAGGGCTATACTATACTACTAGTATATATGCACCTTTACTCGTAGTAATTCCTTTATCTAGCACGTTCTTAGACTCGAATAGGCCTAACGAAGGGTCTAGAGAGCCCTTTAGATACCTGTTTGCCTTATCGCACCTCGCTATCGTACCTCGCTATCGCCTACTAATAGTATACTATAACTAACCTACCGCGACCAACCTATCGCGACTAACCTACTAACAAACAGACAATAGCGCTACCTCCGAGGGGCACTCGCAAGCAGCGTAATAGGGAGAAGAAGGATAGGGCTAAGAAGCGCAAGACTAATAGATAGTAGAATAAATCCGAGTAGCACTTTCTAATAGCACTTCTAGGTCGCGCCGCTATAACTCGAGAGCGCCCGGATTTTAGTTACTTGCTACTAGTCTAGTAGCCTAAGAACAAGCGAGATTATAAAGTATAGTTCTAGATCCGTTGCGATTGTATTAACGCCGCCGATAACCTATTGTCGTAGGACTAAGTTAAGCAACTCGTATATAATGCCGCAGCTTCTCTAGAGGCTAAGAATATCTACCGTAATATCGTTACCGCTAGCCTTATTAAGCTATTAGATCGCCTTTATCTAGGAAAAGGATATTAGCCGAAGGACGTCTAAATCGATCTAGTCTTCGCGCTAATCTTCGGCGGTAGCGATGTTCTATAGATCTCGAAGATAGGCGAGGGCAAGAGCTTAGTATTTATAGCCTTTACGTATTTGACTAGCCTTATTACCCTCTAGTTTATACCGCTAAATCGCCTTAGCGAGGAGCAGGCTAAGGTCGTCGAGAACCGGTATTAATAGCTGCAGTTAGATAGCCAGTTAGATAGCTAGTTAGATAGCTAGTTAGATAGCTAGCCGATCGAGCGAGATAGTATCGTTAACGCTATTAATATTACCTCCGAAACTATAAGCCTCTATCCTAAGCTGTACGACTATATTACTAATAGTAGATATTATTATGTTATCCTAAGTCTAGAAACCGGTGCTAGTCTAGCCTTTAGGAAGCTACTATAGGACCCTAAGGTTCGTGCCCGCATAGGTCTCGTAGTAATCGATAAAGTCTATCTTGTTAACAAGTAGCGTAACTTTCGGAAGGAATATACACAGATCTTCGCTCTACGTAAGTTGCTCCGTAATGACACAGTTTGGCTCGGCTGTTCTACGACAATGTCCGAGGATATAGAGGACTTTGTACTTAAATATAGTAGATTTCGTCTAGTTAGTAATTAGCTATTTTAGACTAAGATTATTCGTAGCAGTGTCGATCGTCTAGATACTACGTATATCCTACGTACTATTCTAAAGAATTAGCTCCGCTTATACGAGTACCTATATTTCGCTATCGATAGTACATTCGACCTAGAGACTAAGGAAGCTACGCCGATAAACATTAAGAAGGCCCTCTTGTTTATTAATAGTCGTAAGTATGTCTAGGATCTAGCTAATGTTATTTGGCATTAGCTAGTCGCAACGACTGCTAAGTGTAGGGACTAGAAGAAACGATATACATAGGACAACAAAGGTGTTAATATATATACTATAGTAACATTCTATACTAGTAGTATCGCTAAGCGAGACTAGAAGCGCCGGTATAACCGCTTCTATAAGACTATAGAGCATCTAGATAGGCTATCGGAACACCGGATTATAGTTGCTACTACTGCTTTTAGTATTAGCCTAAATGTACTAGATATTAAGCTTGTTTACTAGACTAGGTTTACTCTTACGCGCGATATCGAGGATGTTGTCTAACGTCTTAGCCGTGCCGGTCGTGCTATTCTACGTAGTTTGGCCTTTATCTTCCTACTATACTACATCGATAATCGTCTTAAGCAGCCGCGGCTAGAATCTAACTACCCGGCAATTAAGCTTCGCCGACGTAGATCGTATAGAGCATTCCGGCTATTAGGGCTCCGCTAGTCTAAGCTTCTAGGAGAAGATACTAATACGCTAGGTGCTTAAGAAGCCGCTAATAATAATAATAATAATAATAATAGCGATAGCGATAGCGATAGAAACTACTAGACTAAGAATGTTAGGATACGCTCTATAGAGCGGAGACGGACACGATTCTAGTATACAAAGATAATTAATTGTTAGTTAGTTACTAGCCTAGGAAACTATATACATTAATCGTCCTAATCTGCGGCAGGATCGATAGTATCCGGAGCAGGATCGGCCGCACTACTATCTAAACCGTAACAACCTCCCCCCTAAAAGGAAAGACTTATACGCCCTCGTATATAATGCGCCGCCTAATGCTTCTTAGTACTGTATCTACTAATGCTAATGCTTATGCCATTTGCACTATATCCTGTTAATCGTATACTAATACTTATACTAATAGGTGACTTCTGCACTATATCCTGTTAGTCGTATGCTAATGCTTATGCTAATAGATGCTTTCTGCTACGCTTAGGGGTAGATAGCGACCCGTCGTCGGCCTAGGCGTTAAGGGCATCGCGCTTGCGCTTGCGCTTCGACTCTAGGGTCTCCGTAGAGGGCTCTAGCCGAGTAACGGTCGGTATAATAGTAGCCTTCTTGCGGAGGACGTGTAGATCTATCTCCTTAGCGATGCTATTATATAGGCCTATAACCTTAGCTATATGCGCCGCCGTCTCGTAGGTAGTGTCTAGCGCCGCGTTAGGCATTATCTTCTCCGTAAGCTTACTAAAATCGATTAAGCCGTCGCTATAGCGGGCGTCTAGGTCTAAAGTGTATTTGCCTAGGTATCGATCGGTTACCTCCTATAGGCCGTTAATCTCCTCTTCGGTAGCATTACTAATACTACCGCCGAGAATTGCTAGCGAATCGGCCGGAACTAAGGCGATAGTAGGCAGGTTACCGGCAGTATCGTAGAGAAAATCGTCCGCGAAGAGCGCTATATTTTGCTTGCCGGTCTAAAGCGCGACCTATACTGCTACGCGGTTCTAAGCGGCCGTTACTAGTATTGTATCTCTACTGTCCTTTATCTACGCTATAAGGTAGTCGTAATACTTAGCCTATCGATATACGAGAAGTGCGTTCTAGTTAAGGGAGCGGTTAGTAAGCATCGTCTAATTAACTACTAGTTGCAGGCGGCCTCTAGCGCCGCTTAGAGCGTAGGGGGGTAGGGTCGGAAGTAGCGGCAATTTAAGGTCTACCTACTCGATCGCGCTAGTAAATATAGCGGCATTTTCGGTATTATTGCTCTCCTTACGCGACGGCGGCGGTAGTAGCAGTATACTATAGTTGCTGTCTGCGCGTAGTCGTATACGACTTAGCTTGTCGGCCTCTAGCTATTTGTTAACGCGGCCGCCTCGCGACCCGTTATT